TAAAGAAAGATTTATTTAGAAGTGGTTTAAAAGAAAATATTTATGTTATATTGCGAGATGATCAAACTAGAATTAAATATTTCTCTATTTTTAGTTGGCGAATGGGATATTTATTTATTTTAATTTATGGCCGGCAAACTGCATTGGTCATCGCCAGCCCTATCTTCTTTAAATTCACATTTATTTTCTTATATTTCACTCGCTTTAAAATTACATTCTTTTAAATTTACAAATTTCTTTTACTGTTTTTCCTGCCAAATTATGTTTTACGATATATAACCTAACTAACTCTCTCTTTTCTTTATCCTATGCTGGCATCTCTGTACTTCAGGGCAGCGTCAATCGTGGATAAATAACACAAATACACAAAAAAATGAAAGTCTGGTTAGAATTCACACTACCCAGTACTCGGTACACGTTGGGGTAATGGGGGTATGCCCGCCCCTTCAATCACGCTAATAAATTACATTGACACCCAGACGTCGTTCACACAACCCCAGAGTACTCGATATTCCCAGGAATAATTGAGCTCCTTCAATCACACTAATAAATTACTTTGTAGACGAGATGAGGAGCGGTCAGGAATGAAGTGTTTAAGAAATACACCTTTTTCATTTTGTTGCGGATATTTCGACCTTTTTTTCGGGTCATCTTCAGGGGCTATTACAACACATATTTGATTGGAAAAAATACAATGCAGGTGTAAGTAATGTGAATTTTGAACTAAGGGTTTCATACTAATATAAAATGTGGTGCTATTCTTGTGGTATCATGTTTGTTTCATGTAAAATAGTTGTGAAACGGGAATTTGTATTCTGCTATTTTTATTTGATTATGACATGGGGATTTCCTGGATTGGATTTGTGATTCGGGGTTTGTTCAGTTATTGTAAACCATTTCTAGAAAGTTGCGTTTATATTTTTTTCAGTGCTTAGTATTTCTATTTTGTCGAAATCAATGATGTGGTAATTTTCAAAATGTCGTGTAGGACTATTTTTTGATGTTTTACAGTCATCGATGAGTTGTTTGTTCCGTTTTTCGAGATATTTCGATGTAATTTCAATGTATGTTGCTAGATTTTTCGTACAACTAATTTTATAAATTACATCGGATTTTTAGGCTGTTGGTGTAGGGTCTTTGATGTTGGAAAAAAGTGTGTGTACTGTTTTGTCGGTTTTGAAGGCCATTTTTATGTGGTCTGAGGAGAGAAATGTACTTAATTTGTGTGGCAAATTTTGGACGAATGTAATGGATATGTATATCGGTTTGATTTTTTTGTGATTGGGTTTTAATGTTGTGCTGTGAACTGTGGAGTATGTTGGGTTATAATTCTTCTCTAATAAATTACAATGTAAATTAAATGTCATTTTAATCATTACCCCCAGTTTGGGTCAGTTACCAAGAGACGATTAACCTCTCTAGTTAAGATGCCTTAAACAATTAAGAAAAGGGGTTTTTGCTTACCCTCCCGTCATATCATATTCAATCATAACGGAAATCGCGTATAAACGATACGAGAATTGATAAGTGGGAAAATATATCTTTAAATGAACCGAGTCCTGTCACGAATAGGGGGACAAATAACGATCAAACTTGCTTGCGTGATAAATGATTATTTTCACCGAATGCTGTGCCGATTTCTGCGTATCGAAGAATATTTTTAAATTGGAAATTAGCATTCGGCCTGCGATAGAAGAACAGTGACGTCTTTATTTAGATATTCGTGTATGCGCTATACATAAAGGGCGATTATTTCGATTGTCTTGTCTATCTAAAGGAGTTCAACTCGTTTCCTGCAAATACATTTCATTCTCAATAGTCTCTCGCACACGAAACTCCAAAATTACAGTGTGTGACTTTCAGGGTGTTACAATGTTATATTTTTGTTGATAATACTTTTACGAGCATTACAAGTACATTTAACACATACCTGAAATAGAAATATATATAAAATCTACAAGGTAGAAAAGAGAGTTATAAATATTGGGTTTTCCGGAAAAGAATGCAGGTTTTCATGTTTTCTTTCAATTACCCCTCAATGAACTCTTTACGTGTGATGTATTATTATTTTGTACGAATGTCCATACTTTTTAATCCTCTTTCAAACAAAAATACCAATAAATTATACAATGTTTATACGATTCGATATAAAATATCTAATAAAGCTTGCAGAATAAATTATTATAAATAAACATCATGTATTTTATTATAAATATAAATGTAATATATATTATTTATAAACATAGTTTTAAAAGATCCGCACACTTAAAATTATTATTGAAATCATGAGTTTAACAGTAAATAAATAATAGGCCAATCCTTATGGTTAAATAACTTCAAAATTGTTCCGGACATTGCTGATCTCTCTTTCGCCTTAAAAATTTTCTAATTATACAGTTTAAATGATTGTAGGACATATTTAACTTCTGTTCTGTGCATTTTTTTTTCATTGGCGCATGTTTGGGAAAAATCCTGAGACACGTACATTGGGTTGTCCGGAAAATAATGCAGGTTTTTCATGTTTTCTTAAAATTACCCCTCAATAAACTGTTTATGTATGATGGATTATTCTTTGTAAGAATATCCATACGTTGTAATTCTCTTCCAAACAAAAACGTTTGTTTACCTCAGTAGCATTTCATTAGTTGAGAATAATTCAATCTTTACTAAGATGTGAACGCATGATTTTCGCGTAATTTCGTTTTACGAGTTCAAACTCGGAAGGGACAGCGCCCAAACCGCCAGAACATTAATGGAGGATGGCAGGGTGAGTGAGAACACCGTTCAGAGATGGTTTAAAAAATTTCGAGAGGGAGACTTTAACCTTGAAGACAAAGAAGGTCCTAGAAGGATTTCTTCCCTAGATCATAATGTTCTGCGAACTTTGGACGAAGAAAATCCCAGAACTGTTCGAGAACTAGCAGAGAATCTTTTGAGCAAATCGACCGTCGCTGACCACCTTAAGTCAATTGGAAAGGTGAAAAAACTCGAAAATTGGGTTCCTCGTGCATTAAACGACCAACCAAGCCAAAAATATTATCTCTATGGAGTTTTCGCAAATTCTTTGCCGAGACAGTAACGATTCTTTTCTGGGTAGAACTGTTACTTGTGATGATAAATGGATCCTCTACAACAGCAGACGTTCTAGACAATGGCACGACAAAGAAGAACAGAGGAGAATCAGCACAACGTTTTCCAAAGCCCCAACTCATCATAAGAAAGTGATCTCTTTGGTGGGCTTCATTTGTGCTGATTACTACTACTTCTTGAATCCGGACGAAACAATCAATGCCGAAATGTATTGCTCTCAAATTGAAGCAATGCACTGGAAATTAGCATTACTGAAGCCATCTTTGATCAATCGGAAAATGCGATTCTGTTACACGACAACGCTCGTACCCATGTCTCACATGTGACAACATGAAAACTGTTGGATCGTGGTTATGAGATCCTCACCCTCCCCATCTCCAGACCTCTCGACTACGATTTCCATTTTCTTAGACATCTGGACATCGTTTTATAACAAAATAAAATTATTGATCAAAAGTCCTTAGAAAATGCGTTTACAGAATTTGTTAATAATAAAGACTCCAAATTCTATTCAGAAGGTATAGTGAAGTTGCCATCTTCATTAGGAGAAGTGTATTGAGAATGATGGAGGGTATTTTAATTAAGAAAAAATGTTTAAAATCATTTTTGGAGAGTTTGAACTCGTAAAACGAAATTACGTGAAAATCATGCGTTCACATCTTAGTAAAGACTGAATTATTCTCAAGTAATGAAATGCTACTGAGGTAAACAGACATTTTTGGTTGGAAGAGAATTACAATGTATGGACATTCGTACAAAGAATAATCCATCATACGTAAAAAGTTTATGGGGTAACAAAAAGAAAACTTGAAAAACCTGCATTATTTTCCAAAATGCGCCAATGAAAAAAATATATAGAACAGAAGTTAAATATGTCCTACAATCATTTAAACTGTATAATTAGAACACTTTTAAGGCGAAAGAGAGATCAACAATGTCTGGAACAATTTTGAAGTTATTTAAACGTAAGGATTTACCTATTATTTATTTACTGTTAAACTCATGATTTCAATATTCATTTTATGTGTGCGGATCTTTTAAAGCTATGTTTGTAAATAATATATATTTCATTTATATTTATAATAAAATACATGATGTTTATTTATAATAATTTGTTCTGCAAGCTTTATTACAGATTTTATATAGTATCGTATAAAAATTGTATCATTTATTGGTCGATTTGTTCGATTATTGCTTTCAATTTCTGTAGTCGTTTTAGAAAAATGCAGTCTTCAAAGTTCTTCTCATTACAATATTTATTTTTTCAAAATTATTTATAAATTGTGGAATAGTTAAACATTAAATTCCGTAAGATGTGATTGTTCAGCTTAATTTCTAAAATTCTAACGCAAGGATCAAGCCAAATGTTTGAACTTTTATCCAAACATTTTCGAATACAATTTCAATCATTCTACTTTTTTTGGCATTGGTTCTTTCATTAATCAAGAAGGCGAAGAAAACAAAGTCAATACTTTCGGACCATTCAGTACCAAGCGAGAAGTGTTGGGCTTGTCCTGTTGGATAAACATGTTAACATTGCTTACAGCACCGAGTTTTATCAGAAACTGCTTTTCCAAGCACATTTTCATCGATCCTTGGTTAGTGTCAGTAATTCATTAACCAACTTTACTGTGTGAGCCGTCAGAAAAAAAAAAAAAAACTTCTAGATCTCCCAAGCCTTGATTAGTTTCGATCAAAAAGATAGCATGCACACAATCAACTTTCTTCAGGGTGGCAAAATAAGAGTAAAGTTTCCAACTCTGGATTACAACTTTTACACAGTTTGTTAATATTAACTGTAAAACGAAAACCACTAGATCAAAGGCGTTGAACCCAAAACAAAACCAAAAACCAATCAGCCCATGAAATCCCACCCACTCTCGTGCAGTAATAAAAAACTTTTTTTTCAGGTATACCGGTCATTGTCCCACGCTTAAATTCAGATTCGGCAAACGATATGGCGCTAGTACAAAGGAAATTATAAGGGTAAGTCCATTGATGCACAAAACGTCACAAACTTTATTTGCAATACTCCGTATGGTATGACACTTTAATAAATAAAATTAAATACGATATTATAATATANTATATATGCTGTTCTTTGATCAATGATGCACATGTATGTACAACGGCAAAACGCGCTCGATAACAATCGAAAAATCTAAATTAATAGCAGAGACATTAACAATTAAATTACGTAAATCATAAGAAACTATCAATACTTAGTTGCTTTTTGTTGAGCTATCCGATACCGTTTTGTCTAGATTCACCACTCTACCATGATTCTCTCCTATAAACGGGGAACGACTTTGTAGGAGATATTAAGAAATATCCTCATGTTCATCCCTCACGCGAATTTCTTTAAATAGGTTAAAGTGAATTTCTCTGGAAGTATTCAAAATAAAATAGCATTTGCTTGCCAGTCGTTTTCATCACCAGCCCTATCACCAGCACAACTGCACATTTTCTCACAAGAAAAAATCCAATACCAATGGGAGATAATTTGTGATCTTACGATAATAGTTCGATATAGACAGTCGGCTGAAGCATTTCTGCTTCCGGCTTCCGAGGTCGCTACTGCCGAATGGAATGCAATTTCTGACGGCGTACATGCTAATAAAAATGCTTCCGTTTTTCAAAAGTCCATTTTTATTTGGAAATTAAAAATAAAATAATAATTATTCGTATCAAATAAACAGCAGTTTGTCGTTTAAACAACGAAATTAATCATGGGATGATTCTTTTTCGTCATGTCTTTTCTTCTACCTTTCTTAAACGGGAAAACGATTAAAATCTTTTAAAGGGTGGTTTTACTGCATTTAAGAAAAATCGAAATAAAATGGATCAATTAAAAATAAATAAAACGTCTTTATCAATAAGTAATGCATAATTTATATATGAACTTGTATTTAACTGTTGACTGAAAACTAGTTGAAAAATTGTCAACTTAAAAAAAGCTTGTAAAAACCCTTAGTTTTAATACAAACAAGTTATTAAAGTATTAAAACATTTTTACAGTTGTCACTGTTTCATTTATCAGCACCAAACTCATTTTAGATTTTTGTCAACTACATATAAAAAATGTGTATGCAAAATAACTGTACCAAAACATAATATTTCGTAGCATAATTCTAAAAAAAAAGAGTTCTTTTAATTCTGCCAACAGGTAATAATGTATTTTTGGAAACTTTTTTAGGAAATGGGTGAGAAAGGGTTGTGGGCCAGACACATAGCCAACACAAGATACAGGGAGCACGACCCGGTGAAGGGGCTCCTGGATGGAGGTGAGTTCAGGCCGATCGAAAGGGCCAAGGGCCAGTACAATAGGAACTTGCCAAATGGTGCAAATAGAACAAGACCATACATAATGGGATATACAGGTTTTTAACAATTTCTCAATAGGTCTCACAATAAGCATGAAATATGCGCCCTCTTAAAAGCATGGCCAGCTTCACATCGCTATTTCTAATGAAAAAGGAGACAATTCAATTATTATTTTTAATTAAAAAAATCTAAATTCCGAGATTGCACCCAAAAACAATAACCCACAAATTTATATGTAGTTGTTAGTATATTATATATATATAATTATATGCATATAACCAAAAATAGTTGCTTGAATAGCTATAAAATTTTATTTATCAATTACATTTACTAAGTGTTTTTATCATAATTTATTAATAATATAATAAATTATTAATAAAAAACTTGTGATACAATAATTAATAACAATATATAATAATTAACACTTATTTATTTATAGGATATATTCCTGGAATGAATTTCATCTATGGTAAATCATATTTACAAGCAGCTGACGAAAGTCTTAGCAAGTACGAAATAAGGGTATGTACTATTTATTACATGTAGTTTTGCATATTAACTTCAAAAAATGTAAAAACTATTTTCAGAAAGCGTCGTTGGAGTGCAAAAAGGAATTTGAGATGCCACATAGGAATTATGAGCGAAAATTTCAAAAGCTTCAACAGACATACCCTAATGACAAATTAACGGCAGCACTGATGGATTTAGAAGAGAAATATAAGTACAAAGGTGAGTGAAAAGGTTTTCATTCAATGTTCTTTCAGCAATATATGTTTTAATTTTATGGTGCAGTTGAGCATATTTCGCCAGAGCAACCCCCGATTGCTGGCTATACGGGTCATATTCCTCGAATTAAATCAACCGAGACTTCCTTAAGCCAAAGATACCACACTGCAGCAAAACGTGGCCTTTACCTCCTCCAACAGGTATATCATACTAATTTAAAAAACCATTACCTGCATACATTATGTGGGATCTTAAAAAGGTAATTCTTGAGTTATTCATCTTTGAAAGATAATCATTTTTAAATGTAATAAAAGCTTAATTTAAAATTTATTGGGTTGTCCGGAAAATAATGCAGGATTTTGGTATTAAACAAAAAAAAAGAAACTAGTTACTTTAAAGCAATGTTCTTTAATCAAAATAATTTCCCATACTCTCAATACATTTCTCCCAACGTGTTGGTAACTTATTAATTCCGTCTGAGTAGAATTCAGAATTTTTAGAATTGATAAAGTCAATAAATGCATTTTCCAGTTCCGTTTGATTTTTGAATATTATGTGTTGTAAGTAGTGGTCCAGGTGTCTAAAAAAATGGTAGTCAGTAGGCGAGAGGTCCGGAGAGTAGGGTGGGTGAGGCAAAGTTTCATAGCCAAGCTCCAATAATTTTTGTGACGTTACACGTGACACATGTGGTCGAGCGTTGTCATGCAACAAAATGGGCCCTTTCCGATTGACCAAAGAGGGCTTCATTACTGCCAATTTCTGATGCATGGTATTAATTTGGTTACAGTATGATTCAGCATTGATGGTTTCGCCAGGATTTAAGAAGCTGTAGTGTATTAAACCAAATGAAGCCCACCATACCGTAACCATTACCTTTTTTTGATGAGTTGGGGGCTTTGGAAAATGTATTGGAGCTTCTCCTTTGTCGAGAGCCACTGTCCAGAACGTCTAGTGTTATCGTAGAGAATCCACTTTTCGTCACATGTAACAATTCTGGCCAGAAATGGGTCATTTTTGTTTCGACAAAGAAGTGATGCACAAACATCAAAGCGCTGATTTTTTTGGCGATCGTTTAATGAGTGTGGAACCCAATTTTCGAGTTTTTTCACTTTTCCAATCGCCTTGAGGTGGTCAGCGACGGTCGTTTTACTGACTTTGAGTTGCTCTGCAAGTTCTCGAACAGTTGTTTTGGGGTTTTCTTCCACCACTGATCGCAGAACATCATCATTAAGAGAGGAAGGCCTTCCACGACCTTCTTCATCTTCAAGGCTGAAATCTCCCTCCCGAAATTTTTTAAACCACCTTTGCACAGTGCACTCATTAACACAACCCTCGCCCCAGACTTGGTTAATGTTTCTAGCCGTTTGGGCTCCGCTTCGGCCGAGTTTAAACTCGTAAAAGAAAATCGTACGAAATTCTCGCTTTGACATTATAAGGATGACTGAATTATTTCCAAGTAGCGGAATGCTACAGAGGTAAACAAACAATATCATTTGGAAGAGGATTAATAAGTGTTGACATTCATACAAATGAGTAATCCTGTAAACGTAAACAGAATATTTTATATAGATTTTTTTTAATGAAAACTTAAAATCCTGCATTATTTTCCGGACAACCCAATAAAAACAAAATATGTATTATAAATTGGTTCATTGGAAATCAATATCTATACTTTAATCTGCCCGATCAAAATATTTTAAGTTTTAGATGTATCAGAAGGGCATATTAAGTTAAGCTTGGCTTGAGGGTCACAGAATGAATCAAAATATACAATCTTGTGTAGATATTTGATGTTGCAACAACGTCAAACTAAACTTTCTGTCTGGTTCCAGGACAGGCAAAGATACAACAGAGCTAACGATAGCCTTTCAAAACCACCGATACCGACACCAGTTTGCTGAATGGCAGGCATTTGAAGTCGACAATAATACAATACTTGAATTTTGAAAAAAAAACTTTTTTTCCTAATTTTTTCTGTGATGTCACAATATGTGAAAATATTGGATGAAACATCATTCTTTTTGCAGGCAGATAAACCAAAACAATAGACAATTGCAACAAATACTTGTCAAATAGGACTAAGTTATACAATTTAAGTACAATTTACGAATAATAATTATTTATATTACTGTAATTAAAATACAAATGCTTATCACTTCATTTTCTAAAAGCATTTGTTGCAAATAATTGTGGATAAATTCTTAGCCAATATTTTTTGTTCTTGAAATATTGGTTTTAAGAAAAAAATTTTCATTGTGAAATTTTTAGGAATAAATTGAATTTTAGTTTTTGTTAAGTTATTTATCTATATTTAAATAATTTCCATTCCAGGCTTTAATTTTATAATATTATAACTATGTTCAGATGAGTCTGAATTGTAAAATATTGTATATTAATGTTAATAAAGTGTTATTATAATAGTTTTTCTTTCATTTACAACCCAAGTATTTTCCACTGGTTAAGGAGGACGACGTAACTTTTTTTTGTAATAGGGATAGCGATAAAAGAGACAGCAACAAGGCAGTGTTTCTTCTGTCTGTACTCCTATCCGGTGCATGTGCCTTCTTGGGTGGCAGTGACCTGGTCAGGAATCCAACCAGAATCTGGTTCAGTTGCAGTTGCCTTCCAGTCCTTTGCAAGTTTTGCAGATGGCCCTTATATGAATCTCTTTGTGTGCATCATGCCTGTGGTATTATTCCACCAAATTTTGGACTCATTAAGTATACATTTTAAGATGTATTCTCTTTTGTGGCATGAGGCTAGGGCCACTAGGGTGCTTTTTTTAGAGCTGCCTTACTGTCAGAGAAGATGGCTATACTCAGGGAATGAAGTCGTAGCCTTTTTATTTCCCTGGCACAGTGTTCAAATGCTATGATTTCAGAGGAAAACTGTAGCATATTTACCTAAGTTTAGAGTCAGTGGACTTTGGATTCATCCCAAAGAGTCCAGCAACACTGAGGCAAGCTTGTCTTTGGGTGCCACTTAATAGAGTACAAGAAATAATGTCAAATCTCACCCCTAATAAAGTGATTAAGGGTCTATCAGATCTACCTATATACCTCACACTGTAAAAACAGAATCACTTTTTTCATTCCGTAAAAAAATCACAATACAATAGACATTGTCCAAGAAGGTTTATTAAAAAAAGATCTTGTATGAAAGCTATTTTTCATAATCAACAATTACTATCAATGAATATATTTAAACTTAAAATAATTTACATTTTTATCAATTACATAACACATTGTTAAACTAAAAACAAACCAACAAAAGAACAAAAAATAATTAGGTATCAATCAAGGAGATGAAAGGAACATTATTTAAGACTAAGAAGCTCACACATTAACTAGTCTGTTAATAATTGTAATTGAGTTTTGAATTCTATCAGTGGATAATCTCTCAATAAACAGACCAAAAAATACCGCATTAAAATAATACAAATCCCAATTAAATCAATGTTAAAGAATATATTAAATGTTGTTTTATTCCTTCTAACTTTCCTGAACAATTATAATGACTCAATCCTTGGTTTACACGGAGCAGGACAATCAAAAAATAAAATAACCATTGATGCTATGAGAGATTTCATTAGAATTTTTTGAGGTATCTTCATAAGGACTTTGTGATGAATTATTCTTTTTTGGGACCACCAAGCTTTCAGCTTTTATAATGCCATCCTCACGGCCTAATTATTGAAAAATACATACATTAACAGAGTTACAGTGAGATATGAAGACTCTGTTAACATATTTATTTTTCAATAAATAGGCTCTGAGAATGCAATATAAATCGCGAAAGCTTGGTGAACCCATAAAAAGTCTGCTTCATCACAAAGACCTTATGAAGAAGATACCTCTAATTCTAATGTGATTCTGTCAGGTCGATAAAAACTCAAACTTTTAGTTTAGAGAGATTTAGTTAAGGGGGGTGTTTGGAGTGTCCATATTCTAGAGTTATTTTTAATTCCCCTATTTTCGAAAGTGGAAGTACGTTGGGTGTCCAATCGATGGAAAGTATCGAGGGTTCACTTTGATCGGGAGACATATTACCAATTTTTAAAAAAGTCTTATACTCAGTAGGTCTTATGGCTGACTGGCCTTCCATCCTCGGTAAGCCTTCGACAATGTCCTTTTGATTTAGCTCGTCATATGAGCCAGCAGAATTCTGAACAAACGTTCTTTGGCTGTTGAGTGACATCTAAAAAAATAAAAGAAAATAAATTAAAAAAAGAATATATATATATATATATATTTATATATATATATAAATCCGCCGGTATGGGGTCTTCCTCAGGAACGGCGGGGTGGTGGAAAGGATATATATATATATATAAACAAATTTTTAAATTAGTTTTGAAGGGGTAGATAATACATAATAACAATTTAATAATTTAATAATTGTTAAGTAATATTTGATATTTACCAGAGGAGTGTCAAACATTGCTTTGGCATGCAGCATGTTTGTTATATGCCAGGTATAATTGTGAAATGTTCCTAATGGAGTGGCATTCTTCCTGGTGAATGTAGTCACAAAATTTGGCAGCCTTTTACGCTTGGAATTGATAGATGTCGAGACAAATCGTGAAATCAAACACTCAAAAAATTCCTAACACATTTGAGAAAGGAAGAAAAATTAGTTTGAAACAACCATTAAATATAATTTTTAAAATATAATTCTTATTTACATGTGGAGCATGGAACACCAAAGGCTCAGGTTTTCCACTAAACTGGTAATGCATTGTCTGATTTATCCGTTCCGTCACTGATGCAAGCCATTCCAAGAAACTCAAACTCACTTTACTCTCATCTATGTGCTCTACTAAAATTAGTACATTAATTAATTGGAAGATAGATGGAAAAGTAGGAAATTGTAGTAATGAATACCTAACATTTATATTTAATTATAGTGCATATGCTAGATTTAAGTAAAACATAAAACTTTGTAACAAAAGCTTGTGAATTAAATTGAACAGTACACAGTTAGCTATAATTGGTGTCTAATCAGATACATTTTTTTAACCTTCAGGGTGCTCAGTATAATACACTGATGGACAAAATAAATGCACCAACATTAAATTTTAATGTATTTAAGTTTATTCATATGCATGCCAAAAATAGGTTTGCTTCTAAAAATAAGACATTTAAAAAGGAAATGTTTAATTATATTTAAAAAATATTGAGTAAATAAATTTGAGAAATAAATGTGTAGTGTTTAGTGACCATTAATTAATGATTATTTGGAGATCGTGAGATGTAGTATGGTGAAATGTAGGTTTAGAAAAACGTGCCAACGTTTTGATCTTGATTGAGATCATTTTCAGGGCCTGGGATTTATAAACATATAAATAATTTAAACAGTGTTTATAAATCGCAGGCCAAGAAGATGATTTCAATAAAGATCAAACGTTGACACGATAAAGAAAATATTTTCTAAACCTACATCACACCAGACTGCATCTCATGATCTCCAAATAATAATTAAAAAATAAATAAAAAACAAATAAAAATGTAAAATAAAACTTTTATCCCCTTAATCCCCCCGAGCATCTCCACCTCAAGCACAATATCAATCACGTCCGTTAAATGCCTTTCCTCAGAAAAGATTTCTGATAAAAACCTGAGGAATTCTTTCCCATTCATCAAGAACAGCCATTTCTAACTTTCTAGGGTGTCAGGACCTGGGTTTCTCCTTCGTACTCATCGCTTAAGTTGGTCCCAATGTGTTCGACTGGGTTCAAATCTGGACTTCAAGTTGCTAACCAAGCACTCAATTCCAACTTCATTAAGATATTCATTCACAATACATGCTCTATGGGGCCTAACATTATTCTGCATTCCCACGAATCTCTCATCGATGTGGGGGCAAATGTGTCTTGTAATGGGAAAGCCATCCAAAGAACCATACAGCATGGGGTGTATCTTTCTCCTGAGCATCTCTATATGAAATTATACCAATATGAAGGCCAACTCTTACATCATCTGTAAAGAGAACGTCCCCAATCTTCCAATGTCCAATTCACATGTTCCCTTGTAAATTGAAGCCTAGCCATTTTCTAAGCTGTCGTAAGAAGAGGTTCACGAGATGGGTGTCGGGCTCTGAGATTATTTTCATTGAGCCTTCTTCTTACTTCTGGAGGAAATTTCGGCCCTGTCTTATCTTATTATTATTATTTCTTATCTTATTTCTCTTAATTATGTGGTTTCTGGAGCCTATTTTATGGATAAATCTATCATTTCTTTCACCATAGACCTAGGTCGACCTGTTCTCACCTTCTAGAGTGAAGCCCTGTTTCTCTGAAGCACCAAAGATCTCTTCATATTGTAGAATGATTTACACTTAGTCTACTGGCGACTTCGCATTGGCTGTATCCTTCCTCTAATAATGTTATGACCCTGACACTATCATATTCATTGAAAAGCTTGACGAGCCATTGAAAAAGGTTTAAGAATAAGAATAATATCAAATGAAATCAATGAAGGAAAAAGATTAACTGAAAGTGATCTTTAGGCGCAGCAGAATGGAAAGGAATAATGCTAATTTTTGTGTAAAGCATTATTAACTTTTTATTATTACTACGATAGCTCCCAAATACTTGTAACTAGTACAGAAAGATAATGGATTTAATTTTAAACTAAATAAAGTGAGTGATGTGTTAAAATTGTCCATCAGTGTATATTAATTAATTAAAATTCGTAAAATTTGAAATGCTACAAGTTTAAACAATAGTATATTATTTTAAATATAAGAACATACCTTCTATTAGCATTTCCTTGGGTAAACCTTTCCTGTTTCTCTTCTTGAGTGGTGCTGTTTTATGAATACTTCTTCTTTTTCTTGATGGCTTTATTGGAGAAAAGAAATAAAACAAATTATTACTTAATTAATTAATGAATTTAATTGTCAGAACTGACCTTGGATTTTTTCTCATCTCCTACTTTGATCATAGATTCAAGTGTATGTTGATCAAGACTTTCAAAATCTTGTCCCACATCAACAGATGTCAACCTTTCTAAATCCTTAAAATGAGAACTTTTTTGTAAAATAGCTCTGCAATTATTTAAGATAGGTAATTCCCACCTGGGCGATATCAGGAAGTAATAAATCTTTCACCTCTTCACAATCGTCTTGATTGATTGTATTGCCTAAAATTGTCACCAACGGATTGCGTTCGTCAACTTCACCTCCTTTAAAACAAAACAAGAGATTATACAAATCAACTAGGAAAACGAATTATTTCTACCTTCATGGCTTATTTCAATTGTAAAAGTCTCAATCGGTTTTTCCCTTACTATATAAGCAGAAAATTCTTCTGTATACTTTTCATCGCTCAAAAATGCAGCTATACATGCGAAATAATGTACACAAGGTTTATCAACATTACTCTTACCAGGACTCTGAAAAAAATTATTTTAATACAGTTTATTCATACATTGAATAATAAAAATGTGGACTCTTACTTTTAAAGGTGTACAATGGCAAACATATTGACTTTCTTTAGATTTGTTGCATATAAAAAATGTAACATGAAGATAACCCAGGGGGTGTTTTGTTGTCACCTTACATTTTACAGCCATTGTATTTTTTGAAATCCTCTGAACAAGTGGCCCAGGCATTTCATTAGCTAATTCATAAATACTCTAAAATATAATCCATATATGTATTTAGTAGTTATAATTGACTGTATTAATTATTTTATTTAATTATACTTTTTTCTAAGGTCTTAGTTGAGATGAAGTCAGTGGCAAGAGTGGGATTCGTACTCACTAACTTCGGCTCAATATGCTGCTGCTCTAACCATTTGAGCTGTCATGACAAGGTTAGAGTAGCGATGTATTGAGCCGAAGGTCATAAGTTCGAATCCCACTCTTGACACTAGATTTTTTCCATCTCAACCAATTTCTTAGATAAAAAGTATAATTAATTTAACTAAAATAGTGGTGCTAGTAATTAATCAATCAGTTTTTATTATTACTTACTACTTGTTATTAAGTTATTTATTTTTAAAGTGTGGTGCAGAAAGTCTCCATATTCTCTTTACTTCTGTAAGGAGATTAAAGGGATCATTTCTGCTCACATCATACCTCTTTCATTTCTGCTGGTATACTAGGGGATTGTATGGCTTCATTTTCTATTCTAAGGATTTGTGCATTGTTACAACACCGCATAGCCAGCTGTACGTGCGAACAGTGTGTGACCTGCATAGCTTGCCGCTCCTGAGTAAAAGATGTAAATTGCACTTAAGTTAAAAAGGTGTAAATCAATGTCTTACGTGGCATTTGAGAATATTCATGTTGAACAGACGTTGGCAGGAGTCCACAAAGCAAAGCGCAGACACAATATTCTGTTCTGCTTGTGGTAATTGGACGAAACCACGATAGTCAGGCCCTTTGTCCCAAACTCGTACTGAAAAAATCTGCAAATAAAATCAGTGGAAGCCTTTAAAGTAAGAAAAACAATCAATTATAAAACAAATTAATCCACAACAGCATGTTTAATCTGTAGCATGATAATCCAAATACCCCACTGAAGTAGGCAAAATGCCTAAACACTCTGGCAGACCAAACCGGCAAGGCTAGGCAAATGAGAATGATCCAAAATGATCAAACTACAAAGCTAAACAATTCATAATTCTGTGAAATAGCAGTTATGTGCAAAACTCTGCATGTATCGAACTTTTACATTTATAATTTAAAAAAAAAAAAGTGGAATTCCAAACATGGCTAATCCATTAAGTGATTTGAATAGTATAACAGTAGTAGTGCTTGTACAGTAGTAGTAGTCCTTGGTGCTCATAATCCACAGTGATGCTTGGTACATATTTCCCACGGATAACGAGAGTCTACTGATTGATTATGGACACATCAAATTCAGTTCTCAGATGAAGCCCTCTAGCAGGTGCCAAGTACACAATACTGAAGATGTATCAGAGTTATCAATTTTTGTAGGATGCTAAAGATCATCATAACTAGCTTTTACCTGAGACTTTGTCCATACAGGACACTATTTTAATATACCTTCCTAATGCAATGCACTAGTATGGCTTTCTAATATAATGACTCGTTTTTCAAATTCTTCTCTTCATCAGTTCACTTCGGTCTGTACATGGTAAAAAATTGTCCATATAACCGCCTTAGGGATGGAATTATAAAATATCCTTTCTTAGCAGCTATCCATTTCATTATAAGGATGCACTGTCAAAATTTCAGCCCTTTAAAACCAGCGGTTCGGTCTGTGCATTGTCTGTCAGTCAGTCACAGAACAGTTTTATATATACAGACAAGATCAAGATAGAGGAAACATAGAAGGAAATGTGGCATTTTCTTCTTTTGTTTTTCTTTTTATTCTTAACGTAAAGTACCGCCATGATAGCAAACGATGATGCTGCAGTAGTTGTAGATGTGAATGGCATATGTGTATCATGTAAACCGAACAGCCATCAAAGCACTAAGCTCAAATATCATTAGTTCAAAGATGGTGTTGAACTGCAAAACCAAATTAAACATTAGGTATGCAGAACAAAGTCAGCCTCTGCTGAGTCCCAGGACACATGGGAGTAGAAGGCAACAAGAAAGCAAGGAAAGGGGCTGCTCTACACTGGTACGACCCGAGCCCATCTGTGGCACAGGAACCAACACTATCAATGAGTACCTTAGACAGAACAAAAAGAAAATGAAGGAACAACGGATTTCACTCATTGGGCACAAACAATCCAACGATTTACATTAGGAAAGAAGTGAAAGAATGTATTATAGGAAGCAGGAAAAAACTGTGAATCCTAACAGGATTCTTAACAGGACACTGCAAGCTAAAAATGGACATTTAAAGAAGATTGGAATTATCCAAGACAGCACATGCAGATTCTGCAAAGAGGCAGAGGGGACACCAACACACCTATTAACAAACTGTGGTGCTACACTTGCCTGCAGGAGGAAGTGGTTTGGGATGTACAATGTGCTGTAGAAGAGATTCAACCAATGAAACCGGGCCTACTAATTATAATCCATGATGAAATAGGACTTACCGGTGTGCTATAGGCACAGAACAGGAGATACAACAGCTCTTAAAGGGCGCGGTATATTACACTCTTACCAATACACCTACATCATGCAAACCGATGGTTCACCTTGTTTTGCCTTGTGGAAAATGATTAACCCGAGACATCCGTTTTGCAAGTAATTCTCGCGTTTACTGATTTTGACGGATTGGAAAAGCAGCTATAGATAAAGGATGGCGGCACAGTCAAGAAGGAAACAGACGAACGATAACTGAGGATGTTAGCATTATATTTTTCTGGGAATAGACAGGAAAAAAATGAATTGAATGGGCACGAGAACGTCCCCATTCTGGCAGGAAATTAGAGATTTGTAAAAAAGACAACAAATGTCAAGTGACCTGAGTGGATGTGCCCGTCTGGAGCTTGACGACATCCAGGGTCTTCTTCTTGATCCCGGCTTCCTTGAAAACGGCGTTGCAGGACTTGTTCTTGCAACTGAGCCCTCTGGTGCCGTTGAAAGTGCCACACTTGGGGCACCTCCTGATCCCCCGCATCGTCGACTTGCCCAAGTCCCCGAGGAACCCCCTCACCCTGTCTTCCTGCATTCTCTTTCGATCCTGGGAAAGGATCTCGCATAAAAGAATCCCATAAAAGCCTCTCACAATCGGGCCCTGAGCCGATTTCGTGACTGATCCATCCTGAAAAAACGCAGATTCAATCCTCGAGACAACTTCTACAGGAAGAAAATGTAATTTGTAAATATAAAATAATCGACGAGGGAGGTTTCTTGAGGCTGTTGGATGGGATTCGTTCACGTTCTCCAATAAGTAATGTCGATTATTTCCTAATAATTCACAATACCCTTATCGATAAAAAAGGATTCGTTCATAAGCAAAAATACCTTCTTTTTTAATGAAAATAATGTTAATTGGAAATTAATTTTTTACTTTATTTTACCGAGGCTATAGAAATATTTTTACTACATTTTTATTATGTAACATGAATTTTTTTTAGTCTTTTTTATTTATAATTTTTTTAAAAATATTTATTATAAAGGCGATCAAGGTTTAATTTGTGGTTTAAACTACGGGAAGAATTAAAATAAAATATAATAAATAAGTATGATGGGCAGAGCTTATTTTTATTTTAAATAAGTAAATAAGGAGTTTAAGGTAATCAAATAAATTAATACCAGAATGAACTTGTCATGTGTTGATATGTGCTATCTTCTTCGTAATCTTAATTCAAATCTCGTGCAAGTATTAAAAAGTAATATAATTTTTTTTAGTAGAAGTGTGATTAAGTGAAAAAGAGTAGATCATACTGCAATAAGTAAAAAAGGAAAAAATAAATTTTAACTAGTCTAAGTTGTAGTGTCAGTGTTAAATTTATATTTCCAAGGTGAATTTAAAGTCCCATTCAGCCTTCTAGCAAGCACAAAGCTAAATAATTTCCCAAGATAATCTGGTATTATAAGTCACCATCAAGGTTTTTTTTACCTGGTTAGAAAAGAGTATTAAAAAACCATCAAGTGTAATGCAATAAAAATCCTCAGTTGGCAGATGTGTTGTGTAAATAATTATCGAAAAAACTGTGGTTCCTTTCAAGCTCAAATCGTAATCAAGAAAATTTCCCACATTTACCGCGTCCCCCACCCTGTCACAACCATATAAAAATAACAGAATACAAATTCACGTTACATAACTATTTCACACAAACCAATATAACACCACAAATTATGTGAGTATGATATTCTCGGGTTCAAATTCTATATTTACATCTGTATAGTATTTTTGCAAAACAATATACGTTTTGTAATTCACCCTGAAGATGAATAAAGATCGAAACATCGACAAAAAAAAAAAAAAAAATGAAAAAGGTGTTTTTCAAAACTTCTTCATTCTTGACTGCTCTTCACGAATCCAACAATTGTTAACAAAAAATATTTTGGCACTCATAGTGCGCGATAAGTTGCAAACTTGGCAGCCAAATACGGACCACAACAGAAATTTTTCTTAGAGTCCCAGAATTTCAATGAACAAACTAAGTTTTTCAAGAAATTAAAAAAAAGATGAAGAAAAAGGCGGTTTTGAAGTTGGGAGGAACAATATGACGGGTGGAAGGCCTTGTTTTTCCTCCCCTCTCCAGCTAGAGCGTAATCAATTGGACTCCAACTAAAAAGAAGTGGTGATTTGGTTTCGGCCAATTTTCTATCTGTACGAAAATCCCCTGAACCGGGGGATTTCTTTTTTTTTCAGTCCGGACTGTGAAAAAAACTCAAAGAAAATACATTCGACCGTTGAAACTCTGAAAAGGCGTGAAAGCCAACGACAAATGGCAAATGCGGTAAGCCCACACACACCATATAGCATCTCGATGAGGGGGAGAATGACTGAAACATTCAAGGTTTCGTTAGACTTACTTTCTCATTTAATTTGATTTTATTATATATTAAAATATTTTATTTATGAATCGGAATGTTTGCCCCTTTTTACATTTAATTGGCGATATGCATCGTTTGTACAATGCTTCAGTTTTATTAGTTTTATGGACTTTTTTTAATGGAGTTTCTTTAGTTTAACCGCTCATTATTTCACTCCTTTAGAAATTGATTTAATAAAAAAATAATAATTAAAATATAACTGGTGTTGTCACGTAATGGTTTTAATAATTTAATTATTAATTAAACACTGCAGACTACACATTTGTTTTGCATTGTCGAAACATGTTCGTTCTTACTTTAATTACACTGACTCCCTTAATTAAAAATTAAATTCTAGTAAACAATTTTATTAAAAATGTTCATACAGCTTTACGGAGATCAATGTTATTTTTGTTTTTGTTCATGTGGTCCTTTAAATCTTTATTGTTGTGGCTAAAAGAATTGTAATTGAGAAGTAATCAGATGCGCATTTCCTTAAGGGCCTCCATAAACGATCCAACAGGTCTGTCAGTTACAGAACAGATAGCAGCAAGTTGGACTGAAGGGGCCATACATATTTCGGCTGGAATGTCAGTTCATACTTAACCGAGGTTGGCTCTGGGTGCTGTTAGCAGCTAGGTCAATTCAGCACACAGCAAGCGCAGTTCTTAAATCCATTAACACTTACGCATTTACATACTATGCAATCAGTCAGGGTAGGGGAACACTCGATACTCTTCCATCAGCCCTCATACTACACATTCACATCAATAAATACCTTTACTCTCCACACACGCGTGTGTGTGTGTGTGTGTCACAAGATACACAACATTATCATTATGATATGCAATAAAACAACCCTGTTTCTTCCAAAAATCGGAACAGGGAACCCAAATACTTGCTGCCGCTCTCATATCGAGTGGCATTCCTGTTCACTTCACTCATATGAAACTAAGAAATTTATTTTGTTCATTTATTTGAAACAGTAAATAATTGATGGAAAGTATTGTGAGTGATCAGGAATATTTGTGCTAATTTATATTTATATTGTTGTCAACAATTGGATATTCCCCCAATAGATATATTAGATGTGGCGACACAAAGAAAAAAAATAAAAAATTTGGATAAAAAATGTCTATAAAATTAATAGTAAGTAATAAGTGTATTACATGAAGCTAAGTGCCATTAGTTGCTATGTGGGAAGTGGCAGAATAAATTCCTTCGTTGCAGAAAAAAAAAACCTTATAACTTTCACGTAACTAATAAATTTAACTGTTTTTAAGTTTGGAGCATTTAAATTAAAAAAATATTCCTAATGAGCCTGGTAGTTCATTCTACTTTTTTCTCTTTATTTTGTGGGATTCACAGTAGCAATTAGGTAGGACACATTGAGATTTCTGCATACAGGCTTGGCCCAAAAGGAAGTGCCCATGTATCAACTTCACATGGCCCATTCTTAATCAGTTGAGGACGACGACCCTTCTATAAATCAGGTCCTCCTGATGGCCATACATTGCTCTTGATATGTGAGAGCTTCTCTACCATCCTGACCCATGTATTTAACAGAATAATTTGATTACTTAAGTTAATAACTTTAACTTTACATCACAGGCAATAGAAAAGGACTGAAAAGTGGCCGTTGCTTTTCAGTTTCCCCCACTCATATTCCAACTTGCCTGTGCTAGCTACAGGCCTATGGATGGACGATTGATTTTTCATTCGATCAATGGCCTCTGTTCAGGCAAAACTGACAGGCCGGCCTTTTGAAGTTGTTGGGGTGTAAAGACTTAAGAGCTGCCTATTTGTTAACAAATAGTATGTACTGTGTATGTCGTGGAATGCAAGGAAGAATTCCCAACTTGTTTAATTAGGTCTTGCAATTCAGAGCTGTCTTTAAGTTGGCAGTGTTTGAATTTACTTCTCTAGTGGTTGTTTGGTCATACCCACTCATTATCAACTCATTATCTCAACCTACTTTTCAAATTCCCCTCTTTTTGCCTTATATTCAAATTACATGTAATCGTTTAGATTCTTGGTGAACTTGAAGTGGCCACAGGGAGATGTTAGTGAAGTACAGATCTTTCAGTAATTATTACATTAATATGTTTTAGTTGGAGTTATCAACTAAAACATTAATTCTTGTTTTTGTTTACAAATATTGTAGTATTTATTGACCAGGTGGAAAGGTTGTTGAAGTTGCATATATTCTTTATTGAATAAAAATATTGAGTAATAATTACTCAATTAATTATACACAATATATTTGAAATGAAAAATTTGTGTCTCAGGTGGGATTCAAACCCACGATTTAAGGCTAAATACGCCACTGCTCTACCACTTGAGCTACCGTGACTTCGATCGCCCATGCCACAAACTTCTCATTCAATTCCCTGTTTATCCCAAAAATATTGTGACTTTGCTAAGCCTAAAAATCCTTGGTAATTATGGGTTCCCATTAGTTTCCTCCATTTTGTCATCTTCAAGTCCGAATGAATACTTGTTGATATTACTCTCAAATTAATTTGATGTTCAGGATTTGTCTAATTCAACTAGTGAAAACTTACCTGGTGCTGTTGAAAATTCAATAGGGCATCAGCAGATCGTTGACAGTTGACTTACGAATCTGCAAGGAAACCCCCTATTCGTGCCCTCCTGGATTTCCTTCTGATCCTAGGTATCTTTTATAAGAGACTGGGAGTGAAAATCGAACATCAGACTGCATTTCTTCCAGCCAAGCTTAGAACTGGGGATTTTTGGTTTTGACATTTGGAAGGGGGTTAATGTTGGGAGAACAATTAATTATGTTTATAGTTTAAAGAAAACCTTTCCATTTTGTTTATTGATTTTAGGAACTGAATAGACCGACTGTAACAAAAATTGAAGAAACAAATGGACCTCCGACTGTTATAACTAATTCATTGCCATTGGATTTGAAAAGATGTAACATACGGCATCACAGATTGCAACATGCAGAGATGCAGCCGTTAGAGGAAGCTGTTAAAATGGTAATGTTTTTTGTCAGTTTGTTGTGAAATTAATTGCATTAGTTTTTAGGAGTTACAATCTATGCCATCAAAGACCCCGGTGTCTGTCCTTCAGGAACTACTGAGTAGGAGAGGGACTATACCAAAATATGAACTGGTACAGGTAGAAGGTGCCATCCACGAGCCGACTTTCCGCTACAGGGTCACTGTAGGTGACTCGGTTGGTGGGTTGATTTTTATTTCAGGCTTTGTCTCTTTGAACACTCATTAAATGTTAACCTTTTAGCAATGGGTACGGGTAGATCAAAAAAAGAGGCTAAGCATTCAGCAGCAAAATCGATTCTTGACTGTCTCACAGGAAATGCGGATGGAACAGTCTTACCAAATCCTCCAATTCAAGATCCTAAGTAAATAACATTTAAATAACTTACAGTTTCATTTACTAAGGGAAAACCATTTCTAAGGAGCTCGGTGGGAAACCCAATAGGGCTTTTACAAGAGCTTTGCATGTCAAGGAGATGGCCACCACCAGCCTATAAAACTGAGTTTGAGGAGGGTCTTCCTCATGAAAGGCAGTTCACTATTTCATGTGTCGTCTTTAAACACAAGGAAACTGGTATGTTTATGTATATGTAATAAATAATATATTGATGATTTATTTATTTAAAAGCTTGTGCATAATATTTTATTTGTACAATTATTTAAAAAAATTTGGTTTCTGTTTAGCATATTAAATGTACCATCATATTCTCAAGTAGCATTTAGAGCAAAATTAAACTTAAATGACATTGTTTGACTTGTCCAGCCAACCATGACTAAATAACTCATAACTACTAATAGAATAAAAAATGTATTGAACAGATTCATCATGGCTGTTATTCTGGAACTACGCACTAAACTCTCCCTATATATGGATGTTGTTCCAGAAGGACATACTTCTTCTTGCTCCCCCCCCCCTGTTTCAAAGCTTGTTGTAGGGTGTTCAGGGTACTCTTGGAATCGAATTACAGTCAGGCCTTTAGAGTTTAGTTTAGTTATAAATTTGGTAACATTACTGTAACGACCACTTTTTGATTTGACCTTTTGGATTTTTTTTACAATTTTTGAAGAAAAAAGTAATTAAAATTTGTTCTGTACCTTGAGAGAGACTTTACAAATCACAGCCGTAATGAAAGTGCTCAAAAGTAAACATGAGAGGATCGGGTTTCTTTTATGGCTCTTAACAACTAGTTATTATTTTCATTTCAAGCATTGCAAACTGGATGTTAAGTTGCATAAAAGAAACCCGACTGCAATTACATGAGCAACTTTTAAGAAAAAGCTCAAAAATTCCTACAATTTATTGTGAGAGAAGTTGTTATTCTAGATTTCATATTTCAAAAATATAGCACTGATTTAATTGTAATTGATAGGTACTGGTAAATCAAAGAAAATCGCCAAAAGGTTGGCTGCCCAAAATATGTGGCACAGATTGAAAAGCATTCCTTTTGACAAAAATTCGCCTCACTGGAATGAAGGCCTGGATGATGATGAGCTGGTAAGATTGTCATAATTAGACATTGACATAACCAATAGTTCTTTATTCAAAAATGTATTATTTTTTATATTACAGTTGGCTCGCCGTTATATGGATTCTTCAAATAATATTTCCGAATGGGAGGATTTGAGGACGTCCAAGATATCGACTTTAACTCCACAACAAACTATCAAAATATCCCAGTTCCACAAAAATCTCAAATCATCTGAAGGACCAAAATTAAATGAATTGCAGGTGTGTTGGCAACATGCAATTATATGTTGTAATTAATTAAATTATCCTGAATGATACATGTGTTAATGCAGATAATCTTTACAGAATATAACGCTTTCATCTGAAATCAACTATGTTCAATTTCTTAAGGAAATTGGGGCTGAGCAAGAATTTGTGGTAGCATTTGTTGACATTGAAGAAAAGTCAATGACAGGTTGGTAAACTTGACATTAAAGTTCAAAAACATCAGTTACATTGAATTTTAGTTTTGAGATAAAGATTTAATTTTAAAAATTGATAGCAAATGATTTTTGTTTATCAGTAATGTTGAACATAAAACTGTCATTTATCATCAGCAATAGAAACTTGTTTTGCATCAATAGACAGGGTGCCCCCATAAGATATCTACCCCCACTATCTTCCTTAATTTTGGATTGATTTTGACGAATCTTATTTTAACATTTTCGTTATGAAGTCTAGTTTTTAGATGTTTTATTGGTTCCTGAAATAACGTTTTGGTTGTTAAAAAAACGCTTAACTTTTATTAAATGAGATTCCCATTTTTTATTTCGGGTTTCAAAACTAGATCATTTTTAATTATTTTTTGCATTGATCTGGGTACAATATTGTAATTTTTATAGAAGTTAACAAAATGAGTGTTTTCCTAGGTATTAACACTTCCATTCGATAAGTCTAAATCTACAATAGCCTGTATTTTAAAGGGTAAATAAATTATTTCATTATAAAATAAAATGCATTCAGCACCTTCGCCTATCAAACTATCAAAGAAGGCTGGATTTATTGTACTCGTTTTGGTCCTGAAAAGACGACAATCCCGGATTTTTAAAATGCATCCTATGGTCATACGGGGTCAAATTTTGCAATAATGGTTGTTTGGCCAGACTTATCGTGATACGTGGTCAACTGAAAGTATTCTTCACAGTAAACATCGAGAGGGTTCATGGGACTGGATACCTTTACTTCCTCTATTTCCCAAAATTTTCGTAAAGTGTTATCACTAAATGCCGCATTGATAACCGCCCTTTCGGGTGAATTGCTTGACGAGAAACTTTTCCAAATATTATCCAACCGAATATGGTCTCCATCACACATGGTTCACCAGAAATTATGGGACTGTTTTCTTTTATGATGTCTGAAAATCGGTCTACCCCAAGAAGGAGATCAATTGGACCTGGAGTTTGGAAACGTTTGTTTTAAATTTTTCGAGGATGTTTGAAGAGAGGGTCGTTGGAGGTATATGATTAGTAATGCTTGAAAGAACTAAGGCTTGCAAAGAGATAGAGCTATGAGGATCAAAACGAGATTTTAACACGCAGGTAACAAACTAACAATTCCGAAAGGTTTGGTAACGGTATTACCAACTCCCGTAATCGAAACTTTCGATGCATGAGAAGGTTGCTTGGCAGATGTAAAGCACAAAATTTGATTTATATACATGGAAGCGAGAAGTCGGGATTTTGATATTGTTCCATGAGCGCATCATAGGCAAGTTTGTAATTTTCGGGGCTTATATGAAGACTGGAAACCACAGAAAGTGCCTCGTTTCTTAAACTTGATAACAAATATTGAAATTTCTCAGTGTCCCCGATCGAGTTATTAAAGTGCACAAGCGAGTTAAATAGAGAAATAAAAGATGGCCATTCTGCCATCACCCCAGAGAAAGTTTGGAACTGAATATTGGGTAAGTGGTTGCCGGACGTAGGAGTTTCATTTTTGGGAGGAGAACTCGCAGAGGAAACACTAAGATATAATCTCCGAATTTCACAAAATAAATCGTCGAAGGATTTTTGAACAGAATTTATGCCTAGTCCCTGTTGGGGATACTGGAGTTTTGAGTTAAAATCGATGATGTTGTCTTGAATCGTTTCCAAACTAGCTTCCAAACTATTTAATTTTTCGTATATATGGGCGTAGCTTGAGAAATTGGTTTTGTTCACCTTTTTCATCGTTTCGTGATAAGCTTGAACTCGAGTAAATAGCTGCTCACGTTTTGATTTAAGCTTAGCATAATTTTGAGCATTGTGTCCTGTGAGTTCCGGAATTTTGCTAGGCTCCTCACTCATTGTTCTGATTACGTGAAATAAACAATAGAAATGATAAATGATAGAGTGAGTGTGGTGTTCAATACTTTTTAAAAGGATAGTTCCTACTCACAGTAAGGTGCTTTCTGTGAGTAGGAACTATCCTTTTAAAAAGTATTGAAATAAACAAGGTTAATATACAAATGAAACAATTAACAATCCTTTAGAGTATAAGAAACGCAATGAAATTTCCTTTAAAATGATACCGAACAAAATGAAAACGCAACAGAATTTATTTTTCTCAATAACGACTGAAATTTAAAAAATAAACAAACAATAAATTGCAGATTTATCGACTGACCACTCTTTTAAGAGTTTCTGACAAGAGGAATAAACAAAAATTAAAGTTATCTTTGTAAATCGATTAGTATTTAAATTATAACGAAATGAATTTTTTGCTTTTAAAATTAAATGGATTGTGTTGTCGGGAAAGAAGGCGATAAGGACAGGATTACCGGAAGGCTGGTGGTCCCACGCCTTATCTCTTTTAGTGAAAAGAGGATCAATTAAAACAATATTAAATTTATTTATTTATTTTTTTTATATTATTTTTTATTTTTTTATTTTTTTTTTAATGCGGCCTAGGAGGACCAATGTTACGGCCAATGCTGTGTAAGAAAAAAATAATTATTATAAAAAAAAATGAAACATTAATAAAATAAATTTAAGAAAATTCAAAATTAAAATAAAATAAGGGAGAAATTCATAGGGGACTTACAACCTTCCTTCAGATGCTTGCTGCAAGAAGCGTAGGGAGCTCAGGCCCGATTCCTCTGACTTCGTCACAGAATATCCGATGAATTCAGGTGGAAGAGATCGATGCAGCAGCACAGAGGGTTTTTCGTGGTCGCGTGATTAAAGACCTTTTTATTAATACGGGAGAAAAAGCATGAGAAAAGAGAGACGTGAGTACCTTTCTATCATAGGAGTAGAACAGGACTGAGTTTGCAAGGAGCGTGGGAGTAGGATTAGGGATTACAATAATCCAAAACAAAGTATATTTAAAAATGAGATGGCTGGCGCCAACAATGGTGTTATTAATAAAAACAGCAACCATATTTGGTTTAAAGAAAAGCACATGGGGCTCGTGAAATAAATTTTTCTTGGAAATCAATGTTCTAGTTTTGCAATCTAAATTAAAAATGTGGGGGTCTCATAAACAAAAGTAGGACATATTTTATGACAAAAACAATGAACTAAAAATTATTTAAGGAACTGATGAAATATTAAAAATTTGGCATCACAACAAAAAGTAAAATAAATAAATAAAATCAGACCAAAATTAAAGAAGACACCTTCCATGGGACACCCTGTATACTTGAACCATATTTTTTCAACTCAACCAAGACCTTAGAATAAAAGTATAATTGATTAAAATAGTAAAAATCAAATTATTCTGCTTGACCTTATGTAATTGCTTACAACAATTATATTTATTTAACAATTTTTTCATTGTTTGTTTATGTCTCAACAATAAGTATTGGAAAGATTATTTTGGTTGTTGAAATTATTTTTAGGTAAGTCTCAATGCCTGGTACAATTGTCAACATTTCCCGTCGCCGTTTGTCATGGGTCCGGTGCTACTCCAAAAGAGGCACAGGCTTTGGCCGCACTTGCTGCTCTTGAGTACCTAAAGCTGATGACAAAGAAATGAAAAATTGAAAGGATTCTAATGGATTTTTTTCTTTTGTTGGTAAAAATTCATTGCCTCTCAATCATTCATTAAATGAAAACAGGGGATTTTCAAATTGATGGTTTTACCATGTAAGGTGGCCCCGCTGCCCTAATACGTTGTTCTACAGACCATTGGCAGACAAAAGTATTCGCCGTTGGGCCAAATTGTCCAGATAATTCACTTTCAATTATGTATTTATCACAAAATGTTTTTATAGGGAAAGTTGGTATAAAAACAAAAATGAGATTTTTTTCTGGACATATTGGCCATTATTCTTTTGAGAAAGTGTGCAAATAATATACAAGCTATACTTTGCATAGAATTAGTGGATTTTTTTCTAACTGTAAGGTAACTGAATTTGTGGATTTTTAATTTTCACTTCATTAAAATTGAACCAACATGCTTTGAAGAATTGTTCATTAATATACCTTTAAGTAGGAAAATAGGCATTATTTTAATGCAAAGTATAGAAGTTGTACTACCTTAAACAATTTGTTTTTTAATTTGTAAGGCTTTATTGTAATACATATGTAATGTAAGAGATGTTATGCTTAGGATTGTTCTATTCCTTTAAAGTGAAAAAGTTTTGATAATAAAATTAGTACTTTTAAAACCTAATAGTTGGACCGTTAAATATATAGTCAGCCAGTCGTTAAGAACAAGTTTAGTTCAAGTTAAAAGTTATTGGGTCATCTTAAATTTTCTTCCTATTTTATTTTATAAAATTTCAACCAAATTTTAATTTATGCCTTGCTTCAACTATTTAAAAAAATTCAAACTGTATTTACCATGTTTTTTTCTTTATTTATCCATTTTTTAAGGAAGAATAAACACAAAAATAAAAAGTTATTAAAAGGTGTTGTTCTGTTTGCTATTGTGTTGTTGCTGTCTATTAATAGAGCAAAGTTTACAAAAAACACTATTTATTTTTTGCTCCACTATACTACTACAAGTACAAAGTTGAATTGTTTTATTTTTAGTACTTTAATTTTACCATTAAATAGTCATAATATTTAAGTTTTTATCTCTCTTAAAAGTGTGCAATTTTGTTTTAAACTAAATACATTATAAATTTAACAATGTTTATTAATATTAGTGTCAATTGCTCTCCTTGTAAATCCTCTTTAGTTCCTTACCTTTTACAATCAAATGTTGCTTTTTCCAAGTCAAATGTAATCTTTTACAAATCAAATTTAGCCCTTTCCAAGTTATGTGTAAACTTTTATAAATCATATGTAGCCCTTTCCAAGTCGCAAGCAACCCTTCGATTACTAGCTCAACTTGTATAGACCTATTGGTCTCACATCATTCACGTTAAAAACATTAGAAATACTGGTAGAGGACCACATTCGAGAGACAGTACTGAAGAACAAACCACTCAGGAAGCGACAATTTGCATACCAACAGGGATATCCACAGAGCTAGCCATGGATGATCTATGTAAATGCCTAACCAAGTCCAAGTTCACAAACGTCAATGGGATAGCTGTTACCCTTTTTATGGGTATAGAGTAAGCTTTTAACAATGCAATCACAGCCTCTCTATGTAGAACAATCAAAAACATGGGTGTCTCGGAAAACATTGCTAATGGATTGAAGTAAGACCAAGGAAAAGAACAATCACATCCACCTTGGGCAGTGCGACCATCCAGGCTAAGATAGCCAGGGGATGCCCACAAATGGGGGGGGGTCTCTCAACTCTACTATGGATGAATGATGATGCTGGTAGATGAACATCTACAAACACTGGAACTTGTACTTTCTAGGGCTATGGGTCGACCTTGCAGTAGTAGTAAAGGGTCATGATGCAAACATCGTGATGGATCATATACAACGATCCCTCACCCTAGTTGACAGGTGGTGAGAAGGAAGGAGCTTACCCCCACAAAACCATAATGATTCCATTCACAAGGAAGAGGACAATAGGAAGCCTAAAAACTACAAGTCTAAACGGAATCCTGACACCATTTTTCAGGCGGCCAAATATCTAGGGATCACACTTGACCAGCGGCTCACATGGAATCCACATTTAATAAAACCAACCAGAGAGCCAAAATTGCCTGTGGGAGATGCAGAAGGCTTTGTGCGAAAAATGGGATTAAACCCCAAAATGCCCTTAAAGGCTGTACACCGTCTTAAGACTTATGTTAAAATATGGGTCAGTGGTGTGGTGGACCAAGACTTCAGGTCAAGGCAAACAGGTTGTTATTGGCACTGCATGACAAGCTTGTCTCAGCGTCACTGGAGCCATGACCCATGAGCACAACTGCAGCTCTGAAGGTGTTGTAATACCTCCCACCACTTTATATTTTAAATCCAGGAAAAGCCCACAGGCTCACAAATGAATTTCCCTCTGCAAGAAAAGGCCATATAACTATAAACAATGGAAATGAGGGAGGAGATACAAGCAGATGCCATATTAGACATGCCAATCGATGCCACTGCTCCAAAATACAATTTTACTAGAAAGTACAAGGTTCTGATACGAGAACGGGAAGAATGGGCCGGCAAACTCCTACTGGTACACTGATGGCTTCAAATTGACAAGAGCAAGGGGGCTGGAGTCTTCAGGATGAATCCAGACAGAACTGATGGTAAACCTAGGTAAATATGCTAGAGTTTTCCAGTCTGAAATCATAGTAATTGAACACTGTGCCAGGGAAATAAAAAGGCTAGGAATACATTCTCGGAAGATAACTATCTTCTCTGACAGTCAGGCAGCACTAAAGTTGCTAGCTTCATGCGAGGTGAAGACAAAGAGTGTTTGGAACTGTAGAGAGACCCTGACGGAAGTCAGCGACCCTATGGCCTCCTGGCATGGGTTTCTCTGGGCATAGAGGCAACAAAAAGGTTGACATGTTGGCCAAAGAGAGAGCCAACATGGGCTCTCTAGGTCCTGAACCCTACTGTGGTTTAGCATCCTACCACAAAAGAGGATACTGTTAAAATGGATCTTTAAGAGTCCAAAACGGCAAAACCTGGTGGAACAATAGCAAGTGAAGAAATTCATAGAAGGGCCATCCACAAAACTTACAAAAGAATTACTGGAAGGCAACCGCAACCGAACCAGTTCTGGTTGGACTCCTGACGAGGCACCGCAACTTAAGACAGTACATGCACCGGAGGTCTATGTAGGTGCAGGTTCTTGCAACTAGGAAAGGAAATAACCTGAAGCTGACCAATGAGTTATAAAAAAAACAGGGGAGCACAGTAGATCTACTCAGTCGAGGTGCAGAAGACTGCCTCTTTTATCCCTATCCTATATGACTTGAAACCCTTTCCAAAACGCATGTAACTAACTCTTTACGACTCAGTTGTTGTCAGTTTTGCCTTCATTGTGACCATTTCCATTGTTACCCTTACAAAAAAATTTCCTGTCCTGTGTAATGGGTGAAGTTGGGGCCCTTGAATTCACCAAGAAAAATGATCGCAATTGTTTTTACCTTTTATTAGCACAAATATACAACTAACTAATGTAAATTATTTTCAGAAAGCAATGTTTTTCTCATTAAACATAAGTGCCCTTTTTTTTAAGGATTAAAACACAAAAAGTTGATTTTTTCTCTAAGGGAAAAAATATGTAAACTAAACTTAACAACAGTTTCTCCTGTTTTTCACGAAAATTCTCATAGCAAAAGTACAGAAACTGCTAAGTTCAGTTTACATTTTTTCTGAGAAATTTTTTTTAAAACTCTTTTCCTTCATTTCTGTAAAAAAAAAGAACGATTATGGTTATAAAAAACTTTTTTTTTAGCGTTAATTTGCTGTATATTTGTGCCAATAAAAGTAAAAAAAAATCAATAATTTCTCTCAGTGAATTCTGTGGCTCCCAACTTCACCCATTCCACAGTATGGTAAGTCTTTTAGTTTTTGATTTGTAAACGGTTACATTTGCCTTAGGAAAGATTCAAATAGACTTGAAAATGCATGAAGGTACTTTTCAAATTTGACTACATAATAAATTTTGAACAATCATAAATGTAACATTTATGTCTGCAGTTCTGGGCCATCCGACAGCTTGGTCATTTCAGCTCTGAGCGCATGCGAAATATAACAGCACACATTCAATATGCATTCACACAAATAAATACATTCACACCTATATACGTTGCATTCATTCTATTTAGTAGATGGAGTACTCAATATTCCTCCATCGACCTGCATACAATAACAAACAAATCTGATTGGGATCGATGGGGTACTTTCATAAATATTCCGCCATCGACCCAAGTCACGTACACAAGTCACAACTCAAGGGGCAATGGGGATGCTATTTAACCTTTACCTCCTCCCAATTCATCAAATACTTAATACATTCACTCATACAAAACACAGAAACACAAAACACATATTTTGACGGCTATAAACAATAAAAAATACCCAATTCCCCTAAATTTTTGTTCTTTTATAATTACGTCTATTTTGTGGTAGTATATGTAAAGAAAAACAAACAACTGGTGTGGTAAATTAATAAAGGGTTTTATGCATTCCCTCTAGGCTAGTTGGACAAAGATAAGAGCTTTCCGCTCCGATTTTGAATTTAGCGATATTGACTCTCGAAATCCGGTTCGGCCATATCTCGTATTTTATAATCATCAAAAATTCCAAGAATAGACGATATTAATATCTCGAAAAGTAATTTTTTTTGTTTTAATGTAGTCCTACTTAATTGGGTGGAAATGAGAGTGGGAATTTCCAGTATATTTATCTACAACAATATGTAAATTTTGGTACAGACCAAAATTAACTTAATATAAATAATGAAGGTGGGGTGAGTATGTCGATTCACTTTTTGTAAAAGATCGTTGCTACTCACAGGTTGTGAGTACGAATCATCCTTTACAAAATGTAAAGTAAAATTTGTAAGCTTTTCCAACTTTTAAAAGTGACGAAGTTTTTATAATCCAGATACACATACATATCCAAAAAAAGAAAAGCAAGAAATAAAGCAAAATTAGATTTGCTATCTCTAAATACATTGCTTATTTAGTATATATACTCATTTTTTCAAATAATTATTACTCCTTTTTCATAATAAAGTTTGTTGATTGAAGTTTAAATAGATTACTCAAAAGTACCTCCTAGCTTCTTATCCTATTTTGCCGGAGACGAGGTTAAAGGTGGCTGAGTGGTTAAGACGTATTTACCACGCTTGCGGTCTTGGGTTCGAATCCCGGTATAGCCCTCGGATTAGATTTTTAGTTATTTAAGTTAAAGTGCTAGACTTCCTCAGACGGTTTTAAACCACGAGGAGCCTCAGTCTTGTTTTGTTATACATATTTCCAAATAGTAAACTTTGTATGTAGAATGAAGAATAAAAACATATTGTAGTAGAAGTAGGTAGTAGTACTACAGCAGATAGAATCAGATTGTAAATTAAAGAAGTATAAATGTTAATAATTAACAGTCAAAAACAAAAATTGAAATCTTCTTTTGTTAAAAGCGTTTGATACGGAGCAGATCTGATTTATATTTTTTTTAACGTAGTTAGTCCAAGATGTCTCCTACAAAATGGGATAAAAAATCACGATGGAACTCGGTGGTACTTTTCATGATCGATTTAAACTACAACCATTATAATTTATTATGAAAAAAGTATAAAGTTAATTGAAAAAATTATTATGTACAGCAATGCATTTTGATATAGCAAAGTTAATTTTGTGCCGTAACCAAATTTAAAATAAAAAAAATAATGTTTTTGAAAAGTTAAATTATGGGCTCGAAATCGAAATATTTTTACCTTTAATATTGTCGTCTAAAGATAAACTTTACTCATAATTTCTAGTTTTTATTAAAGGGTTCGATTTTTTATTTCCTAAAATATCGCAATCCTGCCTCCTGCCCTGATTCCGCCGTGTCTTATTCATATAGTTATATTTCAGGAAGATTGGGGATGATCAGGGATGGTACGTAAATACTATTTTATTTCCTATATTATTCCTATATATTTACGTCCAATTATTTAAGACAAAAAGAAAATTGTTAAAAAAAAAATCAACCAAAATTTAATAATCGCACGCCGATATAAATTTGCGCAGTTGAGGCCGTAAAGAACGGTTAACGTTTATCTAGCGACTATCACGAAACTGTTCCTGCCGGTAGATAGGAAACATCCTGCAACTCCTTTCAAAAAAGCCGACATACCATCACGAGATGTTGCTCTGGGTGGTCATAATATCTTTGACCGGTGCGGTCAAAAGCTATGGCCGCCAGGATCAGTCGGAGTTTGAAGATTTCTATGACCGACACAATAGGTTTAGCGGGCAGCAACCTGTAGAAGATCCCTTCTTTCACGATGAACCAGGTAAAGAACAATTTGCCAAGCATGAAAAATTCGTTGGACAAGAGCCGGTGGAAGACGCTTTCGTTCATGAAGAACCTCATAAAGAACATTTCGGCAAACATGAAAAATTAGTTGGACAGGAACCTGTGGAAGATGCTTTTTTCCACGAAGAACCACCAAAAGAAAGTTTTGGTAGGCATGAAAAATTCGTTGGACAAGAGCCGGTGGAAGACGCTTTCGTTCATGAAGAACCTCATACAGAACATTTCGGCAAGCATGAAAAATTAGTTGGTCAGGAGCCTGTGGAAGATGCCTTCGTTCATGAAGAACCTCATAAAGAACACGTAGACAAACATGAAAAATTAGTTGGTCAGGAGCCCGTGGAAGATGCCTTCGTTCATGAAGAACCTCATAAAGAACACGTAGACAAACATGAAAAATTAGTTGGTCAGGAGCCCGTGGAAGATGCCTTCGTTCATGAAGAACCTCATAAAGAACACGTAGACAAACATGAAAAATTAGTTGGTCAGGAGCCCGTGGAAGATGCCTTCGTTCATGAAGAACCTCATAAAGAACACGTAGACAAACATGAAAAATTAGTTGGTCAGGAGCCCGTGGAAGATGCCTTCGTTCATGAAGAACCTCATAAAGAACACTACGACGAAGTTGAAAAATTAACTGGACAGTAAGTTTTTCAAATTTATTCAAAATTTATTACTGCATTGAGTCAATTAAAATTTGATTAATCCAAATAGTAAAGGATTTTAACAAACTAAGTTTCACTTTCTTAACATTTTTGTTATTCTTAGCAAATGATGAACTTGTTCCATAATTTGATGAAATTCAATTGCCCTAGTAGATCATCATCCATTTTGTATAAGATTGGTTGATTTTCACTAGTCCATACTTGAACACATTTTGTGTCTTTTTAAATTATTGTAATATACTGTTTTTATTGTGTATACAAATAGTATAATTGAAGAAGAGGTATTACATTTTTTAATATATTTATGTAATAAATACTTTTGTATATTGACCAAGTAAATCTTTAAATAAAAATAATTTACTTTTATACATTTAAGCACATTACTTTTTGATTATAATTATGAAATAAACTTCTGATACAAGTCTATCTATCACTAGTCTAATGGTAGACACATTTTCAGGGATCAAAATGAGGATAGTGTTCAGTCAGATCGAGGATACAGGTAAGGTTAATTAAATTTCATTCATATTCATAAATGTAATATTAAATAATTGTGATCTGATTTCACCTTTAACATTTTTCATTCCGAGAATTGCTCTTGAAAGTATAATCAATATCTTATTATGATAATTGTATTGTACTTGGCATATTAATCAACCATCAAAAATGTATTGTTATCGGTTTGGAAGAAAAGGTTTATAACTTCACAAAGCTATCTCCACATGGATAAAAGTTAAATTGTTTTTAAGGATTTAAATAAAGATATTTATATATTTTCAGTCAGAATTAATGGCCATTAATTACAAACAATTGTGTCATTATCATAATAGTAATAAAAATAGCTTTCAACTTAATTTTTCATATCTTGTTTTACTTATTGAAATGGTATAAAAGGAACACAATTTAGAAAAATAACAGACAAACCCACCACTGAAATGACGACATGCCCAATTATTGGTCTGGCAGACCAAGCCCATGAGTATATGCAGACCAAACCGATTGGTTATGGCAAATTATGTTGAAAAATGAAAAGGTATTTGATCATTTTTGATATTTAAATTATTATTAACAATTTTTTCATTTGAAATACAACAAGTTAAACCAGTTATCCCAGTTTTTCATTGAAAAGTTTCTTTTTTTTTTTGCTTCTGTTTATTTTTTTTAATCTGTTTCTTCAACATTTCATTTATTGGTACTTTTTATTCTAAATAAACAATAAACTTGTTTGAAGCATGAAAAAAATTCACATGTAATGTTTTAGCAACTCTAAATATGGCTATGGTTCTTCCAAAACTTCTAGTGGATATAATTATGGTTACTCAAACCAAGGAAAATATGATAATTCATACAATGGCATGGGTCATCATTACAGTGGATATGGCCACCATCTTACAAATGGTAAAACCGTATCACATACTTTTTTTTAAAAATTGTATTATATATCTACGTCTTTTTGTAGGAAGATGTAAAGCAAAGTTGATGACTCCAATGAACTCTAAGCTGGTCTGTCATGGGCAAAGGTTGATCAAAACTTAATATCACATAAATTAATTTAATATTTTATTAATTTAAAAATGTATTTCAGTTATTGTGTAGCGACATGTTTAAGTGGCTATACTTTTTCAACCGGTTTGTCTGAAGTATCTATAGTATGTGAACAAGGAAGCTGGAAGGTGAAAGATTCATCTACTTATAATATCCCATCTTGTTATCGTGAGTGCAGGACATTGTTAAAACAAATAAATTTGAACAATTTTTTTGTGTAAATTTTTAATTTTACTTGTTAAGCTACCTGCCTTCCCATGTGTCAGAATGGAGGCGAATGTGTGCAACCAAATAACTGCAAGTGTGTAGGTAACTTCTATGGATCTTACTGCCAATACGAAAGAAAGCCATGCCTTGATCGACCGCCACTTCCAAAAAATTCAAGGATCTCCTGTACCAATAATCAGTAAGTTTTATAGTATTTGTTAATCTTTATGTATACTAAATTGAAACGTGATGTAATATGAATTACATTGCAACACTGAACACAGGCTCTCATGAAATCCTAGGAAACTACAAATGGGGAGCAACAAGGGAAATTTTATTGAATATATTTAAATCACTGTTGTGCAGTAAATTAAATTATGGTTGCATGGTTTACTTTTTGGTTAGAAAAACAATATTAAAAAAATTGAACAATGTGTATACTGCAGGTTTGAGAATTGTGACTGGGGCGTTTAGAACAAGTCCCATTAATAGCCTGTCTCCCAACGAGAAAAGAAACTAGCTCATTCTGAGCTGTTGTGGAGGTATATGGGCAAGACAGTCGCATTTCCTTCACTCAGTATTACAAAATGATGAACAAGCCAAGGAGTTTGCATGGCTGAGAACCGACATGAGACTGATGGGCGTAATATTACATGAACTGGTATCTATGGAAACAAGCATGGATAAAGTTCTCCCGATCTGCAAAGCAAAGTCGGAACTTTGAATGCACCTGACACCGATTGTGCAATTTGACATGGTGGCTAAAAAGAAACAGACGACCCCCTCCTGTCTATATAAAACATTTTCCCTTCAATAAAGTATAAAAATTTTCAGACACATGATTTATATACACAGACGGATTGAGAAGTGCCGTATACATGGGGGACACCTCTCCTGTGCTCGCCAGCATCTACACCGCAGAGTTGACCACGATATCGCTCGCGCTGAGCAAATTGATAGCCTACCAGATACAAAATTTGTAATCTGTACTGACTCACTCAGCATAGTCTCAGCCATTTAGAACAAATTCTCCATGGACCTATTAATTGGAAAAATTTATAAAAGCTTAAAGACATTAAAAGAGAAAAAGTATGAGGCAACCTTCTTGTGTATTCCGGGTCACATCTGCCTAAAAGGAAATGAAGACTGTATGAAGGCTGTGACAGTAAAACATATTTTGGAAGAGTGTGAACTGTACAGGATTTGGTGTGGCCTGACTAACAATTCACAGAAAATATTAAAGCACAAGAGTGATCATAAAGATAAACTCATTGGATATTTGAAATCCATAAACGCATATGATTATTTATAACCCCCTTATTTCTTGAATGAATGTATTTATTTGCGTGCATGGTAAGTGTTAATGGCCTGGTCTGTGGCAGAATATAGAATACCTCACAGACCTATCAAAGTAGATAGGTTGATTAGTATATAGTAGTGTGTAGTGAGACATGAGGGCAAGGCAGCAGCTTAATATCAGTACCATCAGTACCCTGGTGCCTCCCTAATTTTTAGTTGTACATACAGTTTGAAAGGCTCTATCTGTGAGAATGTATTTATTTGCATGAGTGGTTAGTGCATGGTGTGTATGTCCGGGTCTGTGGTGTAATATAGAGTACTCCAAGAACCTATCAAACTAGATGGGTTAGGTATAAAGTAGGTTTTTAGATAGAAATTATAAATGATGGGGTGAGGGTGGAGTTCAATCCTTTTTAAAAAAGATTTTTTAGATTGTGTGCGTGTTGTTGTAATATTGATTGAATTAGGACCTGCCACGACTCTCAGGGTTTCTGTTAACTCTGATGGTGGCATTTGACACATTAATATTTAATAATAAAATGGCTGTGACTACAGGGTTGATGGGGAGGGGACTGAACAAACTAGAAAACATAGTTCCAAATATATATTTATCAAATTTATGTTATTATATTTTTTGTTTGTGATTTGAATTATAAGTTTGAGTATTAAGCAATTCAAATTTGCCAATAGGATATGTGGAGAACATTGTAGTTTTTTTTACAAGGGTGTTTCAACGAGGTTATATGAACCTTCGAGGTGCTGGTGTTTTTGAAAAAAAGCCCATTTGTAAGTATGTCAGGTTCGAATGCAGGGGGCCCCTGGATTTGAACCGGGACCTTTACCTTATAGTGATGAGTGCCATGTCAATGCCTAACTCATTGTAGCCACTGACACTGCCCTATGGATTGTTCTTTCCAATATTCTTCCTACTTATTTTGTTATTGATGCATATATTTATCAATAATTTCTGCAAGTAGAGTTTTTCTGCGTGATTTTAATAGAACGCCTAACTTGAACGCAAGTTTATTTTAGTATAAAAATATTGATGCTTTTGTTTTCAGAGATTGTGAAGTGATATGCATGACTGATTATCAGTTTTACGATGGGTCAACAATGACAGAATTCAATTGTAAAGAGGGAGAGTGGGTGCCAGCTCGGAGAGATTGGTCGTATGTGCCAGACTGTGAGCCCATATGCTCACCCCCATGCGAAAATGGTGGTAACTGTCTTAGTTTCAATAGATGCCAATGTCCACAAGAATTTAGAGGACCTCAATGCCAATACTGTGAGTTTTCTATAAATAAATAATACAGAAAATAAAATTTATATGATGTTTATCTTCAAATAGTAACTTTTGAGCTTTGGTAGACTTTCCACTGTTAGATTACATTCAGTTGGAATAGTAGGGCTAATCATTCAAATGACTCTCCTCCTCATGATCTAATTTAAACTTACTTGTTTTGGTCCTAGGACCTTCCTCAGGTGACTAACACAGTGTCAATCCTAGAAAAATACCCTTAAAAAGAAGATCCTTGGATTGCAATCTTTCGAAAAATTGGCCGTACCATTTCAACTGAATATAAATCTTTTAGATGGAGTAAGCGAAATGTAAATTAATTTATGATTTATGACTAGTATTCTTACCTTCAAAATGTTTAAAAATTAGAAAATATTTATTTTGGTTTCAAATAATATTTTAGACATTTTAATTGTTGAGTAAACATTCTCTAGCTACAACATCGTGCGACGTTCGTGCCCTTGGTTTCAATGGTAACTACAAATGCAATGGAGATCATGAGAGTTTAAAATGTAATTTGACATGCCCTGATGGCATGTCATTCCAGAGTCCTCCTTCATTGTTTTACACTTGCAAATACCAGTTTGGTGTATTTGAGCCATCTTCAGTGCCAAAATGCATTTTTGGTATGTACTTATAGTTAAAATTAAATTGTTGATGATTTTTTTGACTCTTTTATTGTTCTTCAAGATCAAGGTGAATCTTTACTCAGTTATCTCTTTTCGGAAACAAATGAAACATCCTTGTACAACTCAAATAGCGTAAACAATCATGGAAACACCAAAGAACAAATTTTTATTGTAACTAAGAAGGAATCATTGTACTGGTCCTGTTATACCTGGCATGGTGATCACTACAGGACATTTGAAGGAAAAGTCAAAAGGTCAAATTTTAAATTTTATAAACATTTATTTTCAAGCTTTTAATTTGTGATCGATAAATTAAATATATCTTTTATTTATTTTTAAACAGCTTTAAAAATGATTGTTTACAAAAAATGATTGACGGTGTGCTGGAATTCCAAAAAGTGACAGTTGAAACACCCATTGTCAGAGATAATCACCCAGATAATGCCTTCTCTTACTTAATTGTTAATATTGATGTACACAAATTCAACTTTACAGTTGATGGTATGTTCATAAATAGATAATTCTGAGTTCAGGTGTTATTTATGTATATTTGATTTATTTTCAGCTTCAAATAAACTGAAGATTCATGATGGAAACTTGACATTTTATGCTCCTAAGAAATTTGACAGGTTTAAAATTGAATTAGGTTCAAACAGCATGACGCTCCGCATGGATAATAAATTAACTGTTAAATGGGATTTTAAAGTATATTTTTGTTTTTAATATTATATATTTTAATGCGATAGTTTTCATTTGTTTATTTTTGTGTTTAAGGATTTTGTCGAACTTAAATTTGAGAAATCTAATCTAAATTTGGCAAGTGGGATATGCGGAGTTCTCAATACTGAGGAAGCTGGAACTAAGCTGTTAAACAATGATGAAGGTTACCATTTTACAATATTATTTTATGGAAAAATCAACATAAAAACAAATGTATATTCGTGTACAATGATCGTTTCTCAATTTATTCTAGGTGTGTGTAAAAATGATCAAAAAGATCATGCTTGTGTGAATGAAATGACAGAAAATAAAGCAGCCAAATTTTGCCAAAATATTGTTGAAGATGAAATGTTCAAAGCCTGTAGACAAGTAATACCAGTTTTTACAGTAGAAACGAGGTCAAATTTTGTTGTCCTTTGCTCTTTAATATTTTAGGTGGTAGATGTTAAAGAATTTTATGAGGCATGCAAATGGGATTACTGCGCATGTGAATTAACTCAGAGGGAAAAACATGACTGTGGCTGCCTTTCAATCTCCATGTTTGTAAAAGAATGCAATGATCAGGGGTTTGAGATTGGTTCCTGGAGGAAGAATGATTTTTGTCGTACGTGATACTTACAAAAAATAGCCCTTGTGTAGTTAAATGTGAATTTCATTTCAGCGATGACTTGTAACGGTGGAAAGGTTTATAAAGTATGTGGACAAGACCAGGTATGTGGAGGTGCTGAAGCAGATGGTAGTCTTTGTGAAGAGGGGTGTTTCTGCCCCGATGGAACTTATGCACACAATGAGACATGCCTTTCCAAAAAACAGTGCCCATGCAAGCTGTTTGGCAGAGTTTTCCCACCTGGGAAAGCATTGCCTAAAGATTGCAACACTTGGTTTGTACAATATTAATGCATGTTTGTTACTGATATATATTTTTACTCATTAATGATTGGTTCTTTTTAATAGCAGAATCTTCTTCATTAAGTGAAGCTTAGTCAGTATAGTTTTTCTTTCCTTATTGTAGTCCCAACCCAATGTCTACCACAAACTGCTTTGCGAATTTGACCTCAGCCTATCCTACCTGAACAGTTAAAACATAGGAAGCATAGCTCCACACCACAGTAACTGAGTGTGCAAGTGATAGACTCTTGGCTCATAGACTCCATGGTCATGATTCAATTCCCACCATTGCCCCTGGCCTTTTTTTTCACCCTATCCATCACCCAAGAATTAAATTAATTCATCACATTCACTGATTCAAAAACGAACAAATTCTAAACAAAAATGTTGTAGAACACATCCAAAGAGTATTATTTATTAAAAAACAAATTCACCATTTGGTTGACTGAAGAATGATTGATATATGTATAATAATAATATCATCTTAACTAACCTTAGTGTATATCTTTTAATTGTACAACCTAGTAAGATGCTTACTGTGTATTGTCGGCAATATCAAAATATAATTTACAGACAGAATCGATTATGAATGTTCCTTTTCAATGGCCAAGGAACTTGTATATTATTTGTGGTGGTCAACAGGCAATGTACCTAGGAAGGTGTCATTGCATTTTATAGGTTTTTGGCACATACACCAGTGTGGCCCATTTTCCTTCACAAGGCCAAATATAAATTTTATTTCTTGCTTATTATTTTATTATGTTTACTATCCCAATTTTGTCATAGAGTCAATAATTCTATACTTTCTTGCTGATACTAGTTTATTTCTTATCAACTGAAAATGCAGGAGACAAAAGGTCCAAGTATCATCCGCACACGTTTGTTCTATATTCATACAAACATGTGCCGAGTTGGGCCTAGTTGCTTCTCTATTCATTCCAGCTTTTGCTATTTACAGTAAATTGCTGGCAGACATGAGAATCACACACCCCGGGGTTGGCATTCCGGGGGCCGATCAAATCTCAGTCTTATCCGTCCAGCCACCAAGATTTTCGGGGGGGGGGGCTGTCAACACGTAGGTCAATTCAGCACCCAGCGCTTGCAGTTCCAAACCCATTCGTACTCATGTTCATTTTTAAATACATTCACTCCTAATACAGGAATGAATTCAATTAGGTGGGACACATAGAATAAAGTCAATGTAGGAAGCCTCTAAACTTTGATACTAATACATATTTCTTCATCATTGATGTTTTAAAATAGGAAAAATACTATTTTGTATTTTGTTTGTTGTGATTTTTCATTTTTCTTTGACAGCACTTGCACTGATGGCACCTGGGTGTGCACAAAGGCTAATTGTAGTGCACGATGTGAGGCTGTAGGGGACCCCCACTATTTAACATTTGACAAAAAAAATTTTGAATTTATGGGAAAATGTTCTTATATAATGTTGCAAACTGATAGATACACAATTGAAACTGAAAATACCCCTTGTGACGGTGCAATATCTCAGGTTTGTTTGTAACTTCCACAAATTTTTGTCAGTATACAAAATTTATGTATATATATAAATATTTTTAGAGTATGGGTTATTCTACTTATTTTTATAAAGATGAACCTTCTTGCACTAAGTCAGTTGTAATCAAAATTGGAGAGACAGAAATAAAACTGAAACAAGGTCATGAAGTTTTGATCAATGGAGTTAATCACAGATTGCCCGTGACTTTGAATGCAGCTCATATTCGTAAAGCATCATCTATTTTCATTCAAGGTATTTTGAAACCATTAATTCACAAAAAAAACTTGGTTATGCATTTATTTAAAATAATTTTTAAAAAAGTTCAACATAACTGTAAAAATGTGTGGTGTTTAGTGACCGTTAGTTAATGATTATTTGGAGATCGTGAGATGCGGTCTGGTGTGACGTAAAGACATTTTACAAAAGAAAAACATTTTCTTTATCGGGCCAACGTTTTGATCTTTATTTAGATCATCTTCAAGGCTCAAAGTGTTTGTTTTTTATGTAGATATGTCATTCTTGTGTGTCATGTTGAGATTACCCTGTCAAAAATAAATAAATTAATTAAATTAAATAAATAAACCATACCAGAGCAAAACTTTGTTTGATACTAGAACTAACTTGTTATGCAGAGCACTTAAAATATTTGTTACAGCACGAAAAAAAGTTTGTTTCATATTACAGTATTTTAGTTAGTGATTGAAGCTGTTTTCATAAATATGTATTAGCTGTTTTCTTGTTAAAATTCTGTAACAATGTTTTCTTTCCCAGTAACATTAAATGATGGCGTTGAGGTCATGTGGGATGGAAAGACTAGGGTTTATGTACAAGCTCCTCCAACCCTCAAAGGAAGAACTAAAGTATTTTAATAATTTAAATGTTTTAGATTATGTTCCTAATTTATAAATTATTTAGGGTCTTTGTGGTACTTTCAATGGCCAGAGGTCAGATGATTTTCTAACTCCTGAAGGCGACATCGAGCAGGACCCAGTTGCTTTTGGAAACAAATGGAAAACAAAGGAAAGCTGCCCGACTATGGATACCAGTTTGGACAATCCGTGCACAAAAGCCGATTCAAAGCTCTACTCTCTGGCGGCCAAACTCTGTAATGTTATTAATGAACCACTTTTTAAAGGTAAATCATTTTTAGCAAGGTTTGTCTTTCATTTAATTTGAGTACTAGCTATATTTAAAATCATCTCTTTTTTTGCAATTCTAAATGTTTTTCTAAATTATACTGTATTTATATTACCAATAAATATTACCAATTATTTAATGAATTTAATTAAGTATGTTTACATATTTAAAAAAACAATGACTTCTCAATGGATTTTATCATTAAATGAAAATATTTTCCAGAATGTGAACTTGAAGATGATATAAAAGAAACATATTATAAATTTTGTATGTACGACATGTGTTCTTGCAACCATAGGCCTTCTGATTGCTACTGTCCCATAATTTCAACATTTGCGGACAGATGCTCTAAAGTTGGCCACAGGATTGATTGGCGGCCAAAAGTCCGGGAATGCGGTAACTACACCACAATGTCACAATAAACGAAAAGGCATAAGTACATTGGTAAATGTTTTCCAGGCCTCCGTTGCCCTCGAGGACAAGTCTATCAAGTTTGTGGAGATTCCTGTGCCAGGTCCTGCTTGGACATTTCAAGAGAGACATCATGCACTACCAACTGTCTGGAAGGGTGTTATTGCCCCCCCGGTTTTGCGATGGACCACAAGGAATCGTGCATCCCTATCTCCCAGTGTCCTTGTATCAGAAAAGGCCTCGATTACCCTGCAGGATACAAAGAAATACAACCTGATGCAAAAGGCCCTAATTTATGGTACTTTTAAAACTATAGTAAAACTGATATGTTGAAATAATTTGTATGAAAAATTTTGTATTTATAGTAAAAATGAAAGACCCACATATTACAAACCATTGAGTTCTTTCTCATAATTCATAATGACAAAAAATATTTCTTTTATTTTTGCATCTGATTCAATGTAACAATGTAATTTTTGTAGTACTTGTGTAAACGCACTTTGGGAATGTAGAAAGTCTTCAAATGATGAATTAATCACCTACAAGAATAACACAAAAGAAAATTTGATGTGTAGTAGTAGTAAAAACTTAATCTATACTCACTGTGAACCATCTGTACCAATTACTTGCAAGGTATAGTTTCCTCCTTGATCTGCTTGATTTAGCTTAATTTATAATTTTGTTTTATGATTAGAACATGCACAGTTATAAAAGAGATCAATCTGAATCTGCCTGCTATGGAGGATGCATCTGTAAAAAGGGGTATGTACTTGATTCTGTAACTAATGAATGCGTCAAGCCCAGCCAGTGTCCCTGTCACCACGGTGGGAAAAGTTTCCACGATGGCAGTGTAATTCATGAAAAATGCAACACATGGTATTTTAAAAAAGTATCTTAAGTTTTAAATAGTGACTTAACGATTTCATAATATTTGAAGTACATGTGCGAGTGGGAAATGGACCTGCACTGAGCACCAATGTCCTGGTGTTTGCACAACTTGGGGTGATTCACACTTCAAAACATTTGATGGACACATCTTTGATTTTCAAGGGGCTTGCGAGTATGTCCTTGTTAAAGGAGCTCTTTCACCAGATCCGGCTGATTGTTTTTCAATAATTGTTGAAGTAGGTTTGAATGAATTTTTTTAAAGAATTATTATTGCTTTACATTTTGTATCATGATTATGATTACTATAAAAGTTGTTTTTTATTTTTAGAAATTTTTAAAGAAATGTAATTGTAATAATTGTTTCTTCTTTTTTTGTGAGGGGGTGTCTTAGCATATTGAGTTTAAAATTGATCAAAATATAATTAATTTAAAATAAATAATTAAAAAATAGAGAAAGAAAGACATGAGAAAAAAGTAATGCTAATCAAATAATTAACTGCATGCAAAACTAAAAATGACAGTTAAAAAAAATCATGTGAGGATTATAGTGAATATAACAAGTTAATACTAACTTTTTAACAATTTTCATGGAAAACAAACAACAAATGCACTTTTTCATGAGAGGCAAATACTTTTTTGTAATAATAAAATAAATGTTCTTTTTCTGGAAAACTTTATTTATATAATATTTTAAACCATAATATACAAGTTTAATATTTTTTAATAATAATTTGTAATTACTTTTTCAAGTGCTTTGTTTTCTTTTTTTGTTAATTATGAATCCTTATACAAGTATTTTTAAATAATTGTTATTATTTAACAGCTTGTCTCTTGTGGATCTTCTGGTGTAAGCTGTTCTAAATCTGTAACGATCAACATTGGATCTGGTGATGACAAGGAGTCTCTTGTTTTAGCTGACCGAAAATCTACTTCTACGACTGAACTTAAAAGGTAAACAACATCCCTAACCATGATTATTTTTATTAATTATTTTTAAATTTGATTTTTTCTTCTTAGAATTTCTCAAAGGGAGAGCGGAATGTACATATTTGTTGAAATTTTTACATTTGGAATAGTACTTCAGTGGGACAAAGGGACGATTATATCTGTTAAACTGGATCCAAAGTGGAAGGGCAGGGTAATGTGAAACATTGTCTCTTCGGTTAAATTTAATTACTACTGGTTGTAATATTTCAGATGAAAGGCCTTTGCGGAAATTTTAATGAAGTTTATTCAGATGATTTCCAGACACCTTCGGGTGGAGTTGAGATGTCAGTGGAGATTTTCGGTGACTCTTGGAAAATATATGACTATTGCCCTAATGGAGAACAAATCAAGGTAGCTCCAACCAAATTGAAATTACCATTTAAACAAAATTGCCTTCATACATATTTATTAAATATTATCACTTAAAATAATAAGTCTTTTGTTAGGAAATTAATTATTACAAAAAGATATACATTACTGAATATTTTAACAAAACAAAACATACTAAATTTTTTATTTACTTAATTTGTTTCTTATTACAATGAAGTCTATCATGACCTCTCTGGACTGTTGGTGGAGATATTATGTATTAAAATACTTATTAATTAAAGATGATGATGGGAGTTGTTCTGAACTCACGATATTCACTAACTGAGTCCGTTCTTTGTAGGTTTGTTGAATTTCTCAAATGCATTTGGCATTTTGCCATCTTCAGTGAGGAACTTACTTGTTAATTTCCCTTTAAATGGGTGTTACTTATTTTATGTCCCTGAATAATGGTGTAGTTATTTATAGGCTAACAAATAGGTTATGGTTGTCATCTGGCTCTCTGCATTAAGTCTCATAATGTAATCACCAAGAAAATTATGTTCAATTAAAAAAAAGTTTTAGTTATGACATTGCTCTATTGTATTAATTTCTATCAAATGCATTGTATGTTAAATAATGAAAAACTGGAGGAAACATGTGATAATATTGCTAATATTAAACAGGATACTTGTGAGATTCATCCTTTACGGAAATCATGGGCTCTTGAGAAATGTTCAATTCTCAAGTCAGAAAAATTCACTAGATGCCACAGTGAAGTGGCCGTAGATGAATACTTTGCAAGATGTGTGTTCGACGCATGCGGCTGTGATCAAGGGGGGGACTGCAACTGCCTTTGCACTGCCATCGCTGCATACGCACAGGAGTGCAATGTTCTTGGAGTGCCGATTAGGTGGAGAAGCCAAGAACTATGTCGTAAGTCTGTTGTAATTTGAAAAAAATAGCCAAAGGTAATTAACGACTTGATTTGAAATTAAATAATTACTTATTGGTTTGATAAGCTATGCAATGTGATGAGACTTGCTCAGAGTACAGCCCTTGCATCTCGACTTGCCCAGAGGAGACATGTGATGATTTAATGGAAAATAAGAAAATAAATAGTCTTTGTAAAGAAGATGCTTGTATAGAAGGTATAATTGTAGCTTCCAGTTACATAATTTAATGAATTGCTTATATAATCTTTATCTATTTTTGAGGTTGCAAGTACAAAAAATGCCCTGAAGGACAGATTTATCGTAACTCTTCCAAAGCAACCTGTGTACCTAAAGAAGACTGTATTCAAATTTGTATGGTCATTGATGGAGTAAAATTCTATGAAGGAGATGAAATCGAGAGTGATGAATGCCATAGATGGTATGTTATGTAATAACTGCAGTTGTGATTTTTCTTTAAAAAAATTATTATTTGGATGTGTGTATATTTTACTGAAACTGTAAGTAGATTTGTAATAAGTAGTGATCCTAATTTCTATAGCTTCTGCTCACAAAAAAAGAAATCATGCTTGGGACAACCTTGCAAGACTCTAACAACGACAGAGATTTCACTTCCAAGGGACGCAATGATGCCATGCATTTCTGGTTGGTCTGATTGGATGAACAACCATATTCATATTGACAGGAGTCAAGAGCGAGAGATCGAACCATTACCATCACCTAAAGATTTTCAAGGGGTACCTGCAATTCCTGATAAACAAATTATATAAAGACAATGTATGTTTTAATCCTTGATTCTTTCATCCTATAATTTTAGACAGATTCTCCGAGGTGTGAAAAGTCAAAAATGGTAGATATCAATTGTAGGACTGTAAAAGGTCAATATTCTCAAAAACAGATGGGCGAGGATGCTGTTTGCAGTTTAGAAACTGATGGACTCATCTGTAAGGGAGGCTGCCATGATTATGAAGTCCAAGTCTTATGCCAATGTGGTATGTTATAGTATAATACTACACTAAAAAAAACTGTTTTCACAAGTTATAAGCAAGCATGTTTTTCTTGCTTCGTTAAATTGTTGAATATCAGTAATGAATTTCCCACAACCATATAATATTTAAAAATCAATTAAATATTGCAAGAAATTTTTTTTCTTTTTACAGAATCCGAAACAACCTCCACCACTCTCAGTCCAATTGTTAATGAGGGTATGTATATGTTAACTTTTATTTTCAAAATGTTTAATGCTTATTTTTTTAAACATTTTAGCTGATTGCGATATCACACATCCCATGAAAGTAGACGAAAATGATTGTTCTAAGTATTTAGAATGTGAAGAAACATTATCAGGAATCAGATACGTTCAGAAGTCTTGTAAAGAAGGAACTCTCTTTAACAACGAAAGTCTAATATGTGACATAAAATCAATCGTTCTGAAATCACGTCCAGAATGCGAAGGTTTATCATTAGTTTATTTGATACAAGTTGTGATATTATGCTATAGCAAAATTATACTTTCATATCCTTAAAAAAGCATTGATTATATTGTAAATTTTGAAGAAAAAAATGTGTATTTCAGATTTAGAACAACAGGAAAAAATACGTGAACAGAATGAAACTATCCATGGTACAAAAATATTGTTCATCGTTCACTTTTGTGCACACTAAATGTCTTTCTTTTTAGGTTGTAGCCACGATGAAGTCTGGGATGATTGTGCATATCACTGTCACCAGTTGTGCAATTACGCAGAATTTATACTTTTCAAGGATCAGTGTGAAATGGGATCAAACTGCATTGAAGGTTTATATCTAATTTGAAATTTCAATTATTTTGAAAGTTGTCAAATCAATAGAGCAAAGCTTGGGTTTATATTTTTATATCATGACATCTCATTTTTTTTCTTGCTTAAGATTATTAGTTTTATTAATTAGTGTACTGATATCAGGTTGTAGGCCGAAAGAACCCTGTCAGTCCGAAAGACGTTGGCGTGACAAAAAATCTTGTGTTGAAATTGATGAATGCACTTGTGCATCACTGACAGGTGAAATGATAAAGGTAAGAAGGTCGATAAAGGAAACAACTTTTTTTTTCCCCGAAGTAGAATTTATATAATTTTCTATTTTTAAGCCTGGTGAAGTGGTAAAAGGCAACTGCACAACTTGCCAATGTTTAAAAAATGAATATCGTTGTCATGAAGACGATTGCTATTCAGTGACAATTTCTCCTCCACCAGCTACATTCACGGATATTGTCATTCTACCATCTACTAACACCCCTCCTCCTTCTTGTGATCAAAATAGGTAGTAAATTAGAATTTATGGGTAGACTATTTAAAAAAAATGTTTTCCGCTTTTTCTTCCTACACAATTAAAATATAATTTTCCAAACAGAAATTACCTTTATTACAACATAATTATATACAAATATAAATATATACAAATGTTAAAAGAATTGCATTGGGACTTGTTCGTTTTTAATGTAGCTGACTGTATATTTGCATAGGTTCAAGTCCCTCCTCCGTGAAGTACCTCAATCATCCTTCTCTGCTTCTTCGACATCCAAGGGATCAAAACCTTCTTACATAAGATTAAACAATACAGGTAGACACAATTTCATCTGCAGTTGTAACTGTTTTCTAAGAGAACAATGATTTTTCAGAGAGTAGTTGGCAACCAGAGATCGACGATGCTTTTCAGTATGTAGAATTTGACCTAGGTCAAGTACACGCGATATACGGAGTGGTCATACTAGGTGATCCCGTTGAAAATTGGTTTGTCAAATCATTTAATGTTCTATACAGCCTTGATGGGTCAACTTACAGCTTCGTTAGCTTCTTTGGAATGCCTGAAGTGAGTACATTCTGTAAACGATTTGATTTTGAAACATGTATTGTAAATTATTTATTTTTAAGGTGTTCAAAGGTCCTACAAGGAATGTAGAGAGGACCCAAAGGTTGTTTGATACGCCAGTTGAAGCAAGGTATGTAAGAATAAATCCAACATCATGGGTCGGGAAACCAGCAATGAGAATTGAAATTCTTGGATGTGCAAGCACATTCACATCTTCAGTCGAACCGACCAGTCTTGCAACAACACAAACACCGCCAAGTATATTATTTCATAATACTAAAACACACCCTTTTCATATCACATAAATGTCAAATTTATTCATTTTTATTTACAGTGTGCAATGATGAAATGTCACATTTGATGGACAATAGACAAATAAAAGTTTCTAGCTTTAACAAATTTGTTACTGTAACCATGATATCTGTGAAAGGTGAAGACTATTGGGCTCCTTTGACATCAGACAAACATCAATGGATTGAGGTAATTTTTTGTAACGGATTTAATTCAACCCTGTCATATAAAAGGGCTAAATGATGTTTCCATTTGAAAAAAATAAAAAAATAAGGCATTAATAAAATATCTCATTAGTGGAGGAACAGAAGTAAATTTTTGTTTTATATTATTTTTGCCGTTTCAGTTTGATTTTCTTGGTGAGAGAACAATTACTGGGCTTCTTATTGCTGGTAGTGGGTCTTTGCCTCATCGGTCAAGCTGGGTGTCTAGTTTCACTATTAACTACAGCCATGATGGGCAATCGTGGAATCCATTTTTAAACAAGGATGGGGCATTACAAGTAAATAAACTATTAATTATTATCTAAAAGTGAAAAATTAATTATATTATTGTAGATCTTCAAAGGAAACACAGACAGTATAAACATTAAGAAAGTTATATTCTGGAACCCCATTTCCACACGTTTAATTCGAATTTTACCTTTGAAATGGCACAAAAATATTGCTATGAGGGTTGAAGTCCTTGGTTGTTATGAACCTTACCGTAAGTGAACAAAATGAACTTTTACAAATAGATGAATAAAATATATTTTAATATATTTATTGGGTTGATAGCGATTCTCCCTGTTGTTCATGTTGAAACAACAACGGAACATAACTGTAACTTCTGCCCTGGCGTGACTTCTGCCATGGGAACTTGTCCTTGTTTGATGTCCAATGAGTGGTGGGATGGGGAGCAGTGTACAAGCAGATCGAGATGCCCATGTTTTGTCGGCTTTATTTCGTAAGTTGTATTATATAATAGTTAACAATTAACTGGAAACTTTTCCATAAACCATTAATTCATCTGTACTTAATTATTACAATGAAATCTCTCGATGAGGTAAAAAATGAAGTTCTACTGCTCAGTGTTCACCAACACCTTCAGCATTCCATTTCACAATCCCCATCCTCTCTTCAAACCCACTAATAATAATAATACTTTATTGAGAAAATATAGTAGCAATAACACAATATTTAAAAGTACAAAATTCTTTTACATCAATGGAATTTTAGCCATCTGCTTGGAGTTGAGATTATTAATGAAAAATAGATCAATAATAATAGTACTGAAATAGTCAAAAAACACTATATTCTTTTTATTTTATACATAAAACTGAAAAAAAAAGGAAACATAATCCTCCAAAAAAATAATAATTAATTAAAAATATGTATAATAAAATAAAAAGTATAAGAAATAATGTTAAATAATAATAAGAAAACAAACAAATAAAGTAAGTCAGAAATTGAATTGTGCAATAAGCACCCAATGGCAGGCTCTCAACGCTCAAATAAGAAGTGCAAATCTCAGACAGGATGGTACATTTTGCCAAAAAGTGAAAAAATTCTTTTTCTTTTTAATTACACAGAGTACATTTTATATCCATTGCTATAAATGATGTGGAGTTCAAGAAAACCAAAATTTGCTGTGCACTTTTAAAAGCCAGTGAAGATGTTAATTTTAACGTTCTCCCCAGTCTCACTTACCAAAGGAACTTGACGAGACTACTGTTAAGTTTTTTGTACAAAATAAAACTATCTCAGGGTTTTCGTTCACTCTGATGGTAGCATTTGACCTCAAATTAATATTTCATAATAAAATGTTGAATCATGGCTGTGACTGCGTGATTGATGACAAAAAAAATAAATAAATAAAATAAACTCAGATGACCATGTACAACTCTCTATTGCTGAACCTTTTATTGGACAGAATACAAACATCAACCAGAGAAATTATCCAGGGAGAACCAGAAAAAGGATGATGCTTCTATGACAGGAAATTACACTATTCACACCAAAATTCTTTATTACCTTTTCAGCTGTAAATTTGGTGAAATGATAAGCAAGGAGTTTCAAGTTTTTATGCTCATATTATTATTCAAAGCTCTTTACTATGTCACTGGCCTAACTATCCACAACGATTTATTTATACTAGTATAAATAAGCATTAGCTACACTTTCCAGGTTAAGAACCAGCCAAGTCGCCTTAAATGACATTGGTCTGGAGGCCTCCTTGCCTCATGTAATTTCTAATGTTGAGTGCAAGCATTGACTGGTTTCTCTTAACTTCTGTTTATATCCTCTGGGTCCAGTGCTGTATCTAGTGTTAGTGTCGTGACAGAGAAAATAAACATACATATACACACATTTGTATTATTTATTTTAATAAGTACAAGCTACAAATAAAGTATCTATTTAAAAACTGTATATATTATATTTTGTACTACTTTTTGAGGTGATTTTTTTAAATGTTTTAATGTTGTAAGTAATAATAATAAGTGCTTTAATAAAGTTGTTATAATAAATGCTTTGTAAAATATATTATTGCAACAGCAATCCTTTAATTCTCGCTTAAATTTAAGCTTTCATCAGTTGACATATAAACAAAACTGAATTTCAGATATGCCATTGGAGCTGTGTTTGATAATGATAAATGTGAGCAGTGCATTTGTGCTCTAAATGGTGTAACAGAATGCAAACCCAAAAAGTGCCCACCCTGCAGTCAGGTATGTCCAATTATAATAACATATATTTGTATAATATACATTTTTATTACTTTTAACAGGGTTTGAAACAATCGTGGACGTCTGAATGTTTTTGTGAGTGTGTACCTTGCCGAGAAGATGAGCGATTGTGTCCATCGTCAAATATTTGCCTGCCTTTGTCATCCTGGTGCAATGGAATAGTGGAATGCCCTGATGACGAACTCAATTGTTCTACAACTACAACTCCAAAAATTGAAAGTATGCTTTCAGAAATAAAATTTCTCGTTAATATGTTAAAAATTTACTTTATTTAGTGTCAGCAAGTTTTGACGCTTGTATGTTTATTCTAAATAATGAAGAACATCGATGCATTTTTAATTATCAATTTTGACAAATTTAAATAATCTTTTAACCATTAAAATCTGATGAACAAATGAATGAATATATCATTTCAGCCTTAATTAAACAAAATGTCCCAAAAGAAATAACAATTAGTCCTCTATATGTGTTTATACAAACTATAAATATCCATCCTTTCCTTTGTTAAGAAAGTAAAAAAATTCATTTGTTTCATTATTTTTAGCATCTGCATGTGCCCCTGTCGAATGTCCCCCAAGATCCAAACTTGTTCGTGTCGCCCAAAACAATCCAGATCAGGATGTTCCTCAGTGGAGTCCGTTTGGATCTAAAACTAAATGGGGCTCCTATTTCAAAGGGCGCTCCACTTATGCTGGAGGAAGCTACAAAGGATTTAAAAAATTGTACAAACCGTCCAAATCGTATGGCAGTTACAAGAAATCCATACCAAATAAATCTTTTACACAGGAAAAATGCCCTCAATATCAGTGTATACCTTTGGAACAACAGGAACAAAATGTGTGCAAAAAACCCAACTGCTTGCCAAAGTGAGTGATTTTTCTTTATTCTCTTATCCTTTTTAGCCTTGAAATACTTATTTTATTTTTTGGTAGTTATGATTTGAAAGAAATTATAAGTAAAGATCATGGTCGGTGCCCACAATACGCTTGCATTCCACACGCCATAAAACTTGCAGATGGTAAATGTAACATTACAGGGAGGACATTTACAACATTCGATGGAACTGAGTATAAGTATGACATATGTAACCATGTAATTGCCAGAAATGTTAAAGACAATTGGTCTATTATGAGTAAGATTTGTAAATGTTTAAGTTTGAATCAGGAAAAGTAAATAAACAAATAAAAACCTGTTCCAGAGAGGAAGAATTGTAATGGCCTAAATACATCTCCATGCTTAGAAATAACACAGGACAAAGATAAAATAGTTATTACTAAAGAGTTTAAATCCTACTTCAACAGTTTTATGTACACAGTACCACAGGTAAGAATAGAATAAAAATAATTATGCTTTCATTTAATTGTTGTTTTATTTAAGCTTCAAAAAATTGGTGAACAAAGTGTCCAGTTTGAAATTCAGCAAGTGAGTGACAAATTTTTGATATTTATAAGTATCAAAGATTTTTCTGTGATATGGGATTCCCAAGGAAATCTGAAAGTTATTGTAAGTTTTGTTATTAATTTTAATTTATAAGACAGTTAGACGATTGCAATTTCAGGTTTCTGGTGAATCGCAAGGAAAAGTTGATGGTCTGTGCGGCTTTTTTGATAGTAATTTGGAAAACGACAAACGTAAGCCCGACGGGACGTTGGCTAAGACAAGTGTGGAATTCGGTGACAGTTGGGGTGAAGGCAGTCAGTGTGAAACAATCACTTGCCCACTCCATATTCAGAAAGAGGCATGGGAGAAATGTCAAGCTTTCAAGTGAGACCAAAAATTTGTTGTATTTTTAAGTTTTCTTTCCACCAAATTTGACCAAACTGAGTGAAATAATAATTGTTATGTGGATGTTAACGGAATAAAATGTTACTTTTTGTTGTAATATTTATAAAATTTATTATAAAATTATAAAATTTTGTAAGATTTATTTATATTTATGAAAGTGATTGATACAGAATTTTATGTGAAAGTTAATCCATTATTTCTTAATTAAATAATATTGTCATATATTATCAATGTAATTGTGTTTTTGACACAGGGAAGAACCTTTGTCAAAATGTCAATCCGTAATGAACCTTGACAAGGTGATGTCGCAGTGCATGGAATCAGTATGCGCGTGTGTTCAGCAGGGAAACAGCACAGAAGAATGTCATTGCCAATCCCTCCAGGAAGCAGTGACTGAATGCCAAAGCAAGCTACCAGGATTTGACTTTTCTAAATGGCGGGTGAACCACGACTGCCGTAAATTTCTCCTCATTTAATTATTCCCCCCATATTTAGCATATTCATTGTACCTCTATTTCAGCTGTTGAATGTCCACCTGGATTAGTCTACAAGGAATGCTTTAACAAGATTTGTGAACCTTGCTGTTCTGAGCTGATGCTGGAGGATGCCTGTCCAGAAACGAATGAATGTTTCCCGGGATGTTACTGTCCTGATGGATATGTGAGAAAGTATGATCATTGTGTAAAACCGTCTGAATGCCGAGATTGTAAGTAGAGTTTTTTTTTAAATTTTTAAATAGAACATAAATTCTACTGAATATCTCAGGTCAATGTGACGGTTATGGTGGTTCGAGATATGTCACATTCGATAGAATGGATTATACATTCAATGGAAAGTGCACTCATATTCTGGCTCAAACAGTTGAAGGCCCATCAAGCTTACGATTCAAGGTTAGTTAAACTAAGATATTCTGGTCTATAAATTATGACGGAATAAATTATTTCCTGTACTTTTTCTAACCAACTCACAGGTTTTGATAACTCACAATCCTTGTGAAGATAACAAAGAACGAGTTTGCCTTTATATGATCACTGTTCTGTATAAGGAACATACTGTGCAATTAATAAACGACAGGAATCTAAAGGTCTGTACTGACACAAAAGAAACATATAAAAATTTGTAAGGTTTGGTTTTTTTAGGTTGTTGTCAAAGTAAATGATGAAAATGTTGATAAACCATTTTCAAACAAATGGTTAAATGTGGTCGAATCTCAGGGCAAGTGTGTGACTGTGAGTATACCAAAGTTGCAGCTCGATCTGGAATTTTTTAATGGAGGCAAAGGGTTTAACCTCCGTCTTCCTTCACACCTGTATAAAGGACGAACTGAAGGACTTTGTGGTATGTTTTATCTTTAAGTATTAAATGGCGGGTATACATTAAAAACATTTTATGAATTGTATAATTAATATGCATACTCAGCTTAATTTAGTACAGTTTGTATAAATCTTTATGTAAGGTATTGATTGAAATAAAAAGTCAGTGCCACGAGTGGGATTCGAACCCTCGCCCTTCGGCTAAATACACCGCTGCTCTACCACTTGAGCTATTGTGACTTCAATCCATTCGAACACCAACTTTCTATCTCAACCCCAATTTTCGAAATTTCCCTCCTTTTTGCCATTTTTCACAGTTTGTATAGTTGAGCCAGCCAATTTTCTCTTTATAAAAATTATTATTTTTTTCTTTTAAAGTAGGAAATGTGTTGGGATAACTATATAGAAAAGATACTATTAAGTGCATTTGTTACTTAAACCTTTTTTTCATAAGGAAGCATTTTCACAGAAAAAGAATATATATTTATTGTAGGTATGTTGTTAAACGGTTAAATTTTCAGGTAGCTGTAATTTAAATAGAACTGATGATTTCAAAACAAAGGAAGGATTTTTCACTGAAAATATTTCTAAGTTTGGAGACAGTTGGCTTTTTAATCTCTCTAGTGGTAACTATTAAAAAAAATACCAACTTTTATATATAAAAATACAAGAAATTTGTAAAATTGGATTTATTAGTTACAGATGAAGTCATGTGTATGGCTGAAGAAGTAGAAGCCTGCAAACCACCCAAAGAAAATGATCCCTGCTTGAAACTTAAAGATGAAAATCTTTTTGGACAAGTAATCTTTAAATTTGCAAATTAAACTAACATTCTCTCTCTCTCTTTCTCTCTCTCTCTCTCTCTCTCTCTCTCTCTCTCTCTCTCTCTTTTTCTTTTTCTCTCTCTTTATATATCTTTATTATTTTTCATATCTATATTTTATATCTTTTTTTTATATTTATATCTTTATATATTTTTATATCCTTATTATAATTTTATATCTTACAAATATTATTTTTCATTTAAGTGCCACGCTATAATTGACCCATTGCTTTATATTGATCAATGTCACAATAATCTCTGCCATGAGTTAGATATTTGTGATGTGCTGGAATCGTATGCTAGAGCCTGTCAAAGTGATGGAGTCTGCCTTAAATGGCGATCTCCTGATCTTTGCCCTTACAATTGCCCTCCAAGTATGTATATTTCTCAATTATTTATTGATTTTATTTTACAATAAAACACTTGATTAAGTGCGAATTTTTTAATGACAGATTTGGAATATGAGCCTTGTGGAACAGGTTGTACTCAGACATGCGATAACTATGAACTTTATAGAAAAAATCCTGATGCCTGTTCTGCTACTAAGGGGGACACGTGCATGTGTCCTAGTGGAAAGGTATTGACTTAAATCATGTTAAAGGTATTAATATTCAATAGTATAATTCTATTTCTAGGTCCTCCGAAATAATTCATGCGTTGAAGAACGCTTCTGTGTACCATGTGATAATGAGGGGCATTTTCCTGGAGACAAATGGCAGCCAGATGTTTGCACTGAATGTTTGTGTGAAAAAGGTTCAATCCAGTGTCAAAGGGTACAGTGCACAAATACAAATGCAATTTGTGCGCAAGGGTTCAGGTCAGTAATTCTTACTGGCACAGAGGCAGAATGTTGTCCAAAACACATATGTGGTAAGTGATTTATTTTATTTTTTTATTATTTTAACTTTGTTTAAATGGGTTTTAAACCATCAGTGCCAGAACTGACCGCCGGCCCAATCTGCCTTGAACCTCAACAGCCCCAGTGTGGATTCGGGCAGGTAATGAAGCTCATGACATCTCCATCTGGTTGCCAAGAATTCATTTGTGGTTAGTGGATAAAGCTTAATTATTTTACTTGTCTAATACATTTTAGTTTAAAAAATATATATAAATAATAATGAAGTAGAATGCAATGCTTAAAGAACAAGGAGATTAACAGAAGTTTTTTTCTTGTTTGCTAAGATCTGTATTGTTTTAGTTTTCACACATCTTAGAATGTTAGTTTTGAATTTAATGTTTGGTTCTACTTTAACTTGATAATTTTAATTTAAATTTATAATTTAGAGTGTAAACCGAAAGAGGAATGTAAAGATGTAACAGAAGAACTAAAGTTGGAAAGGAAACCAGGCATGGTCGCTACAATTGACAATTCTAGCTGCTGCCCTAAGGTTGTAGAGAAATGTGCAGTAGATACTTGTCCTGAACCTGCACCATGCCCAGAACATCACACACATTTGAAAAGAGACACTGAGCACTGCTGCCCGGATTACAAATGCGGTATATTTTTATTTTCCCTTGTAGCATTAAGAGTTTCTATTCTTTCTTTTTACATTCAGTAGATAATAAAACCTTTAGTAATTATTGTTTGATATTACACCAAATTTGAGTCATATTTAATAAATCTTAATAATAAATAAATTGTTTAACTTTAATTTTTAGTGTTGCCTGAGGACAAATGCTTATACCAAATGAGATATTTAACTGATGAAAAAGGTGGGGGTGAAAGGGAAAGATCATTAGCTGAGATATATTCTGTGCTTAAACCTGTAAGATTATTATTTAGATAATTTTAAGATTAAGAGACTTTGTATCTATTATTATTTTAATAATTTTAATATTATATATTTTAGGTTGGAGATACTTGGAATGATGGACCATGCAGAGTTTGTGAATGCAAAAATGGAAGTGAGAAGGCGACTTGTGTTGTCACTTCTTGTTCACCTCCTCCTGAAAGTGAAAATTATGTATTTAAGCCAAAATATGTGAACGGGAAATGCTGCCCAATTTATGAAAGGATTGCATGTAAAATGGGAGAACAGGTCTACCAGGCAAGTGAATTTTCTCAGTAATAAAACAGTGTTATTTAGGATTAATGATAAAACGCAAAACTTTTTTTAAATTATTCATATTCAGTAAGTACAATTTTTTTCAGGTTGGGCAAGTTTGGCCATCCGCTGGCATCAACCCTTGTGTTAATATTACATGTGAAATTGGAAAAGGGGCACTTGTAACAAAGCAAGAGATTGTTGAGAATTGTAGGACTGATTGCAAGAAAGGCTGGAAGTACCATGAGCCTTTAGAGGGCTCAAAACAGTGCTGTGGGGAATGCTTGCCAGAAGGTTGCCTCGTTGGTGATAAGCTGTACAAAAAAGGTGAAATTTGGTTATCAGATGACAACTGTACTGCTTACCAGTGCACAATTATTGACAATCAGGTAATATTTGTATTTACCTAATTCTCTACATGGTTTCAAGTTTAACAACATTAAAGAAACAAAATTTTCAGGTACATGTAACTGCATCTGAAGAAAAATGTCCAAACATTTCTGATTGTCCCGAAGAGAGGATTTATCAAGATATCTGTTGTAAAAAGTGCAATGAAACGATACCACTAGCATACTCGTCTTGTGTTAAGGAACCTATCAGCCCTAATGACACAATACGAGTTGTGGTTTACCATGACAAAGTGCATGGAAAATGTGTCAATTTAGAACCAATCAAAGGGTTCTCTGAATGCAAAGGCACATGTGAATCTTTCACTGCATTTAACAAAGGTAAATTAATTCAAATATATATAAAAACCTATGTTAATGTATTTTACTCTATATTATCGTATTACATTATAATCAATGATTGCATATGATTGGTGATACTTCTAAATAATTAATTAAACAAACTTACATTACTTTGTATTAAATTTGTTACAAAATAATTGATAGGTACTGGTTGCAGGCAATTAGGAGGATTACCCACTAAATTGTTGAATTAGAAAAATTGTCAAATTAATTATAAAATTTTCTAAATCAAAAAGAACAAAGATAATTAATAAAAGGTAGGGTTAACTTTGTTTGACGCAAAAATAATACTATGGATGAGAGAGATGACAGGTTCATCTGTCATCATAATCTATACAACATTACGGGAAATGGGATAAGAAATATGATAAGACAAGTCCAAAATGTTTCGATTTCCTTCAGGACGAAGGCTCAATGAAAATAACCTCATAGCCACAATCTGGCCAAGCTTCAATTCACACTGGAATGTGTGAATTGGACATTGAAAGACTGGGGGCGAGTTCTCTTTACAGATGAGGTGAGTTGGCCTCAAATCTTAAGATGGGCTAATTTCATATAGAGACACTCAGGAGAAAGTTACTCCCCATGCTGCATGGTTCCTTAGTTTGGCCTTCCATGATGGGTTATTGATGTGGTGTCCTTGGGCGCCCGCACCGAATAACTTCACAGATTTACTTACAAAACAATCGAAGAACATGTAGTGCTATTTGCCTCCCCCCCACATCAGTGAGAGATTCTTGCTAATGCAGGATAATGCCAGGCCCCATAAACCTGAATGAAGTTGTAATTGAGTGGTTGGTGTGGCCAGCTCGAAGTCCAGATTTGAACACATTTGGGACCAATTTAAGTTATTGAGTATGACCAGGTCCCAACACCAGGGGAAGAATTCCTCAGGATCAGAAATCTTTTGCAAGGAATGCAAAGGCATTTAAGAGACATGATTCGTGCCAGAGGTGGAAATTCTCGGTGTGAATGGGAACAAAAAAGCTTTTTTTTACAGTTTTATTTGTTTTTTAATTAAAAAAAAAAAATCTTTACTCTATAATTGTTGGTAATGAACATTTCCTTTTTAAGTACCTTATTTTTACAAACAAACCTATTTTTGGTATGCAAAATAATGTAAAACAGAACTTTTATACGGAAAGGGACCAAAAAAGGTTTTTACATTTTTATTTGTTTTTGAATTTTCTATCTTTTCATGATTTATCATTTTTTAAATTTTTTTAATAAACATTTTCTGTTTAAATTTCTAATAGTTACAACCAAACCTATTTTTGCTACATAAAATATGAATAAAACTACATACATTAAAATTTAAGAGTGGTGCACTTATTTTATCCATCAGAGTTTTAATTTAATTGTTATTAGCACTTTTATATTTAATGGTTTCCCAATTCAGATTCATTGATAAGTTAAAAAAAATGATGTTAAATAATTATGTATATTATGTATAATTATGGTAGCCTAGCAATCTTTAAACATCTAATCTCTCTAAAAATATGAGCAAGTAAATGTGGGTAGTCTCAACATCTAAAAAATAATTAAAAACTTTCCTTTATCTTTATTTATATATATATATATATATAAATATTTTAAAAAATGATGTTTATTGCCAGGATGTGATTTAATTTTCTTTCTATTGTATGTTGATATTTTATTTCCATGTATAACTAATTCATTTTGTCATTTTTTTAGCCTTATTGCAATATCAAGTGAAATGCCTCTGTTGCAAACCCAGTGGTGTCTATGAGATTGATGTGCCTTTATCTTGCGATGACCATACTACAATGACTTTCCACTTACATCTTCCGAAGGGATGCAAGTGCACCCCATGTAAATCCGAAGATGAGAACCTTACATTTTAAATACAAACCAAACATTATGTTTAAAGTTCACAGCTCAATAACATGAAATTACTAGGTTTTTTTACTAATTTTACTTTTTGCATTATATTTTAATTTAATTTACAAATTGTACAACTGTGTTTAAATAAATATAGTTGCTGGATTATTTATTTTTGTTTTTAAATTGATAATGTTGTATGAAAGGTTAATAAAAATCCTCCGAACAGCTAGTGAAAAATTTGACACGACACCAGGTCCCTCATTTATTCCCCAATTTTTATTGATGAACGTAATATATGAGTGCATTGCATGTAGAAAAGCAAGTTCAAGCAATTCCAATATATTTTAAGACTTTTGTATTTATTAAAAAGCTTTACATTTGAAATACAAAAAAAAAAAAAATTCATTAGACTTTGTGTATAATGGTGGTCCTTCAGTGTCCTTTGCAGGTGAATTCTTGAGACTATGGCAGTTGGTGTTGAATTTGGTGTCATGTACCATGGGCAGAAGTTATAGTTTGGTCTCTTCCTTTGCTGAATGGCTAGAGGTGGTGGATCGAGTTCCTCACTTGATATATCTTTCATTTGTTCTTCTTCCATTTGTCCCTCCACGTTGATCTAAACGGTTTGTGTCGCTCCATTGACTGGTGCAGTTCCTTTGGAAGCCTGTTACAAACACCACAATTATTCAGTTGTTTCTGGATTTTTTTTTTTTTTCAATTTCCAGTAAAAATAAGTATCGATGGTGATTGTAGGTCATTTTCCAATCCGGGTGCAGTTGCAGCATGACTGTATTTACCACAGCGAAATCAATTAAATTTGCAGAATGCCCACCCTTTTGTATGAGTAAATACATCTTGGTACTGTTTTTATCTCAACCAATACCTTACTTAAAGATTAATTAATTGAAAATAATTTATTTGGTCAATTGGACACAAAACCTAATCGATTTAACTGTTTACACAGTTGAATCCAAGAAGCTTCGCTCTCAATTAGGAATCCTACAGGGACCACAACTATGGTTTTCAAAGATCAAAAAAAAAAACTTCTTAGTAAATTCATTGTTATGTTGTAATTATATATTCTGCACCAAGCAACACAGATGGCAAAAGGATAAATGCCCTTCTTTGGAGGCTAAAATGAAAAATTACATTAGGAAAACAAGAACCACCCGGTATTCAGAGGGTTAATATAAACAAAATTATTTCTATTTCTCTCACTCTCTCTCCCACTCACTCTCTCTCTCTCCCACTCTCTCCCTCTCCCTCACTCTCTCTCTCTCTTCTCTCTCTCTCTCTCTCTCTCTCTCTCACTCTCCTCTCTCTCACTCTCCTCTCTCTCTCTCTCTCTCTCACACTTTCTCTCTCTCTCTCTCTCTCTCCTCTCTCTCTCTCTCTCCCTCTCTCTCTCTCTCTCTCTATATATATATATATCACTCACTCACTCTATCTCTCATTGCTCTTTTCTCTTAACTACGTGTCAATGAAATATGTATGTTAAAGAAAGGAAAACCCAACTATACATAAAACAGAAAAAAACCTTACAAACTTCTGCCATAAGGCAATTTCATATAAATTTATACAATTTACAGAATTTATTTTTACAAGTTAAAAGTTTTATGGCAATGTGTGTAGTGCATAACAATTTCCTTATCTTATATCCTTATATTAGGAATTTTGTACAAGAGAGAAAGAAAGATTCTCATTTTGGGCCAAGGAGGCCCCATGAAGTGTATGCGAAATTCCTTCTTGAGATTCCTTCAAGCCAGCAAGTGGAGGAGAGAGCTTGCATAGCACATGGGCTTAACATCTGGATGTGGTACTTCTTGAAATACATGTGGTTTCGGTGTCATATCGTTACCCCTCAATGTCAGGAATGCGCCATAGTTACCCATTGTATCACAGTAGTTAGGAGCAGAGAAAACTGTGACACATTTATTGTTGTGGGCGATCTCATATCCATCCTTCTTGACCTCGTGACTCCTTATAATGTAGTCAAGATTATTGTCATGAACAAATTCTTCTGTGACATCTGGGCCGAACTGAATCCCTACCCCACGTTTGCTTGGCACTCTCCCATTGGCGTACATCGGGTCTGACCAAAGGATGTCACACATTAGACCTTCTTCAGGCGGTTGGCGGTTTCTTTTGATCGCTCTAATGTCATCTAGAGTGACATTCTTTGCAGAGAACAGGCCGCCGTGCATAACAAGAACTTTATTATTGAGGCAGTGTGCCAACGGTAGCCAATTATATACTTCTGTGAAAGCATCGACCATTTGTGCAGAGTATTTAGCTTTTACTTCACCTTCGAATCCATACATCTGGTTCATATTTTTACTCTCGTGATTACCTCTAGCCATAAACATTTTGTCTGGATACAAAAGTTTATAACTGAAAAGAGTAAAGATGCATTCGACAGAAAAAGACCCACGATCAACAAAATCCCCATTGAATAAATAAGGGTTTGTGTTTGAAGGAGTTCCATTAAGGCTGAATATATTCATTAAGTCAAAGAATTGCCCGTGAATGTCTCCGCATACCGTAAATTTTTCTGTATCACCTATAGTGACATCAATTAGCGTGGGCTGTTTCATAAAGTACTCCCGTATATCTCTGAGAATGGTGTATGCAAACTTCTTGTGCAAATTTCCTTGCGAGTTTTGATACATAAATGTCAATCCTTCAATGAACTCTTTTGTAACTTTACCATTTTCTAAATAAGGTCCACAGTAGTCGTCTTCAACTTCCATTTTATCAATGTCGATCACATCAAATATAGAAGTTTCAACACTCTCTACAGAAATGGCCTTTTCAAAACTAATTTTATTTACAATAGACTTACACTCTTCGTACTTCATCTTTCCCTCTTTGTTATTTGGGCAACGTCTACACAAACCTTCAAGATCATTGAGTGCCAGTTTGAATTTTCCCAAAGCCATGTAAGCTGTGGCACGTCTGTAATATCCTTTGAGGTAGCAGCTATCCAGGTCCAATGCTTTTGAAGCATCAGTCAGAGCTGCTCCATAACACTCAAGCTTCAGATTTGCAAAACTCCGGTTACCATAGTAAATAGCATTTTGAGGATCAAGATCAATCGCTTTTGTATAAAAATCAATGGCCTTGGCATACTCTTTGTTCTTGAACAGCTTGTTGGCTGTCTCTTTGAACTGTTCTGCTTTAGCGATATCTGCTACTGATGGCTGCATTCCTCTTCCTCGATAGAACCGCAAAGACTTTTCCTTTCCTTTTTCCAAATTCACAAACGGAGAAATGGAGTGGACATAGAATTACTAACACTTCTAATAGTTATTTTAAAAATGTTCAATTTTAATATATTTTGATATTTATTTTCTGGACTCATCTGATTTAAAATAAAAATCAGTTATGATAAATGAAATCAAAATAATTTAATTTTTAACCACAATATTGGCTACAAAAGTTAAAACATTTACCTCTGGTTAAATGCTGAAACTTGGATGTTAGTTAAATTAGAAAAATAAGATTAAAATAAATTTAATTACAAAACAAAATTAGTTGTAATAATGTTAACATTCTATTTGTCAATAAGTCCAACAATAGTGAGTAAAATCAATATTTAATAAACAAACTACAATAAAATCTGGTTGAACCATTTTTCCCCTTTGCCTTCCAGAAAGTTTGGTGTACTAACTGCTAATAGCTGTTTATTTAATAATCAACATAGTGACAATCTCTATTTATTCTTTCATTCTCAAAATATTATGTTTAACCATAAGATACACCCATTTTAAATACATATTTAAAGCGTCTATATACACCATAACCTAAATGGTTAAAGTTTAGAGCAATCTGTCAATTTTCTTTCTTCTTACTTATAATATTCTTACTTTTTTTTTATTTTATAGTATCACATGGAGTTTTAAAAATGATTAGAATAACCAATGTCAAATTATTTCCCATACTGTTACAAAAAGTATTTATTACTAAAGCAACTAAAGTTAATTGACATAACATTTTTTGGTGATAACAATACCCAACATACATTTAAGACAAATCAATTAAATTAAATATAATTAATAATGTTATAAATGTTATAAGAAACACTATTTATTTTTGCATTTAGTATAATTGGTAAAACTGGTGTTTTGTATTTTTTACAATATACTGAGGGCTGAATGAATCAAATGAAATTATTTACTCATTAGAAATAACAAGATTATCACTTAATCATCAATACACAAAACCAATGCAAAATCAGTGCAATAGCAACGGATTAGCAATCATCAGACATCATTATAACTGCTGTATAAATAAATGACACTGTAAATATCAGGAATACTCATTGAATAACTTTGTTTTGTTATTGTCTTTATTTTATGTCTATGGCACTTAGTTTGGTGATATTTGAAGGGTTTTCAATGTAATATAAAAGCTTAAATAGTTCTGTTTAGGCTTAAATAAATCTTTACTAAGGATTTGTCAGTGATCATCCATGCAATCTGACATTCCATGGGTTCCTGGACATAGAGGCAATGAAAAGGTTGACATATGGGCCAAAGATGAAGCCAACATGAGCCCTCTAGGTCTCGAACTCTACTGTGGCCTAGCATCTTGCCACAAAAGGGATACCCCAGGCATAAGGAAAAGAGAGTCAAGGATTCATGAAGGGCCATCCTCAAAACCCAAGGGAATTACTGAAAGGCAACTGCCACCTAACCAGGATTCTGGCTGAGGTAGGAGTACAGGCAGAAGAAACACAGCGCAGATACTGCCAAGGAGACCGCAGAACACATTTTATGTTTCTGTGAAGATCTTTGTAGGTGCAGATTCTTGCAACTAGGAGAGGAAAAGCCGCAAGCAAGATCCTACACTAAGGAGCTGCTGGCAAGGCTATGGAGGTTGATTAACAGCCTGAAGCTGGCCAGTGAGTTTTAAAAACAGAGAAGCACAATGGATCTACTCAGGTCGAGGTGCAGAAGGCCTTGTGGTCACCTTTTTTTATCCCTATCCGTATGCTTATCCCTTGTACAATTCACTAGTGATCATCCATGCAAACTGTACCAAAGGTCTTCTAGTTTCCTTCAAATCCATTCTGCGCTTATAGCACACCAGTGAGTCCCTAGTACATCAAGAAACTTGAGTAGTAGCCCCGATTTCAGTGGTTGAATCTATTCTACAGTTATATTGTATGTCTTAAAACATTTTCTCATGTAGGCAAGGGTAACATTACAGTTTGTTAGTAAATGTATTGGTGTTTCCTCTGATTCTTAACAGAATCTACACCTGCCCTGTTGGGTTATGTCAATATTCTTCAGATGTCTATTTAGTTTGCAGTGTCCTATTAAGAATCCTGTTAGGATTCACAGTTTTTTCCTGTTTCCTTTAACATATTGTGTTTCCTCTTTCTTTCTAAAGTTTACTAGGAGGTTCTTGGATTGTTTGTGTCCAATGAGTAAGTTCCATAGTTCCCCATTTTCTTTTTATCTTTCTGTATAAGGTGCTCATTGATAGTGTGGATTCCTATGCTACAGAAGGGCTCAGGTCCTATCAGTGGTAGAGCACCCCCTTCCTTGCAAGGGCATCTGCTTTCTCGTTGCCTTCTACTCCCACATACATTTATTCAGATTGAATCTTTCAATGTGTGGACCTCAGCTTGAAAGATACTGGTGTATTTTCCCATGGGTTATGAGTATTTGGTACCAGTAGAGTACCAGTACCATTATTAAAAGTGTTTTCCTCTCGTTCCCATTCTTTTTTGGTACCTAAGTTTATTTGGAAGTTTTGATTAAGTTCAAACATCCTGTTAATGTCATCTCTTGGAGCCATGAGTATTGGATGAATAACTGAATCGACTCCCTACAGATAAATATAAACTAGTTTATTGATTTACTGAGAAAACTGTCCATGAATCAAGGTGTTGGGGCCTTTTATATCATAAAGTCTTTACTGTTAAAATGATGAAAAATATTTTGCATGAAAGGCAGTTTTTCTCCAATTTATTTCTCAACTTTATTGAGGAAAAGTTAGTACAAAAATAACTTAAGAATTTTTTGGGGGGTTTATTACATTGTAGCTTTGCTTCAAATAACGACATGGTCTCCTTAAGTGATGTGCGATGTAATGTACACCGGCTATACAATGATACAATCCTTACTACTTGATAATAAATCCATAAAAATAAATTATGAGAACTCATGGTCAGGAGTTCACGGGTGACGACCTTGAACGTCCCTACCAGAAGTGAATCCGTCTTGGCAGTTGGTGTTGGGGGAGGGCTGAGGGCTGAGGTGGGGAGCCGTTAGCACGCCGTCACCCTCACCATTCTCCCAAAAGCTCGTGTGGTTGACCTCCGAAAATGAGTCAGTCCACTTTTTTTTAGTCAACGAGGCCTTCTTCGTGTTGATATCTACGTCTGACTGTCGTCCACACGCCTTTTTAATTCCATAACTAGAATAGTCCAAAAGTGCCGATTCTTCACGGTGAGTCCTTCTGATCTTAGCTCTTTCCTGATTCTTCCAAGGACTACGAGTCCTTCAAACCAAAATACATATTCCTCTAGTATAGTTTGACTGCATAATTTTCTTTTTGTTTATTATTTATTTAACATACTTTACCTGAAGTTATTTCATGTAAATAAATTATTCTGATTTTACAACAACATCAAAATAACGTATTCTTGACGGGTTGTTGGATGTGCGACCCCTAATTGGATTGGACATTTGTCACATGATCAGTTCTGTTTATCTTTGTTCTGATCGTTTTCCCCCTTTATAAATTTTCATTTCCCGCCAAAAATGTCGATAAGCGGGAAATAGTTTTCCCCTCCTTGACATTCTGTAGTCCCGATTGAATGAAAACAGTACCAAAATCAAGGGCAGTTTTCTGTTTAAAAAATTGTTAATTTCTATCGGTTAATAACACTTGACCCTTTTTAAATAAGTAGGAGTTATATACTGATTGGGTGAACGATTTTACCCATAGTACATAATTGAAGAAAAAAACTTTCAAAAACAAGGATTCAGATGTTTCTTATGATAATTCTCTTTTGTACATACTTATGTAATTTAAAACACTTAATATTTTTACTATCTTTACTGGAGTAATAATACTAAGATTATTCAGAGATCGTGCCATTTTCGACATTTTCTTTATCGTGCCAACGTTTCGATTTTTATTGAGATCAAAACATTGGTACGATAAAGAAAACGTTTTTCTAAGACCTATGTCACACCAGACCGCATCTCACTATTTCCGAATAATCATTGACTACCGGTCATTAAACACCACACAATAATACTAAGCTTGATAGGCTCTGCACCCCCTCTGCTATCAAGTCCTTCGAGCAGACTCAGAACAAGCCCTTTGGCCAGACTGTGCTCATGCTGGGGTACTGCTGCTTGAACTTGAAAGAGAGTGCAACTTACCCTCAGCTATGAGGCCAAATCAAGGCGCCTTTTGGGTGCGATCCTTAGATGTCAGTAGAGTAGAATATATGAGCAATTTCATACCCAGATGCGACCCCTGAAAATGCGTTTTGGTGAAGCGTTAGGGAAGGCAGGGGTGACACTGGGAAACGGCTTGAGCTGGGCAACCAGCTGACTGCTCTGGTCCTTCCAGTTGTACTCATCCGAGATGATCTTGTCGTGTTAACCAATCATCTATCCCACTCTACCTTTACTGAGCTAAGTTCTTGAAACTTTGTTCGAGGTACATTACTTTTCAACTCATCTTCTAAGACTGATGAGGGTGTGTATCATGCAATTTGCACACACTTGGGGTGATTCGAGAACACCTAGACTGCATTGATTCCTTCAGCACAGATAGTGCTATCCAGCACAAGTCTTCGTTCAACCCTCTCGTCGTGCTCTTATTAGGGGCTGGAGTGTTGCAGCAAGACGATGGTTGATGACTGGTTACACATAGATCTGAAATGTAAAGAAAGGCAGCTAAAGCTGAGACGTACCAACCTCTGGACTTAACCATTGCGATCCAGCCCTCCGATGCTAAAAATGCAATAAAAAAAATGATTAAAAGAAAAGGTCAGTGTCAGTGGGCCAGATTGGCAGAGAAGCTCTCAAGTATCAAGAGCACTGTTGAGAGGTGGTCCACGGAGGTCCTGACTTATAGAAGAAGGGTCATCCTCACCCGATTAATGATATGCCAGGTGAGCTTGTCACAAGGTCACTGACTTTTGAGTCAAAGCCCATGTAGGTGTCCAGTATGCCGGAAATGTTGCTCGATGTGTCGTACTTAATTGAAGGGTGCAACTCTTTGGCTCCATAAAAAGAAAGCATAGTAATACCACATGATGATGTGAGAATTGGGCTTGAGCATGGCAGCAAGTATTTGGATCCCCCTGTTCTGTTCTTGGAAGAAACCGTTGTTTTATTGCTTGTAGTACTGATATTTTTGTGTCCTCTAGTGTGTGTTGAGAGTGAATGTATTTATTGATGTGGATGTGTAGTGTAAGTAGGCTGATGATGGAATATTGAGCCCCATTGACCCTCAAGTAGGTTAATTATAATAGGTGTAAAGGGTGGTAGAGTACTTGATATTCCTCCTTTACCCTTTAGTGATGGAGGAATACCAAGTAATTCACCACCCTAAATGATTGGTATGTAAATTAGAAAGAATATATTTAAGGGTGAGTGAGAGTGTGAATGGGCTTGGATTTCGGAACTGATTGTGTTGGGGGACATAGATGACATAGCTATTGATATCCCTGAATCCCAATGTTGGCAGCCGAACTGATAAGATTGGGGTCTGACCCCAGAATGGATGATTATTTTTGGGTTAAATTGGGTAATTTATTGTAAATTCTAAAAGCTGGGATTGCCTGTGGACTGAAACTTAACTCTGTACACGCATGTATGTGCACAGATATTAGTTTATATAAATACTATTAATAAGTATTATATTTATATTAAATATTTAATTTGGTAATTTTATATAGTAAATATTTTAATTTAATTATTCCATTTGAAATTTATGCATTACAAATGAACAGTAGTTGGATTATTTGTGTGTTAATTAATCTTTATTAAATTATTAATCTATAAAGACCTTCACAAAAAGCTAAAGCTACTTATCTTTTGTGACACCAGCTGGCTATATTTCAGTTTAAAAAGAGTAGTTTTGGTAAATACCAAACCTGAAACCAAATTTGAAAAATATTATTTGTATATGCACCATTGCCAAAATCTTTATACATACTGGGAGTTTATAATTAATATTATTGTGCATATATCTTCTTATCATATACATTTATTAGTATAAAAAATGTGCACTGTTGATACGATGGAAATTTTCTGTGCCAATTGAAATTGATTCTTTTTAAGTGACTATTTTCTGTTCTATAATCCCCTCAAATCCATTTAAAATATAAAAAGAAAAGAAAAAAAATATGTGATTCATTTAGCAAAGGAAAAAAGGTCATTGTGTTAGTTTCTCTTTATCTGTTGTCAAACACCGTTGATAAAAATAGCTGCTTTTTGATAGCCGTCTTTCATATTTTAGTTTAGAGAGTTGTTACTGATATGAATTTGTTCTTTGCAGTTCAGTATGGACCCTCAACATAGGAATATCATATTGAACAACATTGAAGCTCTTGTAGCAAACACAAAAGATTATGACAGTTTAGTTGAACACTTGCTTGACAAGCAAGTGGTTACCAGAGCCCAACTGGAGTACATCAATGTAATTTATGACTTTTATTTTACTATAACTTTCTAGATTATTAGTATTTTTTATCCACAGTTTAAAGTGCCAAAAGAAAAACGGTGCCAAGAGTTGTACACGTTGATAACAAAACGTGGCCCCCGTGCCTTTGAACAGTTGTATAATTTAGCTTATCTGTCTGGTAATTCAAATATTTCAATGATAATAAGCCCAAATAGGTAAGATTCAATTAATCACTGTAATTTATTATGGAAAATTAAAAATGGAATCATTTCAGGTCAACTAATGTAGATATTTATATGCATGGTGAAGGCATACCACTCGATTTTTCAGAGGTATTAAAATGAACTGATGAGTGATTATCAACTGCTCAAAAATAATTTTACACATTTTTTAGGAATACAAACTAAATAGTAATCCAAAAGGAATGGTTTTAATAGTCAATATTGAAAATACAAAAATCAAAGACCAACAACGACTCGGTTCTGCTTTAGATGTGACACATCTGGATGAACTTTGGACAAATTTAGGACACAAAGTTATTTATTATATTGACTTGACAAAAGAGGTATATCCTAGAAATTTGTCTTATATTTCAAAATAATAATATTTTAACAATAAATTGCTTTAAGAAAGTCCAAATGGGTAATTTGGTCTTGTTATCCAAAAACTAAAGTAAATTATTATTTTTTAATTGCAGGCATTTAAACAAGAGTTCAAACAATTTGTGAAAAATTTCAAAGGAGACTGTTTCACACTTTTCCTTATGGGCCATGGAAAGCAAGTGCAAGACAATATTACTGTTGCAATGACAGATTCAAGGGATGTAAATATCGAGTGGATAATTAAAAAGCTTTCTTCTGTGAAAGCACCTCATATCGCTGATAAGCCTAAGCTAATTTTTATCGTTTCATGCAGGTATATACACTATATACTCTAAATGTATGTAAAAAGTAAGACATTTACAAATTATTGCAGGGGTGATCTGCCTGATTATGGCATAGATATTACCAAAGCACAAGACTGGAAATATAAAAGTCTTATATCGACTGATGGAACACAGCCAAAAATCAGGCCGAGTGTTTCAAACTTGATGCTAATATATCCTTGCTCCCCAGGTACATATTACCATTATCTTTATATTTAAAACCAAAATAAAAATTAATTCTGACTGATACCTGCCCAGGTTTTGTCTCATATCGTCATAATAATTTTGGATCCTTTTTCATTCAAGAACTTGTTCATGTGTTCAAGATATTTGCAGATAAGGAATGTTTAGAGGACATGATTAAAAGGGTAAGCTTGCTTTTTGTTCTTCTCACATTTACAGTTTACAAGCTGTTTTTCAAATGTAATTTGTTTGTTACCAATCATCCTGATCTATCTACTCTTGCTGTGTTGAGGAACAACATGAATAATGTGTTCTTATTTAAATTAAATACATATGTTTGGTTAAATGAACATAGCTTTTTCTACAGTATACATTTTTATTTTTTATATCTTGCACATTTTTAACTATACAGAGATGTATTTTCCATTGTTTACATTTACTTTTTGCCATCTTTCAAGTAACATACTTATTCCTTTCGCATAAAAAATTCCCATTTTTTGGGTCCAGGAATGTTTGGACAGTTATTTAAACTTTCAAAGTTTTGGGATTTGTATTTTGGATTTATATAGGCTCAAGTCCCCATATGCATGCACATACAAACGTGCCGAGTTTAGCCTATTCACTTCTCGTAGTCCACCAGCAATTCCGGCTTTCAAATTTGAAAAATTTTGTAAAAACATAAATAAATTTTAGTCACAAGGTGAAACTTCTGGAGAGTTTGATGGGTGTGATAAAATTTCCCAATTTAGATTAGTTAATAATTGTTTGGTCCTCGACGCGACATGGGGGGGGGGCTGTTCACACACAACTTCTGTTTCTCTCTGCAGGCATTTTTGCTTTATTTGAAGGTCTAATTGGGTTAGCTGTTCACAGTACAGTTCAGTATTAACTGTCTTTGCCCTTGTGGTAAGGGGCTAGGAGGACCTGTCCCACCAAATGGACAGCGTACTATTTTCCCTGTGCATTTGTTGTTTTGGAACTGGGGGCCATTTGGCAACAAGATATTTTTTTTTGTAGACTATGTTTTTGTATGTGATCCATTTTCCATCATCAGTTTATGAAAGAATGGGTGGTAAGAGTGATGACAGAACTGAAGAGCAAATTGAAATACGATCCGCTAAATTCATTTAGCTGAGGTCATATGGGATCAATGTTAGCATACTTTCAAACAAATTCAAGTCTATGGATATCGTTTCCAATGGTTGTATGGTTGTATGGGAAACATTTAAATTCTTGGGTCTTCACAAAGGGGGCTTTTCTTCTAACCTATATCTCAATGTGTAGTTGTCAATCTCAATAGGACGTCACTGTGCGCATCATCTTAAGAACAAAAATTCCTTCTTTAAATAAAGCAAACCATTGTGGACTTGGAACATTTACAGCATTAGTATTGTTAGTTTGCCTAGTTCTGTTTTTCCAGAATTTACACATCATATCAGGTTAACCTACATATATCTAGAAATTGAGGTATGTATATAAATTCTGATCTAATCAATTTTGCCCTGCCATACTTCATTGTAAATATAAAACAATTTCAGTAGCAATAATATAAATAAAGTAGTGTTATTTTACATTTGTAAATTACAAAGGCATTCCTAAGGTCCACTGAATTTGAATATGTTTATACTTGTTAGTGTTGTTGGCTCCCCTCAGGATATATGTAAACATAAAATCTTATTTTATTTTTTAACCAGGGTATTTCATGTATGAACCCTTGAGTGCCAGTATTTTTGAAAAAATCCCATTTGTAAATATACCAAGTTTGAATTCAGACCCAGGAGTTATATTGCAGTGATGAGTGTCATCACCTTAACCATTGCTACATGCACTCCACAACATTTGTACACTACACATAGTAATGTGTGGTGTTTAGTGACTGTTACTTAATGATTAATTAGAGATGCATTGTGAGATGTGGTCTGGTGTGACGTAGGTTTCAGAAAAACATTTTCTTTTTCTTTAACGTTCGACCTTTATTGAAATCATCTTCAGGTTCTGGGATTAATGAACATTGTTTAAATTTTACAAATACATGTACAATCTGAAAAAACATGAATTTATACAATGCTAGAAAATTTTTTGAATCTAAAAATGTGTAAAATTTACACAATGTTTATTATCGCAGGCCCTGAAGATGATCTCAATAAAGATCGAAACGTTGGCACGATAAAGAAAATGTTTTAATAAACCTACATCACACCAGACTGCATCTCACGACCTCCAAATAATCACTACACATAGTATGTAAATTAATAAAAAAGGAAAAAGTTTGTTTTAAACATATTTTAATTATTTATTAAATTATTTTAAACTTTTTTTTGAGAGCAGCAATTGTATATATTGATTTGTTTAATTGTATTTACAATAATTGTTGTAAAACGTTTTGTTTTAGGTGGATAGAAACCTAATGAACCATTCAATCACTTTTAAAAAAGGATTTCAAACTGTAAATGTTAATACCATCGGATTCAACAAAAAGCTCTTTCTCAAGGAGAGAAGAAACCCTAACAATAATTTGTAAATTGATTTATAATTTTTTTCTCTTTTTCATTAAATAATAGTGTCAATAATTAAAGACAAACATCTCAGGTCATGAATAGGTTTGTAAATAACTTATGCTATTTTTACAATTTGGTGTAATATCCGATCATCTAAGGCTGTTAGCTAATTTTAATATTATTTTGTAAGATATGTTTATATATCATACCAACTAAATATACTTATGTGCAATAATGAACTTATTTATGATAAAATTATATAATTTTATATAATTAGATAGAATTTTTATTTATTCATATACTTTGTGTTAAGGCATTGCAAATTTATTCTCAATTTTATAATTTCCTTAACCAAGTAGCCATTTTGAAATAATACAACTTTGGAATCAGTTACCAAAGCATGTAATCAAAGTCATTGTTTAAATACTATCCATTTGAATTAATTAAAATGTAATGAAAATTGCCATTTTTATTATCTAGTTGTACCAATATCTAAAAATGTTTTTATATACTCAAGGCTTCAATACCAATAAGGTTGCAGCCTTTATTTTTAAAATAAATAAATTAAATATTTTTGTAATATTTTATTGCTAAATTAAGTTTCCAACAAAGATAAAGTTAATAGTGAGTGTGTGGTGATTAGTGATCGTTAATCAATAATCATTCAGAAATTGTATTAGTCTGTCAAAGGCCCAAGGTCACACTTGTTGCTTTGTTTAGCTACTAAAACACATTCATTTCAGCTTTGTGCCATCTTCAAAGACAACAAAAACCACTGTTTAACGTGTACTATATTTTTTTGGTTGAAACAATATACTTACAAAAATCAATATCCAATTAATAACAAAAAATATATATTTACATAAGTTGGAAAATACAAATATGTATTGCTTTATACAACTTTGCCTTGCCAAAATTGGCAATGGAGTGAATCGAATGAAAAAAGTCCATAAATTAATCACCAGTGATGAAATCTCTGTCCCACTTTTCAAATTTATTCTTGAGATCATCAGGTACTTCAACACTTTTAAGATCATTGACACCGATTTCCTCTTCTGTCCTGATGAGAATGTCAATGACATTTTCAACTGCAAGTAGATTAACCCTGTCTTTTTCCCATTTATGGTATTCCCTGAGAATCAGGTACGTATTGCGATCGCGGACGAAAATCCTGCAGGGTTTGGTACTGCAGAGGAGAAGTAACGAGCGGAGTAAAAGATTGCGCACATGCGGATCTGCTTCACGCCGCTTGTCTTCTGGGAGGTACTGCAATTCCAGAGGCATTTTGTCGTATTCTTCCTCGTCAAACTCTTCAGGCCCAGCTAACGGAAGGAGGAGAACCGGCAGTATGTCAAAAGGGGCTTCCAAGAGCGTCATATGACTCTTCGTGTCAAACAGGCAATTGTATAATGCAGAGGCGATTCCACTCCTTTCGACCAGCGTAACCCCGCTGTGCAAGACCGGCAACACTCTCTGCAGCTGTCCGTTAACAGGATCGACAAGAAAATTTTGGAATTCGACGCATTGTGTCAGGTTCCCGAAGGCTTGGGCTAAAAACTCCAGCCTCTGACCACTGCTGTTGTAAGACTTGTCAGAAATCGCACCGATCAAGACACTCAACCCATGATCGCTAATGATCATTCTGCCGACTTTAACAGCTAAATTTTCTTGCCTGGTCACATTCGAAAGGATTTTGCAAGCTCGGTCGGCCAACATGGAATTCCTTTCAAGTGAAAATTTCAATATCTTCTTCAAATGGTTCAAACTCTCGACCACTTTATTACATCCGAGTTCTGAACTCGTGATGTTTATTATAGAATCTAAGGCCAATTGGCCGGTACTGTTGTTGTTTTTGGCCGCCACCTCTAACAGGTCGTTGATTATCACATCGTCCTTTGTAAGCTGGCTGCAATCGTCCTTTCCACTCATGAGGAGGACGTATTTGAGAACCATCTCCTTCAACCCAACGTCGCCACCCCTCAGCACGTTGGAGACAACGTCAATCGGCAGGTTGAGTTTCTCGATTTCCTCAGCCGACATCTCAAAAACGAAACTTTCTATCCGATTCAAGAATAAAACAGGGCTCGATTGGCTTTTACACCTAAAACATACATTCAGAAACTTGCTTAGGCATTACACATAACGGCGTAAACTAAAGACTAAAAGTAAACATGGCAATTGTACAACAGCACTGTTACCTGTCGAAAAGTAAGGCACGTGACTGTATTACTCAATGATTTAGTTGAACAGCCAATAATTGTATTAAGTTTAACAGTTAACACTCACAAGACGGATGTATGGAAGACAATATAATTTTTTAAATCTTTTGTAAATTACATCAATTAATATTAAGTTATTATCGTAAGATAGTTATTTACTATTTGTATAAATGATATATCTCAGTGTTTATCTCATTGCAAATTTCAGCTTTTTGCTTGCATTGCAAAATTTTATAGACATAAGAACTGCAACGGACTGCAATAAAGTACAATGTGATATTAATGAACTAGTCAACTGGTGTAATAATAACAATATGTACCTTAATAGTAGTAAATGTCAAGTAATGCGTTTCCACAGAAACGTAAATCCAATCGTCTGTGATTATTATATATCTAATGTAAGATTAAGGCTGTGAGTTCCATTAAGTATTTAGGGATTTTATTTTATAAAACCCTCTCCTTCAAGGAACGTATAGAGTTAATTATTAACAAAGCTTTAAAACTCATTGGATTCATAAAAAGAAATAATCAGAATTTAAAAATATAAATTGTATTAAAATGCTATACATCTCATTAGTCAGGTCCATTCTTGAGTTCAATTTAACAACTGGTCACCATACTATAAGATATATATTGATAAAACTGAAAGAGTTCAAAACAAATGTTTAAGATACCTTGCCTATAAAATAAAAATAAATTTAGAAATTGTTACATACAATAATCTAAGAGATATGGTTGCTCTAGAATCTCTGAAATGTAGAGATATAAATGATGCTGAGCACCAATTATGAGAATGTGTCATTTTGTAAATTCTTTGCAAGTGGACCTATTTTCCAACTCAATTCATGTGTTTAAGAAAAAGCTGCATAAGCAAGTATGTAATAATATATCATGATGTACAAATGTATGTTGTGATTGGTATGCCGTAAATAAAGATTATTATTATATTAAGAGTATGATATTTTAGGAAGTTGTTACTTCCATCTCGATCATGCTGTTAACAATACAACAGTCAGAACTGTCCAATTCTAAGCTTTGTGAAGATTACATTTGTTTTTATATAAATAAGCCAAAATCTCCATATGTATGTACATATTTACCCAAGTAGAGTTGAGCCTTCTCACAGACCACAAGCAATTTCAGCTTTTGTACTTTACAGCTATTTACCGGCGGACCTCTATAATCACCCACCTTGGATGATGGCAGTCCAACTATCGTTATTTACTTATTCTACATACTTCAAAATTCGTGGTTTTTCTTTCTCTTGTTCTAAATTAATGTCCTCTCATTTCTCAGTTCATAAACAAATACCTAATAACAAGAGGAGTGTCTGCAAGACCATACACAGGCCCCGAACTTATATTTGGGATAACAAAAACAAATACAGAATCCTCCATCGTAGAGTCCAAATAGAACAAAAGGAGAAGTGGATAAACTCTAACGGTGCTAGACACAGTAAACTTAAGTTAAAATAACCCTCACCAAGCTGGCAAACTCACTGCTGCACTAAGAGAGGGCTAGACTCAGAGGAGTGATAGTACTATTAACCGGTTGCTGGCATCTGAGAAAACATTTACACAACATGGGCATATATAATGATGATCCCATTTGCAGATTGTGCGATGAGGAGGAAATAGTCACTCATATCATCTTTGAATGCGAAGTAATGGCGAGGAATCGATGAGACTTTTGGTGGTGTGGGAGCTGATGAAGGAGCAAGCCATCCTATCCAAGAAGGAGTCTATTTGCTTGAGACATAGGGCACTGTGCAGCACCTCCAATGGCCTGATCGGTGGAACGCCTCTACAGCCTTGTGGGACCAATGCAATATTGGGAATAATGTCGGTGAGATTGGCAGATTTGGCTCCAAAGATGAAAGCTGTTGGGAAGACACTTCTCTTGGTTTTCTACTCCCAATCAGAAAGGATGAGAGTGTTGACAGGAATCTGAGACTGGACTAACTCTAGTCATTGCCAAAAATGGATAAATACGAGCTCAGAAGATAAGATCACATTATCATAATCCTTCATTATAAATCCATTATCTATCTCAAAACCATAATCTAATACGATAAACATGATATTGGGGTATAAGATCACAACAAATAATCACAATACTTCATTATATAGCATCATCTAACATAAAGGTATATGAACCATACCGTAAAATGGTTCTTCCTAACTTTTTATTACTACTAACCACTTGAAATAAAAAGTTAGAAAAAAATATTTTTTGGTATGGTTCATGATATAGCTTTGTGCTAGATGATGATGCTATATAATGAAGGATTGTGATTATCTGAGATCTTATTCCCCGATATCATAATAAATAATTTAATTAACTGCGTTCGTTTGTTGATGCATACATTAATGTAAATTCTACGAATTAATGTAAAACTTTTACCTAAATTCAAAACCTTATTGATATTAGAATTAGAACCAAATGACAAAACTTTAAACCATGCCACCAGCCTGATGGATTAAAAGTTGTAAATTATAAAGTGAAATGAACACCTAACAAAATGTGTGGTGATTAGTGACCGTTAATCGATTTCTAAATAAATACCTAACAAAATTTTTATTTGAACTAGGAGAGTGAAAAAAATCTGAGCAACAGAAAAATTATTTTATAAATACAGTATAAAAAATATTATATTTTACAGTGAGCTTGACAAAACACTAATAGGTATAAAACATAAATAAATAATACTTCGTGTTTTATTTTATAGGATCCTCAGCAAAGCGAACTGTCTTGTTACTTTTTTCTGTCTGCACAGGCTTTGTTAATTTTATCTCCTTTTCTTTACCTAAAATAATAACAAATACATTTTTGTTCAAATAAGCAATGTTTTTGTCCACTTACTTTCTAATTGTATGTGCAGCTCTTTCAGCTCAGCAGCTAGATCTGAAATATCCTGACTCAACGCCTTAGACTCTGCCTCCAGGCGGAAAACTGTGCAACTAAGATCGTACAGCTCACTTGAAACAGCACGGAACTGTTCATCTGCCAACAGTGCCTTCCGGCTTAAAATATTATGTTTAATTAATCTTTATAAAACACTGAGTTAAGCCTGAACATTTTCAAATATCGGTCAAAGTCCTATTAAGCAAATATGATCAGAACATTGGTGTACATTAAACTGTAAACATGATGGCTCGCCAACCCAATAGAAAACAAAGGAACATTTTCCATAGGGTCATCAACCAGATGAGCTTTGTACTCTCTGTAGGACAATTGGCAAACAACCAGAGGGCTGTGTAATGGAAGCTTCGTAGAATTGTAAGGTGTTGGTTGCAAGGATGGCCAGGTATGACCAACCCATGCAACATTGTTGATCTTCAGGTGCAACAGATTTACTTCGCTTACCCTCCACCCTTAATTGGGGAACCAATATTTTTATATTGGTTTATATTATATGGAGAATGATTGAATCCACGATATACAGACAGACTGAGAGTAAGAAGAGTGAAGACACCCAGTTGAGACACTAAGGAGAGTCAAGGGCTGAGACTAGTTAAGAGTCGACTGACAAAGAGCAACCTACTACAAGGAGAGTCGATAGTCGAGGAATGACCTAACAGCAGAGGTAAGGGAAAACTAGGATAGGCTGAAGGATGTGGGGACTGATTAGCGAGTGTCATTTGAGCTAAGTTCGTTTTGTGAATAAGCTCACCTAGGGTAGCTCTAGGGAGTTAAGGCTAACTTGTATATAACCAATTTGTTCCATATCAATATTCCGACAATCCAGTCAAGTAACAATAAATGTATATGAAGATTAACTCTTTGGTTGAGGACCGCAGTAGCCAAGTGGTTAAGGCGACAAACTCACTAGTAGATACCGTGGTCGTGGGTTCAATCCTCAGTGTTGCCTCTGGACTTTTTTTTCTGACGTCTAAGGGGACCGGTGGCCGCAATTGAAATAAATTGACAGGGCACGTATGAATGGAAGGTCTGGGGAGAATGGTTCTCAGCAACCCTGGATTTGGCCCCCAACCCCCTTCAAAAATGAGTTCCTTTGATGGAAGAACACTGGCACACTGGGGGCTCAATTCACACACGAGATCCAAAAAGTCGAGTCAGGAATAAAGTACTAGACTCTGCCTCTAGGCAGAAAACTGTGCAGCTAAGATCGTACAGCTCACTTGAAACAGCACGGAACTGTTCATCTGCCAACAGTGCCTTCCGGCTTAAAATATTATGTTTAATTAATAAGCTGTACTGCTGCTGTGCTCAGGGTTAACCTACATTGTTTTTCTAATTATGTTATATTTGTAAAAAATTAATTTTTCTGGAATGAAAATACAAAAGCAAATAAAGAACAGCTGATGTGCTGGAACCTATAAACATATTTCAAGTTAAATTATTATTTTTATTTAATCTGTTAGCTAAATTTGTACAGTGTTTAGTGACCGTTAGCCAATGGTTATTCGATCGGAGATCGTGATGTGTGGTCTGGTGTTCTTAGGTTTTAGAAAATCATTTTCTTTATCATGCCAACGTTTCGATCTTTATTAAGATCATCTTCAGGACTCAAAGTGTTTGTTTTCTGCGTAGATGTGTCATTTTTGTGAGTCGCGCTGAGAGCGCCCAACATACATGTACATGTGTTGTACATATTGTTCAACTTAATTGTATAATTGTATGAATAAAAAAAGTTAGTTATACAGCAATCTTCTCACCTCTCTATGTCAATAAAAGTCTGCATCCACTTAAGGTTTTCCTCTCTTCCTTCAAATACCAAGTCTGGTGTGTACGGCCGACGGTCAAGTTCAGTAATTGACACTTCTAATGCGTTTATCTCATCCTTATGTTTTGAAATAGCACCTTCAACAGAGACTCGGCCTAAGCAGATTTTAGGTTGCAAATTGGAGTTCTTGATCTTAAGATCAGTTATTATAGAATTCTGTTGCTGTATTAATTTTTTAAGCTTATTGTATTTATTCTCGAGTATGGTACGCTTGCGTTCCATGATGGATGTGTAATCCTCCACTTCAGCAAAGAGTGAGTTGCCTCGGTGGATGTCACCAACTGGACCTGCCTTGAGACTTGCTAGTTCCGACGAGAGAGATAAGTTACTACTCCGTAAATCCTAGCAATAAGAATCTTTTAGTCTCCAATTGAATGTTTTAGTCTCCAATTAATTGCTCAATTCTACCTGTAAACTTTGTAAAATAGTACTCAGCTCGATTTTATTCTCTTCATAATGTGATTTAATCTGGTTTATTTCAGATGTCTTCTCTTCAATCTGGCCTTTCAAATTTTTCAATTCCTCTTTCATTTCAACCAAAACTATTATTTTTTCCTCTCTACTCACAAGTTCAACTTTTAATTTGTCATTTTCAATCTAAAGAAAAAATATATTTTAGGTATATAGTTATTATAATAAACAAAACTTTGAACAACACGAAAAAAAAAACTACAAGCAATGGTCTGAGGCTCTGGGCTACTAAATATTTTAGACCTATTATTTTGGAAGGTAATTCAAAATCTTTGGGGATTATGACTATTTTTGTTAAAGAGATAAAATTAGGGTTGAAAATAGATGGTGTCCGAGTGGATTGAGGTCACGATAGCTCAAGTAATAGAGCAGCGGCGTATCAAGCTGAAGATCGTGGGTTCGAATCCTGCTTGTGCCGTTGACTTTTTTATATCAACTAAAAACCTTAATTAATTGGAATATATTAATTGGTCAAGTTGACCACGAAATTAGTGAATTGTTGAAAATAGAGATAAAATTAGAAGAATTCAATGACGATTTAATTTATAAAAAAAGATCTGACAATATTACAGTCATTGCCTTGCGAGTTGAAGTACTAATTAGATACCCAACATTGCCAACATGGATAGTAAAAGTTGTTAAAAGAACTTAATAACAAACACACTAAACTATGGGAAGAAAATTTAGAAGACTTAAGTTTGACTCCAAATAACTTATCATTCCAACTGCACAGCTAGTCGACCTCATATAATGTGGGCCAGTGATAGTAAATTTAGACAAAAATGATGAGGAAACTAGTCCACTTGAATTTCAAAGGCAACATGTTATTGTATAGCAGGAACGACAGGTTCATAAATCAAATATTCAAATCATCAATTCTGAAGTACAATGTGTCCTTGCAAAACCCAAAATTATCAATTTATCTGCCAACTCAGCACAGAATGCAACTGTTTTTTTTTTGTCAAAGAATGAATTTAAAGATGTAATTAATTTCATTAAAAATATTTCCTATCAGTAGAATATGTAAGAAAGCCCCTTACAATAAAATTCAATATTATTTCTGCACCAACGAAGTAAGTTTACTTTTGCTTAAATTTTAACAAATGTGTTAACCTTTTGTATTGTGGGCATTCAACAGAAATTCCAAATTATGACTTACAACATCTTACTCCACTCAAATCCAATTAGGACAGGAAAATCCACCTGCAGATAAATTCTTGGTAACATAGAAGAAGTTTTCTTTGATTAAGAAAGTGATTTTCATATAATTAACATGAATTCTGTAAAAAAATTAAATTACTTTTGTCTTTTCGATATCATTTTTCAGTTCATCAATGTTGAAAATTTCTTCGCGTTTCAGCTTCAGTAAAGCGATTTTCTTTGTGTAGCCGTCTATCAAAGTTTTCTCTAACTCCACTTCTTCATCTAATTGCGTTTGTAGACAGGCCACCTGCAATTTATGATATGTATATTAAATAAGGCAATCAATTGCAAAGAAATAGACTCGCCTCATCCTTCAAAGCTTGAATTTCCTTATTTTCGTTCTTCCGCCCATCTTGAAAGTCAGTTTGTGCTTGCTTTCTTCTCAATTCCTTCTCCAAGAACTCAATTTCATCTTGTAGCTCCAGGATGAGGATGTCCTCTACTTTCTTCGCCTTCTTTGTCTCATACAGATCTTGTTTTAATTCCTTGTAAGCAAAAAATCAATAAATTTCAAAATGTACCAATTCAATTAGACATTTTATATATAAAATATAAATATAATAAAATATATAATAGAAAAAATACAATAGAAAATATTCAACAAATAGAAAGTACTTTTATAAAATTGAAGAAGTAATATAAAATTAAAATATAATAATTTATGAATTTAACGATCAAATTGTGTTGATAAAAGTAACAATCATAACAATAACAAAAAAAAATCAATATCACATAATACAATAAAATACTTGAATGTAAATAGGAATATAAGGAATATGTAATGACTGGAATCAAGGAAAGGAAGGAGTGAGTGATTAGAGAATAGATTTTAAAGAATTTCTGAACTGGCTGATTAAATTAAGTTGTTTAAAAAAAAGACAATATTATTATGGATTTTGTTTCCAAATCTGTGCATTCTATTGATAGGAGAATGGTGCAGGTGGTAAAGGAAAGGAGAACAGGATCGGGCTCGTTAATGGGGATGCAGAAATTCATTAGTTGAAGTAACTCAGGCGGTCTGTCTTGTTGTTAAGAAGTTTATATAAAAATAGAGTGACAAATGTAGTACGCACCGGGATTCAAGGAAAATTAAACTTAGTTGCTGCTGCAGGATATCAATGGGAACATGATAATAACAGAATAATATACCCATTTTGCTCCAGCCTTTTAACCTAAGGAATTTGTGCCGAATTAGTTCTAATAATTTAGCAGTTATTGTAGTGTGGGGCCAGATTAGTGACATATGAATAATAACAATAAATTGTTTGCTATAGGCTAGTAGGTGGTGATTAAAGGAGGTCGAAGTGATAGGTCTTTGATAATTTTTACTCTACTTAATAAGTATTATATATGGAGTAAGGGAAGGATAGAGTAGATTCAAGTCTGCTAAAATAGATGATGTTGCATTTGTTAATGTTGAGTGTCATATAGTTGTTCATGTACCACTTTCCAGGTTAATTAGTTTGGATTGTGAATAAACGTAGTTAGATTCAGAATGGGTTCTATGAAATATTTTGAGGTCATCTGCGAATGGGAGAAAGTGTGTGCCAATAGCAGATGCAATATCATTAATGAAGATGTTAAATAAAAAAGGGCCTAGGTGAGATCCCTGGTGGACTCAGAGGATGCAAGAAAAGGAAAGAATGGTGGGATTTTAATTTAACAAATTGTTTTCTATAAATCTACAATCTTGGAATCAGAATTATAATGACACCATGTTAATTTCTATTTTACACATTTATAACTATAAGTACACTGTTGGACAAAATTAACGAAAAATTAAAATTATTGAGTAAAGAAAAAATAAACAGAAAATTCAAAAACAAATAAAAATGTAAAAAAAATCCCCCTTTAATACCGAGTATTTTCACAAAACACCTTTGCATTCCCTGCAAAAGATTTTTGGTAATATCCTGAGTAATTCTTTCCCATTTGTCAAGAACTGCCATTTCCGATTGTTCTACGATGTTAGGATCTGTGTGTGTTCAAAACTGGACTTCGAGCTGGCCCCACCAAGTACTCAATTCCAACCTCATTCAAGTTGCATTAGCAACTTTAGCAAGAACCTCTCACCGATGTGGAGGCAAATAGTACTATATGTTCTTTGATTATGCTTTGTTTATTAAGTTAAATATCTTCCTTCCACAACAACTAATTCAGTGTCCAAGGAAATGCCACCCCACAACATCAACGACCCACCATGGAATGTCACTTGAGGAACCATACAGCGTACCTCTCTCCTGAGTTCTCCATATGATATTACACCCATCTAAAAATTTGAGGCCAACTCTCACCACATCTGTAAAGAGACTCATCCTCAAACATACACTGTCCAATTCCAATGTTTGCGTGCGAACTGAAGCCTGGCCATTATCTGAGCGAGGTCCACGAGCCAGGTGCCAGGCTCTGAGGTTATTTTTATTGAGCTAACCAACAAACAAATCTATCGTCTCTCTCGTCTGTAGACGTAGGTCGATCCTGTCCTGGCCATCTAGTATGAATCCCTGTTTCTTTAAAGCTCTATTATGACCCTGACACTATCATACTCCTTCAAATGTCTCATTGGAACCATTGAAAAAGGTTTAATATCAAATGAAATCAAAGAAGGAAAAAGAAGCGATCTGGCATAGCAGAATGGAAGGGCATAATACTAATTTTTGTACAAATGTAATTGTAATCAGTACAAAAGTAAAATTTACAGTTTATTTTGACTATGATAGCTGCTAATTACCGGTAACTAACATAGAATAATAATGGACATAATGTTAAACTAAATAAATTAAGTGGCACATTAAATTTGTCCATCAGTATATTTTCATCGCTTCATGTCTTTTCACATGCAAAGGACTTTTAGCATTTCTCACTTGAAAAACATGAGTTGTTAAAAATGTTCACTCCGTCATACATCTATCTGTTAAAATGAGTTCCATACCACATAAAATTGATAAGGTCACAGTATCGCTGAAATATAACATTATGAATGGCATTTTTTTGGGTCGTCTTTGATAGACATCCTGGACAGTGTAGCTTTGCCTGTCGGTCATGCATTTCAGCATGTTGCTACCTTCAGTTAATTTTCGAACTGTTCTAACAAGCACAAGCACTAAAAAAACGTCTAACAGGCAAAGCTAACATGACCATGGTGAACGTAAATTATCTACTTACTCACGCTTATATTAAAGTACTATAAAGCGTGCGTGCTTTCATTGTCAAATCATAAATGAAAATATGAATTTTGTATTAGTAAAAAGTAAAAAAAGAAGGAAATTTTATGTCATTTGGATAACGTTTTCGGAATGACATCGAATATGCAATATAGTAAAAAAAAATCCTCACTTCTTCTAGAGCTTTGAGGCGGTCCAACTCTGCCTGGGCCTCTTCCAAGTGCCTAAAGCTCGGGGTTTTATCAGGGCCCATCACCTAACTTAATTTTTAAAGTCCGTCCCTTCAAGTTCAAACGGATGAGGATCGTTGGGAGCTTTTTTTAACGGCCAAGTGGTCATTCGGCTAATCTCGCAAAAGCGCAAACATCGATTAATAAACCTTATCGCCCGACCCGTACCTTAAAAAAATATCAATTAAATAACATGTAACATAAATACTAATTATTATTTTACTTATTTTATATACAAAAACACTTTTAATCGATAAATAAATATTGTATCAATGTTCTTTCTTTGTTGTGTTTTCTTAAAAATAGAAATTAAATCTCCACGAAAAGCAAATTTAGCAGCCTGATTGTAGAAAACGTTATTTTTGTCCAATTCTGAGTTCCTGTTTTAAAATTTTTCTAAATGTTTTGGAAAAAAATTGAAATTAAATTTTTTTAAAAATCTCAGGATTTTTTTCTAATGTATGTAACGTTATAGGGTCGATTGCGATCTATCGAACGGTGATTTGATAATTGAACATTTTAATTTTAACCTCCTCATCCGCGTTTTCATTTTTGTTTATGTTTTCCCGTGACTGTTAAAACATGGATAATTTCCGATTAATTTAAATAGTTTGAGTCTGTCGCCTTCAAAAAAGACGAACATGCAGAAATATGAGAAATTAGAGAAAATAGGTGAAGGTAAGGCACACAAATTTGTAATTACACTGATGGTCAAATTTAACGAACCACTCAATTCATTTAGTTCAAAATTAAATCCATTCTCTTTCTATATTAGTTACAGGTAATTAGGAGCTATCATAGTCAAAATAAACACTAAATAATGCCTTGTTTATTTTTGTACTGATCAACCCCATTTTCATAAAAAGTAGCATTATGCCCTTCCATTCTGCTTCGCATAAAGATGGCTATTAGTTAATCTTTTTCCTTTGTTGTTTCCATTTAATTTTATTCTTATTCTTAAACTTTTTCAATGGTTCCAGTCAGTAAATGAGTGAGTATGACAGTGCCAGAGTCATAAAATGATTATAGGTAGGGTACAGCCAGCACAAAGTCACCGGGAGGCTGAGTGTAAATCACTCTCCAATAGGAAGTGTTCTTCAACACTTCAGAGAAACAGGGCTTCACACTAGAAGGAGACAATAGATTCATCCGTCATCAGGCTCTACGAAACTGCAGCATTACGGGGAACAAGATAAGAAATCTGATGACAAGTCTGAAATGTTTCAATTTTCTCCAGGATGGTAAGAAGAAGGCTCAATGAAAGTACCCTCATGGCCTTGCACCCGGCTCATGGACCTCTTTTTACCACAGCTAAGCAAAGGGCCAGGCTTCAATTTGCATGGGAACATGTGAATCGGACATTGAAAGATTGGAGACCAGTTCTCTGTAAAGATGAGTTGAGAGTTGGCATCAAATCTTCAATTTGTTTATTAGTTTTGTCAGGTGTTTTTCGTTTTTTTTACTTTACTTTTGTTTTTCTTAAAGCAGAAATTTTATTTACAATTATATACATTATATAGAGTGGTTTAATGGAGTTTCTGTCTAGTGGCACTCCAGCTGGTTAAGTGATAACAACATTTTTATTATTTATATGATATTATTTTCTGTTGGGGGAAAAATATAGATTACAATTGTAGCTATCATGGCAAAGTTATAAGAGAGCGTTCGTTTTTGTCCTGTGCATGTACGTGATGCCCAAACAATAATTCCCAATGTGATAGCATATTGTAATGGTACTAGCTTTGCGTTGCTTAAATAATGTAACGGCCACATCTCTCATGTATTCTAGCACCAACATGTCGTATTTAACAATTCCGATATGTGTGTTTTATTGGAGCGAGTATGTCACAAACCTCAGAAACTTGTTCTGCAACCCGGGTATGTGAGACATCAGGAGGGGCATGCATACAGGAGCATCGGCCTGACCACCTCGTTGTACAGTAGTTTATATGGCACAGACTGGACTGGTGACAGAGCAGAGAGAAAAGTATGTGGATAGCCGCTTTGCCCTTGATTACTAACCTTGATGGGGAGTAAAAGTGAGTTTAAGGTCCCCAAGATCTTTGCTATTGCCCCTGTTTTATTATGATTAATTTTAATTAATAACTTCCTATGCATTGCATTCATTGGCTAATTTGTTCAATATTGTGTCAATCCTCCAAAAAGAGTAGAAATCATCAGTGAAAAGATCCATTTTTACATTCTTAGGGCGATGTGCTTGATTAAAATATACAAGGAACAGGATAGAGCCTCGAAGAACAGCAGCAACAATGTTTATCGGTTGGAAATGGTTAATTAAAAGAAAAGTTGTAATTGTCTGGATAAGAGATAGAAGTGGAATATTTATATTATGCAGAGAAGGAAGTTATATTCTATAATCCTGCTGGCTATACCATTATGCCAAACATTGTCAAAGGCCTTTTGGACATCTGTCAATACCCATCTTTTATCTTCTTCTTTCCTATCTTGACTAGATGCCTTGGCCTGAAACCAAACTGCTCCAGAATAATGATGCTGTAAAGTCATTATTAATCATGTTCATTTCTGCTTCAGATACATGAAGAGTCTCCTTAATTTACATTTTTCCCTATATTTCCTTAAGTTTTTTTAGAAAGAGAGTAAGAGAAGTATTTCTGTTGGCAATGTTCAGAAATGTATTCAGTTATATATTGTATTGTTTAAGTATGTTGAGGCTGTGACGTGATCTGCATAATTGTCTCCCATCACCCGGTAGCATGCTCCTGATGTCTTTTTCACTAATAGGTCCAGGTAACAGCATATTTAATAGACAAATCCTGCAGATCAAGCAATATCCTAATGTATATTGTAGTTGTAAAACATGGTCGTCGAATACAATTTAACCAATTGTAGGCATTTTTACGGGACCGAGCGGTTAGGATAGCTGATTTATGTTTGCCAAACTAGCAGTATTTGGTTTGAATCCTGGCACAGCCTATGATTTTTTAATTGAGAATAGCGTGAAAAAAGTATTGTAAGGTAGTTGGCCCTCGTTCATGACACCCTGCGTGTATTACAGGGTAGTTGGATGTGAAGCCCTCCTGTATAACAGGAATTACTTTACTTATAGGAATTTTTAACTAGCCCTTTTACCATGCACAAATATTTACTAAAAATGAAAATTCATCCTTAATTTTAATTTTAATACTTTATTTATATAATTTTTTAAATCAAATATGGTTTATGTAGTGTATATATTGTTTTCTTTTGAGGAACCTATGGAACGGTGTTCAAAGCCAAAAATCGTGAGACGCTTGAGATTGTTGCATTGAAGCGAGTCCGCCTTGATGATGATGATGAGGTAATTATACTCATCACAATGCAATTTGTAGATAAGCAAATTTCAATATCTTATAATTTTATTATGGACTTAACAGCAATAAATCCTGTTTCCCACTCGCAAAACAAAAACACATTGTAGATTGATAAAAAAAATTTGATTACTTCAAACACCATGATTATTGATTATAAAAATCAATTAAATATTTTTTTCCCACTAGGGGGTCCCTTCATCCGCATTGAGAGAAATTTGTTTACTGAAGGAGCTGAAGCACAAGAATATTGTAAGGCTTTATGATGTATTGCACAGTGACAAGAAGCTGACCCTTGTATTTGAACACTGTGATCAAGACTTGAAGAAGTATTTTGATAGCCTCAATGGTGAAATTGATCTAGATGTTGTCAAATCGTTTATGTCAGTGGAAAAATTTAAGAAAACAGAGGAAAAAAAACTTTTTCTAACCTTTTACACTTTTAGGTACCAACTATTAAGGGGATTAGCATTTTGTCACAGCCACAATGTACTCCACAGGGACCTCAAACCACAAAATTTACTGATAAACAAAGTAATCATGAAAAAAGTTGAAAATTATATTGTTTAAATTAAAAAAAAGTCAATCCTAATCAAACTTTTAGAATGGGGAGTTGAAATTAGCGGATTTTGGATTAGCAAGGGCGTTTGGGATCCCAGTAAAGTGTTACTCAGCTGAAGTAGTCACCCTTTGGTATCGACCTCCAGATGTGCTTTTCGGTGCCAAACTTTACACAACCTCCATTGACATGTGGTCAGCTGGTTGTATATTTGCAGGTATAAAAATTCTATACTTGAAAATTGAGTTAAGTTAATTAGAATTATTTAAATAGAAAACTTTCCATTTAATAGAGTTAGCCAATGCTGGCCGGCCTTTATTTCCCGGATCGGACATCGATGACCAGTTAAACCGGATATTCAGACTGCTCGGTACACCGACAGAGAAAGCTTGGCCATCGATCACACATCTCCCTGACTACAAGCCACACCCAATATACCACCCAAACATGAGTTTTGCACAGGTTGTTCCCAAACTGAATTCAAAAGGACGGGATCTGCTCCAGCGGTTGCTCGTATGCAATCCGACACAGAGACTCGGTGCTGAGGATGCCATGTCACACAGCTACTTTCTCGACATGAGTCTCAAGCTGCAACAGTGACAGCAAATTGAGTCTAACCTCTTAATGATGGATTTCCCACTTGTCGGACTCTCATAAAATTAAGGTAACTTCTTAATACTGTATGGGATTTAAAAACTATATAATTTTATATGATTCAAGGTAAATTGTTTGTGGCATTTATGTCAAGAGGACAGTCAACTTCTTAGACAGCTTTCCAAGTCCATGCACTTACCTTAAAACTTAATGTCAAGTTAAAATGGATGCCCCCTGAGTAAGATTTATCTTTTAATTTTAATTGAAAGATTATTATTCTGTACAAATTAATTTTGTAAGTATACTTTTTATAAACTATTTATTTTCTTAAATTTACATTGCCTAATTTTTACCATTTTAAAGCTCCCATTCTTGTATATGCAAGTAGTTTATGTGTATTTGTGAGTGAATATTGAAAATAAAAGTATGTATATTTACACTTATAGAATTTTAGTTTGGAAGAAAGATTTTGGATAATGTCCATCCTGATTTTGTGGAACTCCATAATAGATGGTACGAAATAATTGACTTTTCCACAATAGATATTAATTAAGTCAGACCCTTTATGGTGTAGTATAGACCATCTTCAATAACTAAAAAGCAAAATTGGTACAAATTATACACTATTATATACAAGCTAATAATAGTTTTGGTGTATTCTTTATTATTAACCTGCCTGCAATTAGTATATAATTTGTACCAATTTTATTTAATAATAATAATTACTTAATGAAGATGGTCTATATTAGACCAAAATGCGTTGTAACAACACTTTCGGCCATAGACTACCTGCATCCCAACCCATTCTGACTGGTTGGCCTGACCTAGCTCCATGGGCGTCCATCAGTACAACTGTCTTTACAATGTTTCAATAGCGTTAAATAAATTTTTACAAATTGGCAAATGTTTACTTTTCTGTGTAGAAAAATAATATCCTATGTTCAAAATCAGTACAATAAGATAAAAGGTATGTGTGTAGGTGCTTAAATTAAAATTCTACATAGTAATAATTCCATTATATTTAGTAGTCTATTGACCAAATTACTTCTTTCAATTAATTAATCTTTTTCATTTCAACCAAAACCTTACATACAGAGATTAATTAATTGAAAGATAGTGATAATTTTTTTATTTAGCGCTTAAAACATAATTTTCTTATATTTATACTATAAAAATATTACCATAGACAATTAAAAATAATATAAACAACCTAACAAATTAAAAAAGTTGGGTGTGTGGTCTAGAGCACACGGTGGAAGTGAAAACTTAAATTAGGGTAAATTAACAATACGAAATACAATTTTTGTTCTTTATTTTGTATAATCACAATGTAATTACGTTGAAAATGTATACAATTATGATTGTGTAGGAATTTGATTGTGCTCTGACTGATTTTCGTTGTTATCAGACTCTAGAAACGAAACTATTGGTTTATGGTAACTGAAATATGAGACAAATACTTTTGATTGAAATGAATTTCCTAAATATCTCACAAAAACTCCGTNTCTCCCTCTCTCTCTCTCTCTCTCTCTCTCTCTCTCTCTCTCTCTCTCTCCTCTCTCGCCGCTTGCTCTACTGACTGTCTCTCTCACGCTTAGTCGACTTGAGCCGATTCTACCCGAATGAGCATTACATCTTCGAGCGTGACGGCTCAGTCTCATTCAATACTCACAAAAAAAGTGCTGAGCGCGCCTAAAGAAGTTTTCACTTCAATTAACGATTATGAATAGGACCATCCTAATAAAACTCATATTGCTAAAAAAAAATAACATGCAGAAAATAAAATAAAAATAAACAAAATAATAAATATAACAGGATAAAACAAATAACATTAAAATATGTGTTATAAAACATACAGTTTAATAAAACTAGATTTGTAAAATATAAATTTTTTTTTTTTGCCTTCCTACTTTAGTATTGGCCAAAATATTTATATAATATGAAATAATAAGCTAATAGTATAAAGTTAATGGAATGAACAAATATATTATATGCACATACAGCACGACCTATATATGATTGAACAAAAATGTTAAAATTAGGAATATCAAAGAAATATTATATATTTTTCATATATATGTATAAAATCAATTAATATTAATGTATAAATTAATTGAAGAAAAATAAATTAAAATTTTTGGTAGTTACTAACTGTTGATATAGTTTTAGTCTTATGAGCATCATCTTGCTCTTCATGGTCATCTTTGTGTAACTCAGTAATGAGTTCAAAATCATCATCAGATTCTAACATAGCACAAATTTCTTGATCGGCCATATTTTTCAAATCTTATACCACTTTACATTTTTTTTAGCTCCTTTCTTCTGTAAAAAAAGTTTTTTCTTTCTAAAAAAAGCAAAGGACATCAAGAAGAACCTAGAAATGATAAAACCCACTTTCTAATAAAATTAGATTAAATATTTAAAATAACTAAAAGTTTAAAAACCATAACTTACGTAAACAGAATAAATCAGTTATTTAAAAAAAAAGTATTTACCATGCTATATTATTTTTCTATATTTTTTACATACATGATTATAAATGTATGATTTGCCACAAATGAAAATTATGGCAACAATTGTTTATTCCCAAGATATAACTTACCTTATTTTTAACAATCTGTGAAGTAATGACTTGTCGAACTCCGCACTAAAATGAAGCACAGGTCGAAAGCAGGTACTGAAATAGACCTAAGTGTAGAAAATGCCGGGAATTCATAAAAACCCGGATCCACCACGACCAGACAAAAAGAAAGATAGGGCCAGCACTAACTGGTGGCCGCAGGGTCCTTGGTCTTACACTAACAAGCGCCAAGTGGCGCCCATCGAGTTGATAGTGTTAATAAATGATTGTTGTGGAAAAGACATTTTATTTCCTACTCATCACCTTGTATTCTATCGGGAGACTGTAATTCTTGTCCCCTAATTATTTATTTATCTATCTTGGTTATTTTCTATTATAAATATAAGAAAAAAAATTAATTTGAAGAACTATAATATGCAACTGTAATTAGAAAAAGCTACAAAAAATATTAAATGACGTTTTATGAGTATTTAGATACCTAAAAGGAATATAATTTGCAACTAAAACAAATTTTAATATAAAATATTTTAATATTCAACAATATTAAAGTTTAAACTTTACATCATACGTCATAAATTAAAAAAAATTCAAATAAATAACTTTTATCACAAAGAAATGCAGATTTCTTTTATTGTTAAAAATATATTTACACGTGCAGTCTGATTTAAGAAAAGTTGAATAACTTTGGAATGTCAATATCACTGAAAAAGACTTGTAAGGAGGCCAGCCCTTGAGTCTTTTAGTTCATATTTTGTTGAAATTTCTTGGATTTTGAGCCTCCGCCTAGTGTGTGGAGGTTGGTAGCTGAAAAACAAGTGAAAAAATATAAAATAAATAAAACAAAGTTTATAACAAATACTTACCTTTCATTGTCAAGCCTTTTCCGTCGACAGATGTTTAGTGCTGTTTGCCTTATGAATGCTCCTACTTTGTTTTTACCAACGACTATACCATCAACAAGCGGTGTAGCGACAGTCGGTCTTAAAATTTCCACTGTTAGAAATGGCCAAGCAGAATACGAAAAACCCTTACCTATTGGTAGACGGTTGTAGTTTGATTCTAAATAAGCCACTCTGTAGTGCATGAATAAATATAATGGTGCAATTTTGAGAAGACCATCCTTCTTGACCACAACCAGTGTGATTTATCATTTCTTCTATAAAACCAAAATGACTACAATAAAACAATCTGCCCTCTTTGTGTTATAAATGTATGAACTTTCTTTACCTAGAGGAAAATCTATATGATCCTCAATATTTTCTAACCATACAATGAACACTGGATACGTGGTCAGCTGCCTTTTTGCCTTATCTTCATTTCCTTTAAACATCAAGTCAAAAAATTTGTCATGTTATTTGAATTTGAGTCCTTACTATCAGCAATAAAATGAAGTTTGTTTAATTAACACCTCAAGAGATTTAATTTTTAATAAACCTTTAGTGAAATATTTTTAATTCAACCTACCACATTTATTTATAGGGATATTCACTCCCTTAGCATATTCACCCATTCGAACAATTAAACATTCTAAACTAAAAGCTGAGTATTTTCATAGTTTTCCTCCACTGAACCAGTCTCCATTTTTCCAGATCCAACTTAAACACACATATTCCGGTACACATAATTGTGGTTCTGGTCCCATGAGAGAGAGCTGCTCCTATTTCACTTATTTGGTCAGCCTGTTCATTATTCTCTTCTTCTCCTTTGTGTCCCGGAATATACTTGAAGGGGTTAAGGTTAAATGAAGTCAATATCTACAATCTTTATTATAATGGTATCCCTAAATAATAATCTAGAGCTCTTAAGTTAAGGCTTTTTATCAGATTCCTAAGCTTTGTTAATGACACCCATACGTAACCTTTAACGCCTTGGCTTTTTCTCTCCCAGGAGTAGGAATCACAGCCTTTACACCAATAGAGGATATGTTCTGTCAATTCTTAATTTTCCTATCTTCTTTTTCTGCACAAGCTTTTTTTATGCTAAGGGGGGAGGGCGATAGCATCTATTATGGAACCCCTACAGCTTATAGCCATATATGTGGGGAAGTGTGCTATTTCTTGTAAAACTCAGCGCTTTCCTTGATGCCTCTTCATGGATCTCCTTTGGTATGAAAAATGTCTTGCTGTAGTGTCTGTATCGTAAACATCTAACACTTTACATTCACAAAGGATTGTGTTGGTGTCTGGTTCCTACTGACAGAGCTAGCATGTTTCCCTTCTCCTCAAATCCTGCTTACTGAGAGAGTTCTTATGCCTTCTGTTTTGAGTTATTTATAAATCCCTTAGCTTGTCTCAAACCTGGCATGTTTGTCTAGGGCTTCTTTCTCAATCCATTTTTCCAGATCCACACATATATATATATTACACAGGGCGGGCGACCAGGACCCGAGGGGTTAAAAGCCTGGGTAGGCCCGTACCCCATCCCTAAAAGGTCCGGGACCTGGTCGGCTCACAGTCCTGCATAAACCTTTTGGACCTATTCACAAACCCCAGGATGGACCATTTTATCCTGGGGAGTGTTTTGGTTATGTCCTCTCCTTCGAAAGTATCAAATCTTTCCCTAGCTACCTATCGCATTCTGCAAGGTAGTGTCGAGCCGTTTCTTCTTTTGTTTTGCAGAAGCGGCAGAAGGGGTCTGGTAGAGTACCCATTATGAAGAGGTGTCTTCTCAAGGGGCAATGGCCCGTTAGGATACCTATCAGCCTCCTTATTCCCCTTCTAGAGTTAGAGAGTAACCATTTCGCTTCTTTAGGTTTGATTTCCTTCAGAAACTCCTTCGATTGCCTGCATCCGGGGGACATATTCCATTCCTTAAGGAATTGTTTCATACCCCAGCTACTTATACTCTTTTTTGCTGTGCTTAAAGAGTGGGGTAATACCGGTTGTGGCCCGACAAACGCAGTATTTGATCCTTCCTTGGCCAGGCTGTCCGCCTCCTCGTTGCCATAGTGCCCCTTATGAGCAGGTATCCATATGAGGGTTACCCTATTCTCATACCTGGTGATAGTCCTATTAATGAGTTCAACGGTTTCCTCTACCAGTCTAGATGTTGATAGTTCTTTTTGTAATGATTTTAGACTGGCCTGACTGTCGGAAAAAATTTTAATATCTTTTCCCTTAATCTTGTTATCCATAAGTGTTCTACAGCAAACATTGATGGCCCAGACCTCTGCCTGAAAGACCGAGGTGTTATTACCAAGAGGAGAGGAGATGCTGATCCCTAATTTAGGTACATGTATTCCAGCACCGCTTCCCTTATCCTTAATGAATGAACCATCGGTGGAGCAGTCTAGGCTACGATGGTCATCATCAGACCTATAGTTATAGTCACAGGGAGTAACTACCTGAAAGTACTTTTTCCCTAAAGGTGTTTTCACCTTTTTATCGCTTACACCCAGTAGTTGGTTGTTGACCTTACTCAATAAATGTAGAATTTTCGAGTGTCCTATATTATTTCCCTTACGGTTCCACTAATTAATCTATAGCAGCTGGTTAGTGCTTTAACCTTGACAGATCCACACATACTCCGGTGCACTTAGTTGTAGTTCCATGAGTGAGAGAGCTGCCCCTATTTCAGTTAGTTGGTCAGCCTGTTCATTCTCTTCTACTCCTTCGTGCCTCAGAACCCATTTCAAGTAATCTTGTTTTACTTCCCCAGAATTAAGCTTGAAAAATCATTGATTTGTAGTAAGCCTACTTCCTGTTCCATCTTCTATCCATCTGTGTACCATATTAGGGCCCATTCTTGAAACATAGAGCCACCTTTTTTCCAAATGTCTCTAGTGTCTACCTCTACTTAGAAGGGTCTCTCAAAGTTGTTTTCTCTCATTTTGTCAGACACTGTTGTAGCCATCTCATTTATTTTAACTCTTTTTAAAATTTTGTTGTGGCTCCTTATATCTGGTTTATTTCTGTTGTCTGCTGACACTCTCAAAAGCCACCCTTTGTGGATAAACAAATCTGTACAGGCTCGGTTTTGATGCTCAGAGTCAGCAGTATCCAGTCCCCCTTGAAGGGGACAATACCCTTCATAGTCCCACTCCCCCAATATGCATTACTGATTTTTAAATTGTAGTATTAACAGTGAAGAATGTATGTGCCAATTTGAATTCAAAAATAATATTAAAATTTTTAAATTTTGAGCTAAAACATGAGTTGCATCAATGAACTCAGAAAAGAGGCTGTTACAAAAGCCAATTGCTTTGGGGCAACTTCTATCAAATAGCACAAATTGCAAGTTCACAGAAACAAATGATAAAATACAAAATTACCTATTTGCTGGTGTCGGACTTTTGGTAGGGGCTGCAGAGTTGGGACAATGAAGGTAACCTGTGACATAGAGTCTGCCCAGTAAAGAACATGCTTATGCCCAGAAAACCACCCTCCTCCACTTCCTCCCTCTACATCTATAAAAATGTATTATGTAAATTCTATATTTCAATTGTAAAAAAATTTACCTTGACTTGAGCCTGTAACTTTCTTTGGTGAGCCAAATGTTTTGAGCACTTGCAGAAAACTATTTGAAACCAGGCAATTTGATTCCTGAAAATAAAGTAATTTAAGTATATTTTTGTTATTATACATTCATGATAGTTTACTACATGTAATTATATATACGAAAAACTTACAACATTTGCTAATATATCTTGGTAATGAGATTGCCCAGCTCTCACATAAAAAACATGACAAGTATCACTCGTGCGCGGTTCCATTCTGTCCAGCATTTCCACATCCTTGAAGAACCCATCTTTTTTTGAGTCCAAAGCCAACAAAGAGCATTTCCCCCCTTCCTAAGATTTTAATTATAATAACGTATAATAAATAAATATTTTTTGTATAACAAATACATACAAGTTTGTGAAGGAAGCCAAAATGTGATAGAAACAGTCTAGTTGTTTGAAACTCGCCACAAACCCTTGGTGGATGGCATTCTTGGGAATTCTTTTTCACATTTTCAGCCATTAAACGAGCCTCTGTTTCCAATTCTTTTTGTTGTTTTAAAAGATGACTTATTTCAGACACATCACCATCCAGGACAGGAATACTGTGCTCACTAGGTTGTTTGAATATTTATTAATGTTTTGCATATAGAAATATTATAAAAGAGGTAACTCACACAGCACATCGAGGTATCTTATTGATACTATCAGGGAAAAATTTGTGTTGCACTCTCTGTACCTGTGGGTTTGTGTTTAAAAATACTGGCCTCCCAGGCCCTGACTGGCCTTTACCACGAGAAGCATTAGATCTGAAAATGTAAACAGAGATTAGTTTTATATCATTGCAGACTTGATGTTGCTCGGCTGCTCCATTAATTATGCAGGGTTTTTTTTTAAGTAATCAACCTTTATGAGCCACGCCGTGTGACTGTCAATCTGACGCCCTCTTTAAAAAGAGATTTGCCTGTCAGATAATATTAGGCAGATTAAAAAAAATTCACTCTACACAGCAATAACCTTAAATTTTCCTTTGGTACTGGGGAAATTTGTAGAAGGCCAAGCATCAAATGATTTTCTACACTTCGTTTATGAGTGCCATGGCATGACTGTGGAAAGAGAAGCATGTTTTGGATCTCAAACCTTAAGTGGAATTTTTCTTTAAACTTCTTTCTAGTCAGCTTCTCAGATATTCACATTTTCTGTAAATATATTTATTATGTGAAATTGAAGTTGTATTTCTCTTAAGTTACTCAGTCATTGTCTTAATTATAGTTTAGTTTACATTTTTGTATTTTATTTTTTAATATTTTGTTATTATTTTATTGCTGATTTTAATCGAAAAAATAATATAATGATACCATTTGTTCAAGGCACCCAGGTAAAGTTGTTTATAATTAATTTAATTAATTATATACTACATATAAAAGTTTTACCTATGTCTCGGTAGCTGCCTCAGCTGGAAACTCCAAGCATGGCGCCCAAACCCACCTCTTAATATCACATTTACCACCGGGCGGGGCTCTAGAAAAAAGCAATAAATAAAATCAGATAATTTATTCTTACTAGACAAATTTAACCTTCGTGATTTTCTAGAGGGTCATCTAGCAGTGCCATGAGGATTGTGTTGTGTAGAACAAAGTACTTAAAAGATGAGGCTGATTTTGTAGAGCATTGTCTCAAAAGGATGTTTTCATCGACCAGGGTCGATATAGACTCAGGCCCACACATGGTTGGGAAATGTCCAGCCTTAAACCGATGGATTAAATTAGATTTGTAAATGTGATTTAAGTTTTCAAATATGTTCTGCACTGACATGTTCAAGGATTGTGGTCAGTAATGACTCTGCAGCATCTCTCACCCTCATTGAGACTGGCTTCAATTCCTTTTCATCTTTCATTTTTATCGGTTCATCCCTTCTTTTTCCCTAGAAATATAATAAAATCAGATATCATTCAACATGATCAATGCTCAAATGATAATTCTTCTTACTTGTGATTTGGAGCCAGATAAACCTAGCTCAACGACTTCGAGCACATTGTGTAAACACTGCTTATTTTGAAGTAAACTCGGCTGTGCCATAATCCAAACCGAGACAGTTGTAAAAGCTGCGACTACCGATGAGTGCAAATCCTTGCTGTGTGCTTGTGGAGGCCTCCAGCACTGGTAAACAATATAGTCGCACACCCACTTCATACCCCTTTCCCATTCGACGTGATCTTCCAGGAACATAAATGTTTTAAGTGTTTATATGTTTAAAAATACAATAATAAAACACATACACGAAAGCATACATGTATACATTTAAAAAATGGGACTTACCGATATCTTTTATCCCTGAGTTGGCTAAGCCACACAAGAGCTCCAATGCAGCTAGAGATATACCCAAATCACCTTTCCATGATGAAATCAGTCGATGGCATACTAAATAAGTCGCTTTCACAAATAAACTGTTAGCAGAATCTGAACAAAAATCAATGTTATTAGTAGACATTTGTAGTTTTTTCATATATAGTAAAAACATGAATAGAAATTAATTGATATCCATAATGTTACAATGATAATGTTAACAAATTTAAATGCAAGTATCACCTGATGAGCTTGAGCTGTAACTAGTCAGTTGTGGTAATTGATTTTCTCCCATAAGTCGTTCAATGGAAGCTGCATCTTGTACCATAACTAGTAAACCACCTAAATTTAAAATTAATGTATTAATTTATTTTTTAAATTAATAAATAGCTATTAACAAACCAAGTAGTAAATGTGTATTGTGTGGATCTGTTTCAACTTGAAGAGCATTTATCAACAGGTTCATTACCCTGGATTTAAGTTGTCCAAATGTTAGATGAGGTTTATCACTATGTGTACTTATGAGTTCTCTGACAACCAAATTCTGGAAATAATGTTTTCAACATTTTTTTAAAATCATGTAGTAGAGTATTACATCATTACTCACGGGAAAATGCAAAGGTAATGGTAAAATCGAGAGGAGAATGTTAATGCAAGCCCTTCTAAATTCTGACATGTTTACGCTTGGCCTTCAAAAATGAATTTTGTTTTAAAAATAAACTCTTACATGACATTATAAATTAAAACCATTACTTTAAGGTGAGATCTTTATCAGGAAGGACCCTTTCCAATGATTGCAGAATGTGAGGCACCAAAATTTGTATACCATCTAGATCCAGGCGTAGTAGATCAGCGCTGTTCATCAAAATGCTTACTAAAGACTCTTCAACATCCCTTTTCTAAAATCCAACAGATTATTATTCTGTGTTTATTTTCTTGCAATGAAACTACATACATCATTGAGTTTTAATCCGTGGAGCAGAACTAAGTAGAACCTGGCATAGTAGACAGGCAAGATCTGTTCGCCTGTTTTCTTTGAGCAGAATATTCTACAGAGTGAAGCCAAGGCAGTGGCACGTCCAGCTTGATAACGACTTGTCATCAGGGAAATGCTCGTCTCCGATTCAAGGCTGTCATTCTGTCCAGAACTCAATGATCCGCTTTGTCTGCTATTATTTTCCCCTAAAAAAAAAGAAAAAAAGTGGTGTATGTTACTTTGCAATATATGCATACAAACTGTTTAGAAAAATGTGACATCACATCAACTAATATTTATAAACAAGTCAAATTTAAAGGATAGGTAATTATAAATTATCAACTTACATAAATGGACAGGCCATGGAGTGGCTTTAGGGTCACAAAAAGTAATACATTAAGACAAACACAACAGATTAGAGGCAGTAAGTGGCAATTTTTTTTTTAATAACATGCTGCTAAAATGATTAGAAAATATTTTTATTTAACATGTTCATTACAGTACTGATTGGTACTTCTGAAATATGGGAAAAATATTTTTTTAAATTTTGAAATCTATTTAGGTTCATAAATAACCCTTAATTAAAATTTTGATAAAAAATTGACTTTTTAACATTTTTGTATCTTGGTTCTGGCACAACATCCGTATATGAGGAAGGTCAGGTTAGGCAAACCAACAATATATATTCAAAACTAAGGTAATTCCTGTCTTGCTGGAGTAAGATTGGGTGTCGCGGATGAAGAGTCAAACCACTTTACAATGTTTTCTCCATTTTATTCACTTAAAAATCTATGGGCTGTGCCAGCATTCAAACCCAGGACCACTACCATGGCAAGTAAGATTCACCCATCCATTCTGCCACTGAGGTCCCTCAATATATATATTTGTTTGCCCCCATTTATTATGAAAAAATTGACTAATTGTATACTTCTACTTACTAACATTAATAAATTTAAATATTATTGGGAGGAATACATATGTAAATAAATAAAAATTGAAATTTAACTTTAAATTTATTTCTTATACATATATGAAATTTAATTATGATAATTAAAAAGAATAATTAATTGTAAAATGTTTATTTCATTTATATTTATATATTCCTTTAACATATATATATTTTTAAAGCATATTACTAAAATAAGTAAAATTAAATGTAAGGTAAAAAATTTAAACTATGTATTTACAAATTCAGTAATTATTCCCATATTTATTTACTAAATTATTTAAAATATTTATCAATTATTTATGATTAATAAAAAAAATAAACTAAACAAAAAACCATTCAGGGGCAAAAGACCGAAAGATGAACAAAAAATTCCTTTGGTGTGCTGATCTCGATTTTCACTTTAATTAAAAGTATTTTTGAAAAACCAAAAGATTTACCGAGAAATATATTTCATAACAATATAATAAAAAAATTACCTATTATGGGTAAAAAAAATTTTTTTTTTCAAAAGGTCAAATTGAAAAACAGACTTCATGGTAATGTTGACAAAGTAATACTAAAGCAAAAGGCCTGTGAAATCGATTCAATTTGAAAAATATCCCAAACACCCTGCAACAATCTTAGAAAAGTTGGGGTTTTCTAGAAGAGGTGTGTAGTTATGGGATGTACAAATGTGGGGAAAGGTCTATTGTGTTGTTTCAGAACACTCGTAATGAACATGTTAAACAAAAAGTATTCCTTTTCATAACTAAACATTAAAAAAATGCACAGATCCGTCTGCTGATACAAAAATGATTAATGACCATTTAAAATCAATTTGTGTATTCATAATATTATTTATAACAATTTAAGTCATCTTAAACCACAAAATTATGTATACTTAAATAAAATAGAAAAAAAAATGTTTTAACTTTAAATAGCCATGATTGCAGGATTGGATTTAACATAGGCAGACAACTCAAGGTATATACTTTTTATATATAACATGTACTTTAGCATTCGTGATAAAGTGTTAAAGAAAAAACTCACGTGATAAGTTAGGATTAGCGTACAGGCCTGTTCCAGTTTGTGCAGCTTCGAATAACCACTCACCGAACAAATGAAGGATGCTGTTGCACTTGGGTCTACCTGGGGCCAGGATATGTGCTGAGATAGAGCTAATGTCCCAAGAGCCACTGATAGTAGCTGAAAATGCATAATTAAGCATGATTTTTGTGAATTCACATTTACACAAGGGAACTTACTTATAGATGAAGTAGAGCTGCTACTTGCACTGGAGGCACTTAAAGCCCTGCCACTCACTCCTATCAAAGCTGCACTACTTTTAGATCCTGTAAAATATTCAAAGTGCATAATAAAGTTTCAATATTACTTTGTTATATAAGTCATTTATTTTCTTTAATCATTAAATATAATTATTTTATGTTTGTAATGACCTTTATGGGAGACAGAAGAAACACTGAAGCTTTTGGCAGGCCTTCGATGAGGAGGTGGTGTTGGTATCTCCTTTTTTTGATCCTCTTCTGTCAAAACTAGCTGTTCACTCATTACACCTTAAGAAATTAAACAATATTAATTAACAAATGAGAGATTTCAGTAAAGCATAAATACCTAAGAAAGCATCTACAATATTTGAAATTCCTTTAATAGCGATTAAGAAATTTATAGGGAGCACTGTGAGACAAGGGTGCGAACTGGGGTCCATGTCAAGAACCATCGCATACTGGAGAAACTTAGGTGTTTGTGATATGACTTGTGGTCGGCAAAGATCAACCGGAGATCCAAGAGTGTGCAACAAACGAAACCAGACCTGTGCGACTGTTTCATCGGTCAAGTCATTTGGAACTGTCCAACTATCATTTTCATCTAAAAATTCTTTAGCAATAAAAAAATATTGTGTCATTTAATAAACATAAAACGCACAATACTGGTGTTTCGGAAAGTTTGGTGGGAACATGATCCCAATGAGACGGTGTGTCAACGCCAAGCAGACTTTTGCCCAAGTCGAGATCAAAGCACCACGATGTCTCCATGTCATTGCCATTTCCCTGAGGGTCCGCCAGAGTGGAGGAGACGGAAAGCTTTTTCCACATGCTATGAGCCAAACTTCAAACAAAACTGAGAGCACCCTTTCACACAGCTGATCTCCAACATCATCTAAACATTTAATTTTTTTAATTGATAAAATTCAAATTTAAATTATTAGGGACACAAGATGACCTTTTGTAGTTGGAGTAGCAAGTAAAGTTTCATTAATAGCGAGCATGAAGATCAGTAGTGCTTCCCAAGTCTCATGGGACATGATGGTTGAGCAATGTGCTGCTTGCTGCAGGGTCCTCAAAACCCTGTGGCATAAAACAGCCTGTCTTTTAATTGTGTCAGCACCTGAAACCATTATAAATTATAAACAAACCATGTCTCAAAATTATAAATAAAGAGAACAAAACACATGCTTACAACTATTCTGACATTGTCTTCCAAAATTTATTTACATACACTTACAACTAAAACTTAAGCTAATATGAAGCAGCAACAACTTTTATGTCCAACTTAAGGTAAAAACACAATCTCCTATTAGACAGATTTGAAACAAGGTTATTTTAAAGTTGAATAAGAAAATTTACTAAATAAAGTTATGGAAATGTAACTTTTGATCCTATATTTTAAATGTAAATTTTTGTTTAATTTTGGCAAAATTTACACTTCATTTCTTAGAATTGAATTCTAGCACAAATAATTTTTTTTCTCTAAAATTCCCTAAAGGAAAAGATTATATACATATATATTTTTTTTTTTTTTTTTTTATTTTTTTTATTTATTTTTTTTTAATAAGGTCATTAAGGGTTTTAAGCGTTGAAAAATGAATACACCTTCACATAGTCCTATCTTGTATTTGTTAAATATTTTCTTGCACATTTTGAAAAATAGGTTAAACCGTAAAACCTGCTCCACACCTCTTTGACAAGGACCACAGTCAACACAACAGTGTATTTATACCCCAGAAAATTAATTCCATTTTACACTTTGTTCATAAACATTGTTCTTCTCTAGTTTATTTTCACTCTTAGACACACACATCTTAGGTGAAAATATAAATGAAAATACTAGCTGAACAACAAGATGATTATTGGAGTCACCTTCATTTCACCATTTAAGTTATTTTTCTTTGTTTGTAAATGTTTAATGCAGAAAACATTGTTAACTACTTTAAACATTGTTCACTGCCGTTTAAGCGCAACAAACAAACTACACCACAAGCAGCCAAGTTAATCAAATTTCACATTACAACTTTAACCATCCAAAGCTGGGCCACCACCAGATTTTAAATTTACAATTAACAAAGTCAAAAGGCCCCAGTCAAATCATCTACAAATTAAATATTTGATACAAACCAAGATCCGAATACAGGAAAGGCCAGACTGCAAAATAAAGAGATTAATTACAAAACTGGTGCAAAAGGAAATAAATCTTTAAAGAATGAATGAATCGAGTTAGCTAAATATATTAATAAAATATTAAAAAACAAAGATTTTGGATATAATTGAAAAATGAACTTTCATGTGTAATGTAAACCATTCCTTGTTTTGTTATTCCAACTAAAGGATAACAAAACTGACATTTTTTTTACCTTTATAATTAAGTGAAAATTGTCTCAATCAATATAAAATTGAAGGATTGGCTTTGACATAAATAAAAAATATTGCTGTTATGTAAAAGGTGATAGACAATTTTTTGTTTGAAATATTCAAGTTTTTAAACTTGGTATTATTTAAAATGAAAATATAACTGTTCTCAGAATAAAGAAAACATAAATTAATTAGATTAGTGCATATATTATAAGGATGCATTACAAATAAAATATATAATATATTAATATTCTAGACAAATTAAAATATTTTAGTTACTTACTTATTACATTAAACTAATAGAATGTTGTGTACTTTACATGTGTAAGACCCCAATTTCAAGTGTATTAATTAAACAATTATAGTAAATTTGTTAAATGTAAGTAAAAACTGGGTTAATATAATTAAAAATGGAAACTAGCGCACTTTAGATTTGGAGAATGAACATTCAATCCATGAATGTGTTGTTATACAAATTAGAAATGTAAGAAGCAATAAAAAAATATCTATTAAAATAATACCTTCAATCTAATATCAAAAATTGTTATAAACCAAAAATTGCATCGGAACAGTAATTATATGTCAAATAGATTGTCTCAAATTTAATATATTTTATTAATCACAAAATCTCATGAATAAAGTTTGAAAGAAATTTGATGAAGGAAATACACGAGGGGAGTGGGTAGTTGACAGAAATAAATTATAAACAGAAATATCTATTGTGCTGCAGTTCACAACTGTAAAATTTTATAAACCTTGAAGATTTAAAGGTGTATACCTGCTCTTCAACAAAAATGTTATTAAAATTATTAAAATAATCATAATTAACATGTACCTTCTCCTTTTCTTGGAATGAAAAGATTGTGCAGATGAGCGATAATTTTCCTTGCATAGAGGTTTGGATCATCCAGAAGAGGTTTGGGGACACTTGTTGTAGGTGAGGGATGGAGGACTGTGAGCCAGTCGCAGTAAATGTGGACGCAGTCACGAATCGCATCATGTTCGACCAACGGCAGGCTCAGGCCATAACAAATAACCTGTCAGAATACATCAGTGAAAAATGAGTTTTCCAGAGGTAATAAAACATACCTCCATGCACCACTGGACATCCTTGTCGGAGACCAAGGGACTGGGCACTGGAGCCTGCGTCAATCCAATGTTCTTTATTAGATCTTTGACAATAATGAGTGCGACATCTTTTCCACTCTCAACGGGAAACTTGTTGAGGACAGATTCACGATCTGCGCTCTCATGTCGAACAATATTTGCCAAAGATGCCCATTCTGAGTACATTCCCCCTCCCTCACTCTCCTGAAAATACATGTTTTACGTAAAATTAAATATTATGAAAACGGGGAAAATTTATGGCCACTAGTCTATAAATAGAGAACAGAAAAAAAAATATATATATATAAATCAGTAATTAAATTCATACAATATGAACATTCTGTACTGTCCATTTATGTTTAGAGGTCTAATTGACCATTTTAATTATTCTTTTTATGCAAGGCCTTGGTTGATATGAAAAAGTTAGTGTCACGAGCGGGATTAGAACCCACAATCTTCCGCTCAATGCACCGCTGCTCTAACAACTTGAGCTATTTCTGCTAAGCCTTCGATCCACTCGGACACCAACTCCCTTACAACCTTTCAAATTTTCCCTCTTTTTACCATTTTTCTGTATTGTATTAAATTACAACCTAATTTATTCCAAGCCTAATTTTTAAGCCATCAACATAATTAAGCCTCTGTCCAAACCTCTTTATTGATAAATTGAACTATGTATTTAATGAAATGTCCTTTATTTGGTTATTTTTACATAAATTACAAAGTTGAACAATAGAAATAAAAGAGGTGGGGTGAGTACATTGATTCACTTTTTGTGAGAGATGGTTCTATTCACAAAATGTTTTTAGCAGCAATCTGATTTTGAATTTATATGCTCATCATAAGGCTGACAAGACACGTTTGTAATCTCACCTGATGATTAGCATTTAAGGCTCAAAAATAGAATCATCCTTTACAACAAGTGAAGCTGAAGAATGCCTAAATTGAAGATTCTATAGTTAAGAAATACAATATAAAAATCTGGCTTATGTTAAAGTATTGTACATTTTAATTGTGAATTTAAAAATATTGGTAAACATAGTGTCAGCTACAACTTATAATGCTATTTATATTTCTATAGTTTTTTTTGCATTCTTTTTTCTCTTAAATAATAAATTATATGATAGATTTTCAATTTTTAAAGTATACTGTATAAGTACCTAGATTTTCAATGCACTAAATTTTGTTTAGTTAGTATTTTATCTATAATCTGGTTGATTGAATATTTTAAAAATGAAACTTAAGTGTAGTGGTGTATAATATAATAATAAGATGCTTTATTTAAGAATAATTACAAATTTACATAGTGTAAAGAAACTACATAAAAGCATATACGGCTTGGATATGAAACCTTAGTCCATGGTAATGAGGATTTAACAGCCAACACCACAACAGGTGGAAACTTTCTGACTGCCTATTTTCTGAAAGGAAAGGATTAAAAAACACAATGTAGTCAAATTTATTAATGTTTGACTTGAAGCTTGACACGAATCATTCTAAATTATCACGCGTAATATTCAGCAGGACAAAAACCCGTAGCTTTGAAATCCCTTCTTCCTTAATGTTTCGGGTAGACAGTTGGACATTGTGAATATCACAAGGTTTTTAAGTATTGAACTTCACAGCCTTCATTCTATCATTTAACTTTCCTGGTGTGAAAACTGATTGCTGTATGATTTGGACTTAAGAAATGGAAACCAGTTGTACACCAGTCCCAAGAGCGAACAGACTATTATGCTCTTTTTATATCACATTAGATTGTTGACCTGCTTTATAAGGTTTTCCTACTTCAAAAAAGAGCCTGAAGGGATTCTTGGACTGGGATATACAGACAACTGTTTCTCGGAGTTCAAACAGCCCAATATACAGTTCCTGGATCATGACCCTACAAACAGTAAATACTATCTGTGATCACCAAGACCAGAATAGAACCAGGCACAAAGATAAATTCGCTCTACCCAAGCACCACACCACACTTTATGAGCAATTAGCAAAGGAAGAGATCGAGGTAAATAACTTCTGGCCAAGTAACCTAACCAAAATCAACACCAAGTGCCATAGTTGCAAGAAATTTGTCTGCAAAGGAGACCTAAGACCACCATTAATGCAAAGTACAATTAAAATAGGTTTTTTAAAAATATAAAATGTAATGTTTTTGAAGAAATAAAGTTTTAAAATTTCTAAACATTTATTGAGGGGCGTCGGTGTTTGCAACGGTTTAGGCATTGACACGGCACTCATCACTATAAGGTAAAGGTTCCAGGTTCGAATTCAGGGGCCTTGCATTCAAACCCGACATACTTACAAATGGGCTTTTCTCAAAAACACCGGCACCCCGAGGGTTGATATGACCTCTGATGTTGTGAACCCTTGTTAAAAAAATAAATAAAAAATAATAAACATTTATTGACCTTGGTTTCCTTTATTCAATGCATTCGTTTATTACATTGCATTGGGTGAGTCATAAAAAAATGACCGATTTCATTTTCTTGGAAATTGTAATCCTCTAAAGGCTTTATTTGTTTGATTTGATATATACTATACTAAATGAATGTGTATAAAATGATCTTGTCTGCCTTCAGTTTTGTCTTGGAGTTTGATTAAACAACAATACATTTGAAATTGTTGTAATATGCCATTATTGATGCTCTCTCTGAACGAACAGTGTGCTGATGCTTCCAGAAATTTGAAGCCAATGACATCATACTCAGAGGAAAGAGGGTTTTGGACAAAAAACATCATTCGATGAGAAAACTCTGCAGGACTCTGTTGAGACAGACCCAACAAAAAGTACTTGGGAATTGGCAAGAGAAGTTGGAGCTTCCCAATCCACTATAAATTGTAGATTGCACAACTCTAAATCATTAAGAGTGATTCCTCATCAGTTGGCCATTGAGCAGGCACACCGTAGTTTTTCCCCCCTTTTTAAGAGGGTATTTCAACTACAAGGTTATATGAACCTTCAGAGTGCCGATGTTTTTGAACAAAAGCCCATTTGTAAGTATGTCAGGTTCGAATGCAGGGCCGCTGGATTCGAATCCAGGACCTTTACCTTCCAGTTATGAGCGCCGTGTCAACACCTAAACCGTTGTGGCCACTGACACCCCTACACACCAAGTAGAAATTTGCCAACATCTCTTAAAAAAGGCAGACCCAGACGGAAGCCACAGGATGTTTCCCACAAGCCTGGAAAACCTGAAGATCCAATAATTGGACAACCGATCAAATAAATACCTAATGTCGAGTTAAGGGTAGTCTCAAGGCCAAAATATGTAGTGATGTGGGACATTGTTAAACGGGGTCAGCCAGGTGCGGGACCCCTGTCTTCACTGGTCCACCCGCAGCACGGTAACTCCCCAACTTTTGCTTTTCCTTTCTACCACTCCTCCGGCAGAGAAACTGGTACAAAAAGGGATGATTTGGATATCAACAGTCAGTCTGGACAAAGGGCCCAAACCAGTTAACAGTTGACTTCAAGAGTCGATCCATGGAAAAGAAGCAGCCACACTCTGTCTCGGAGTCAACAAGGGAACTCAGCCAGCCAGGACCAGCCATTGTGACTCATTAGATCGAATCAATGGTTGAGATACCGGAAATGCACTGAAGATGCTGATCATGGCAAGCGTCATTTGGGGTAAGTTAATACACCCTGACTAACTGTTAATAGACTCATCCCAGATTTAGAGTTGTGGCTGACTTATTAGATTAATTAAGATTTTGTTGTGGTTGTGTACAACAGACGGAATTGTGTTGAAATAAAAGTTTTATTTAAATTTAAATTTTAAAGATTTATTGAGTCTTAGTCAATTTAAAAGATTTATTGAATCTTAGAACCTCACCTTCCTCTACCCAAAAATAAGTAGCAAAGTGCTTACACCAACTACTCTCTTATTGTTTAGTGAAAAGAAAGAAAATATAGAATTGTTCAGCCATCGCACTGTCCCGTCACTTACAGTGGATATAATGAAAAAGCAACTAAAACCAAGAAACAATGGTTAGACTGCAATCAGCCTGCTCTACAAGTCGCAAAGCAAAGCCAATTCAGCAAAAAGATAATGCTCTCTATACTTTGGATTACAAAGGCACAATTCATTCTAGTCTATTCTACAAGGTTTGACCATTGTTACAAATTATTGTGAGCAGTTACAAAAAAAAGTATGATGTTTTGACCCAGCATTACCCAGGATTAGTAAATAGAAATCGGGTTTTGGTACAACACCTGATCATATTTCTCAATACATGAAACAAAAAATTGGATGAAAGTGAACTTTTCCCTCAACCTTACAGTCCAAACTTAGCAATTCTGACTACCATCTGTTCCGGTCCATGGCTCATTATCTTCAAGGGAAAACATTTAATTATCTGGATGAGGTTCAAAATGGACATGCAGAATTCTTCCGTTCAAAAACCAAAGAGTGGTATTGTGAAGGAATCCAACTCCTGGTGTCGAGATGGCAACAAACCATAGAGCACAATAGTACATAATTTGAATATTAAAAAAAAAAGTTGTGTCAAAATAAAATTATTTTTAAAATAGCATTATAAAGTAATGTATATTATGATATACAGTTGTTCGGTTACATAACAAGTGTATAAACCTAAGACATACATATGAGTACAATAGGCCAGAAGGCTGTCGTGCTTGGGGAACATAACCCCCCCCACTTCCTAGACACATTTATCATGACATATATGTACATACAATTAAATTCAATATTTGTTTAAGAACCATTTTCAAACATATTGCCCACGTTTTTTTAAGGTTTAATTTCCTGTTTCTCGGCCGAAGTGATATATTTAGCGTTTACCACGATATTAAACAATCTTGACCGTTAATTGAATGGAGTCATGACAGACGTGTCATCACTGTAATGTTTTCTGTCCCAACAGCTCGTGGAAATAAACCGACAACCGATGAGAAATTAAAATTGTTGAATTTCGTTGAGACTCACTTTGAGATTGACCCTATTGAATATGCCCAAATTCATCAATATTGCAAAAGTCGTCGTTTTCGAAAAGAAAAAAGCCGAGTGCACAAATGCCAAGGCGATGATAAACCGTGGTATGTCGGTAGTCAAACGCTCGTCATACTCATGACACGAGTGCCAGGCAGGTGTTCGAACTCAGTCCAACTATCTCTTCACATCCTGAACACTCAATGATCACACACAAAACAATAATACAAATACATGAAAATGTATTAAATTGTTTTCAAATAAACATCACACATCACGTTTGCCTTTCTCCTACGACAAGGTTACAAGTCTCCGTTTACAAATTTCCCCAGATTTCCCTTTCATCGAGAATTTCTTTTCCTATTTGTGCTAAATCACTATTGAGTATTACAATTTTTTTAAATATTGTCTTTATTTATCACAATTTTAACGTTTCAAACAAATATCCGTCAAAAGATTGCTTACACATTGTATAAAACTACTCCTAGTATTTCTGTTCATATTCCATATCACTCTTTCATCCTTTATGATTTTTTTTAGATTTTAGTATCCTCCAAACACATTTGAAAATTATCCATCTGTTGTCTTCTAAAGCTCCAGGAAATATTACAGTTTGAAGTTGAATTTGTTGGCAATGGGTTCGTTCAAAAATGATGGATGTATGCTGTATCGGTAGGCATTATGTTTTAGGCCATAGGTTTTCATGTGAATCATGATCATTTATCATTAGAATATAGAATACCATTGTAGCCCATCATGTAGTACGCTTGTTTTCTGTATGAATGATTAATTAATGCAAAAATTTATGTAATAATAGTGAAGAGTGCAAGGAAAGTATCCAATGTCTAAGTAGGAAAAAAATACAGAGAAGAATAATGCATAAGAGTGAGAAAAAAAAGCATGACCACAATCTGTTTGTCGGAGAAAAAAGGAAAAACAATAACAATATGTATACCTGGCAGACGCACTAATGTCCATTGTCTTTGTCTGTAAATTTAAATGTAAAAACGAAAATGTATAAAGTTCAATAAATTTACTTCTTTATTATTATTTATTATTAAAAATATGTATGTGAAGACATTTCTATATAAATGGTTATCATAAAAATTGAATTGAAAACAGAAATAAATTAATATGACAAAATATCAGTTTTAGGACAGTGCGCATGAGCAAATTTTTGTTGCACAACTATTTTGTCCCTTCTGTGATGTCCATACAATCATAATACGGAGATTATGCACAGAACAACATTTAGTTCTTCCGGTCAGCAACCCCAGGGCAATGAAATTGTCACCATACATTTGTTTTAAAAGAGACTCAAATACTAATTTAAAGTGTAAATTATGATAAGAAATATGCTAAAATAATTTGTTTACTATTTTATTTTTTTACATTTTTTTAATTTAGATAAGATTACGTCTAAGTAGTCAATATGCCAAAAATGCATTCAACCAATATCAAAAAACTGTTTCTGCCTGCAGTTGCAAAACAAATAGTGGTGTAAGAAATAGAAATGTTAGCAAATATTTTGTGATAAACCAAAAGGTTCGTCAGCTACTAAACAAAAAGGCATTGGTTTCCTTATGAGTCATTAGACAATATTCTGTCATTGAGTACGTTCAGAAAGTTGTGTTGTATCCTCATTCCCATATTCAAATGACAAGACAGCAGAATCGCCTGTTGCTCAATTAGTGCCAATATCTATATAGGCAAATTGGTAATCAGCATCCACCAATGCCACGAGTAGCACTGAAAAAATTTTTGTAATTGAAAAATTCAGAACCAGTGCGGTGAAATTGGATTATTCAAATATGCTTTCCATCCAAATCGCCGTTATGTTAAGAAAATGCAGGTGTAAATAGAATTGGTCAGAATTATGTGTAAATTGGCTGCAAATTATTCCATATTTCAGTGCAAAGTTGTTTTCACTATTTTGTGGATTATGGTGGCACCGGTCAAATAATTATACGAAAGAGCACTGAAACTTGCACTGGAAGTCAGATAACTGGAAAAAAAAGTGTTCTGGTATGTTGTAGTAGGCCTGAGAATTGCAAGAAGCTCATCAAAGTAATAAGTAGTAAATTAAATTAGTAAATCTTGTGAAAATAATCAAAGAATTTTAACAACAACGTAACACATGTAACAGGTAACATCTTAGTTTTTGAAACACCAAAACAAATTTCTCTTTAATTAGTCTGGAGTTTAGCAGGTGAACCTAACATGTCTTTTTTCAATTTTTTGCGTCACATCAATAAGGCAAATATTACTGCTGACTCCAAGAAATCCATTTATAATAAAATCATTCTAGCATTTCATGTAGAACTGCCTGATAGCCCCCCCCCTTCAAATCCAGTATACTTACAAAGGAGCTTTTTTCAAAACCAGCGGCACCCTGAGGGTTTATCTAATTTTATATATAACAAATATATAATACAAAAATAATATAATATATATAATCTTTGTTTTTATATTTTTACTTTTACAAAGTTAACTTTTTTTCAATTTTTGAAATGAAAAATTTGTGTATAATTTTTCATACACAAATTTTATACATATAATTGAATACTTGTATAATTAAGACTAACTGATAAAAAATAATTAAGTTGGTAATTAACTTTGAAGTACATAATTACAAATGGGATTGTTTTAAATGTGTCCCATTGTTTAGTATTGTAAACCCTCGTAAAAGAAAATATTTAATAAATAATAATTAAAAAAAGCATTGAGTTGCCGGATCAACAACTGACAAGGCACCCCTCATTATTCTTACTTATGATTCATATTCTTGCAATTTTATTTTACCAATTGATTCATTAATATATGTATTATGAAAATTACATTAATTATTCTCCCCAGATTATAAAAATAATTTTCAATAATTCAGTTTCAATTATTTCTATTGTGAAATATAGTTTAAATAATATTTTTAACATGTTTTTATATTATATTTTTAATCATATCACGTTCAACCCATAAAATTGGTGTTTTCTCACTTTATCTTACAAATAAGATAACATTTAGATAAGTCATATCAACAACCTGGTAACTTTGAGTTGATTCATGTGTTGAAAAATGTGCCTTGGTAGTTGCAGATGCTACATTATTTGTGCTGTCGTAATGGCCGCGAATTTAGCCATTTGTGGATACTTTGTTTATTCTATTTTAATAAACCAGAAGAGTGCAAACAAAACTGAACATGGTTGACTTTCTAGTGACATACATCCATCGAGGCCAAAAGAAAATTGATTTCGTGTATGATCATTTATATGTAATTAATCTTTGAAAAAGCTAATTTAAAGCAAATAATATTAAGTTATGTTTCACTGGTTAAAAAAGTTTCCCAAATTAGATATTTCAATTATTAATAATCAATCTGCCCTACTTTTGTCGGTTGCCAAATTATTGTGATGATACTATATATACATACATGTTTAAAACACATAAGACCTTGAACTATACACTTTTTCTAACAAATTAAACGTTATTATTAAATTCAGGCTAATTATTTATTATTGTTTAATTTTGAAACAAAAGATGAAAGTACATACATAATGGATTTTGATATCATCATTCCAATAAAATTGATCTCTGTAAATGCATGGCAAATAATATTTGTTTTCAGTATTAAGTTTGTTGGTTAGCATTTTTTTATCCATTCTGATTGTCGTTTTTTGATGCACTTACCCCACCAACATGTGTGCACATCATCAGTAAGAACTATTATGAAAGTGTTACCCTCCCTTTCCACCATTGAAATAACTTGGCTTTGCTTTACAAACAATACCATAAGCAAAATAATAAACGTGATAAGATTTTAATCCAGACCCTTATAGAGCATTGTAATCAACTTGTATTTTTTTGAAAACTTTATTATCACTTTAACTATATTAACACATTTAGATAACAGAACATACACTTCTTCCCTCAATACATTTGCCAGAAATAGCTTTAATATTGCCATCTCTTAGAGTCATTCTCTATAGGTAGGACCAAACGTTTGATTATACAGTGTAGCTAAAGAAATAGAAACAAATAAACAAACCTATAATAAAAATACAATTGTGTCTACAAAAAGGGTAGATACAAAGCGGGATTAAACAGTCACAGCTAAAATTCCTTTTGAGAGGATGGCATAGTTAAATTGTTTGAAACCAAGACATATAATTATCAATAAAACAGATAATGTATCTATCTTGTTTATATTCTACAAATAGCTATGCTAATTTAAAAAAATCAACATAATTTTTCTACTTTCTTAATATGTTGAAAATAATGCCATGAACTTATGTTTATTTATATAAAATCATTGAAAAAAATGGACCATAACATGTTAAATATTGGCGTTTTGCTAAATGGTATTTTTCCTTTAAGTTTACCGTATAACATAAGGAACAAAACCACAGATTGCATGAAAGGGAGATGTAACATTTTAGACCATTTTAAACAAAGATTTTTGTTTGTTGCAGGTTGTAAATATAAGAAGGCTGAATAAACCAGGAAAAATAAAAAACCAAGAATACTGAATAAAATATTTATGTGTTCGATTGAACATTAAAATCTGTTTCAAAGCTGTAGTTGTCACTATTTGAAATGTTGAAGTTTTCCAATACACCTGCTAGTGATGTAGCTTCCCTTTCTAAAAAATATTGAATAAATAGATTAATATATTGTCTTTTTACTTTATTGTAGTAGATTTTTTTTTACCTCTCCTTCCTTTTTCTTTTCTCATTTTTTTTGCCTGTATCTTTTGAAGTTTCTTGTTGTCAAGAGGGACGAGCCTTTCCTTGGATTTATCTTTAAGATCGGTTTCATTTTTTCTTTTAACGCCCCTCTTTTCACCAATGGCGACATCGATCCCAAGCTGATAAAATATTTTTATTAGGAGAAATTACATGTTTTTAAAATTATACTTGCATACCAGTCCTTGGTTGTCTTCCTCCATGGCAACAGTCATTTGTGTTGGGGTCGTCTGAAAAGCCTGCCCTTTCCTGGATTCTTCTAACTCGTTAAGCAAATCTATTTCCATTTTTTGACAGCTGTTTAGATCAAATTCTTTACCCATTTCGCTGACTATTGTGCTGCTAATATGGTTTTCTTCAACTTCAGGAGGTACAGTGTAATACCTGATCTTTCCTCTGTAATAAGTTCAAACATTCAATAAAAAGCTGCAAGCAATTAGGGTGAAAGTATAAAGATCTAAATTACGTATTGTAAATATTATTTTTGATTAACAATAATATAATTAAACTTGGAGTAAATATATTATGGCTAGTGCTACTGTAGTACTTAAGGCAGCCTAAAGATTCTATTTTCTCTAGTTTGTTATGTTCAGTGGTCAGTGTTTTGTCAATGTGTTCTGAGTGCTGGCCATTTTGGAAAATCATTTAGACAATGGATGCCAGGCCTCATTGAAACAAAAACAAGTTCATACTTTTTTTTAATAATGCATGACCATGTTCAATCTTACAGTTAATATATTACCACTTTTTCATTAGTTTTACAATGTTTTATATATGTACAATTTATGTAAAAACTTTTAAAAATGCATATCAACTATTAATAATTTGATTTTCCTCTGTTAATTCAGACATACTGAAAATTCAAATTATTTTTGTGGTCCTTTGAGTTTCAAATTATCTTGACTGCATTATTTTAAAAATTAGTGGCATGTTGGGGAAATAGCTCCATTCTATAGTCAGAATCATGGAACGATAAATGATTGGGGGGAGCAAAGATGGGAATAGCAAGTAGGTATCAAGCATAACATTGACAGTAGTTCACAACGGTTTTGTTTTCTCATGCCAATATAGGTCATTTAGGAGTCCCATTCTAGCGCACCACAAGGATAGATCAGTGGGTACTACAATATGGGATCACAACAAAGGCTTAAAATGAACTTTGGACCACTTTGACAATAGTACACTACGATGTGTCAATGCCCCAGTGGTTCTCATTCTGAAGAATGAAAAACTGCAGCTATTTCTTACATTGTAGGTTTGTTAAATCTACACACAACCATTAGTACACTACCAAGAAAATGCAAGTTCAAGTTAAAACTTTCATCTTGCATTGCTTTAGCTGCAGTCCTATATGCTTCAGCATAAGAGTTTTGAGACAAAATGCCATCAAGGGCTATCAAAACCGCATGGTCTATTTTTTTTTTTTTTTTTTTTTTTTCTGGGTGACTGTTAAAATTACTAATTACACTTAATTTTTTAAACTGTTACTGATTAAACTGAGATGTGAAAAAATGTTTTCTGTTTTGACCTTAAAAATAAATAGGTAAATAAAATTTATTTAAACGTTTCTTGAAAATATGCAGATATTTAATTATGATTTCTCCCCTTTGTACTTCCTCTATCTTGGATATAGTGTACATCGTTTTACACGGAATATACTGTAGTTAATTTTTGATAGAGGTTAACACATTTGTTAATGGCATACCTATTCCAATCATCGATCAATCCCCTAGCAGCCGCTTCTGGATCAGGAATTCCTCCTTTCTTAAACTTGCCCTGTCTTTTTGCCTTGAGCACAAAAAATTCTTGGGGTGTTTCATAATTGCCTATGTCATAATGCGCCATCATCTACAAATCAATTTAGTGAGAAAAACATCGACACACAACTTGTTTATAAAGCATACCTGATCTTTAGTAGCTCGTTGAAGGATTGCTAAAGCAGGGATGTACGGGTCTACTAAAGCCTCGACCTTTACAGCATTTTTCAAAGCTACGACGGCATCCGTCTCTGTACCTGTGCTAGCAGCAAATACTAAGCCAGGGCTGTCGAGTAACTTTATTTTCGAATCCAGCTGCACTTCTTGCATTGTCCTAAAAACAGCAGTTCGCTAAACATGACCAAAATATAATTTTACCCAATACTTACTTAGTCACTCCAGGCACTGCACCAACATTGCAAGCTCGGGACCTTTTCAGACTGTTTATAATGCTGCTCTTTCCAACATTCGGCAAACCTACAATAAATACTTACAAATCATCGCACAAATTAAAATAACCATATGTAACATACCGACAACACCGACTGTAATTGATGTTTTGATACCCTTATTTCGACAGTAATTAGCCAGTAGAGACATTAGCAGTTCTGCACCGACACACGATGATACTTTGAGACACTTCACAGCCTTACGGTGCTTTGCCTTGGCGAACATCATCCTCCCGAGGTTGCTGTTCTGGGTCTGTGTACTCGCTTTGAAAGGGATCGTAGGGAAAGATCCCCTCAAGTATTTAAGCCATTGATCCAAAACGTTTCTGGGAACAAGATCTGAAGAGATATTTGAATTCAAAACCATATTAAAAGAAGGCTATATCAAATTTACCTGCTTTGTTTAGAACAATGACAAGCCTCTTGCGACCTCTCGATTCCACAATGGCTTCCTCCACTTGCTTACACCTTGTACCCAAAGGATCCCGTGCATCGACCACCTCCAAAACTACATCAGCAGCTTCAACAACCTTGAAATTTGTTCAAACAGTAAAGAAGAACATTCTTAAAATAACTGAGATCATATTACCTTTTTAAATTCCCTATAGTATGCTTTGAGGGATCCTTCTTTTTTTGTGAAGACAGGCTGTTCATCTTGGAGTAGAGGTTTGAAACTCTCGTGAATCTGCTGTTTCATCTGCGCATTATTGACCACACCTTCAAGGCCTCCCTTGGCCTCCAACTCCTTCAGTTTCTGCCTCTCCTCTCGCCAGATTGCCCTCTGCTTCAGCCTCTCCTCCTCCTTCCGCTTCTTAAGTTCCTCCACCTCTTGCAATATCTCATCCTTGAAAGGGCAAGCCTGTGGAACGTTTATCGTCTTCGGCTTACCACTCTCTGCAAACGATTAAATGAATCATCTCTAAAATAGAAAATATATAATAGAATCTCCATTACTGTGTATCTTCTTCGCCTCCTTCCTCTTCTTTCTGTTGTGATCTCTCACTTTTTTCTCTATCTTATAACGCAACCTCGCAGACACTCTCTTGCTATTCTTTTCTGAAATGTTCGTTGTCAATGTTATTTTCACAAATAAAAAACATTTAAATTTAATAACTAGACTTACTTAAGCAAAATTTGGCCATTTTCTAATGATTATTGTGATAATGCAACACGTTTTATAACAAAACTACCCTTTAGCTGTTCAATTTAAGACAGCCGATCAACGTGCACGAAGTGACACAAAAGGAGGTTTTAATGACGGTTGTTGGTTGCTGACTCTAGCCATGCTAGACGGGAAGCGCATCGATTCTAGAAATATCGATACATTTATGTTTATTTACCTTATACCGTCTAACATAAACGTATGTATTGGGGGAATGGTGTAGCTTAAACATTAATCTATTCTGATTCAGGTTTTTGGAAAATAAGGAACCCAGTTTATTAATTAGCACACCGGTCGAAGGGTGGAGACGGTTGTAAGGGCCGTTGTAAGCTTAAGCTGTGAAACCTTCGCACTGTTATTATATGTAGTCCGCTTTCGGCTTTGGTTTTTCGTTCGTCCGTTTTTGTTTTGGTGAACCGGAATAATGGCAAACAGAACTGTAAAGGACGCGAAATCGGTGAGGGGGACCAACCCGCAGTTTCTGATAGAGAAAATCATCAGATCAAGGATCTACGAATGCAAGTTCTGGAAGGAAGAGTGCTTTGCTCTTTCCGCTGAGCTGATCGTCGACAAAGCGATGGAGCTGAGATTCGTCGGCGGCGTCTACGGAGGTAACATAAAGCCTACGCCCTTCCTTTGCCTTACGTTGAAAATGCTGCAGATCCAGCCAGAGAAAGACATAATAGTCGAGTTTATAAAGAACGAAGAGTTCAAGTACGTCCGGGCGTTGGGTGCCTTTTACATGCGGTTGGTCGGTACGTCTATCGAATGCTACAAGTACCTAGAGCCGCTGTTGAACGACGGACGCAAATTGAGGATGCAGGTGCGCGATGGGTCGTTCCAATTGATTCACATGGACGATTACATAGACAATCTGCTTCACGACGAACGGCAGTTTGATGTCATCCTCCCTCGGATCCAGAAGCGACACGTGCTGGAAGAGGCGAACGAGCTGGAGGTCAGGGTTTCGGCTTTGGAAGACGATGCGGAGGACAACATGGAGTCGTCCGACGACGATGAAGCCCCTGTGGAAAAGCAACCGCCCAGGCGTGAAGAGAGGAAACGGTCGCCCCTCCGATCAAAAGATAACGAAAGAAGCAAGGACCGCGAAAGGAAAAGAGAAAGAGAAAGGGAAAGAGATAGGGAAAGAGCGGATCGTGAGAAGCCGAGGGAACGCAGAGAGGAAAGAAGGGAAGAGAAACATCGGGACAGGAGTCGGAGCAGGGAACGCAGACACCGGTCACGTACTCCCGAAAGGAGGACTAATCGCGAAGGAAGAGAACGGAAAGATGACAGGAGCAAGCGGAGGGAACACGACAGGGACAGGCATGACAGAGAAAGCAGAGATGAGCGTAGAAGAGATCGTGATCGTGAAAGAGCAAAATAGTAATAAGCAATTGTATATTTATCGTCTGTATATTATTAATTATGTACATATATAATAATTTTATATAATAAAGATTTTTTGACTATTTTTATAATAATACTTTTCTATGATTGACATTAGGACAGGTGGTTTACACTAGACATTAGGAATAATAGTTTGTTAAACTAGAAAAAATATATTTTATCACATTGGTAAATGTTAGGATAAAGAGATTATGAAATGGGCTCCAATGCATCGTTTTGCAGATATAAGTAAAATAGTAGATATCAAATTAAAAATATTCAGTAATTTTCTAACCAAAGACGAATAAAATGAATTTTGAATGTTTTGAGTTTCATGAAGTGCAGCTAAAGCAATATAATTTAATTCTCAGAAGAATAACTGTGAAAACAGATGACTCGATTGTTGTGGTGGCTCAGAATTTTATCAAAGGAGTTTTTGAAATTTCTGAGCTTGGTCTTGGGTAAGGATGATACTGTGAACAAACCCCTTTTAGTAACTATATATAACCCCAGCATAAGAGGAAACTATTTAAATGATCTGTTGTGCAGGGGACTGTTTAAAATATATATTTCTCATGGCTTCCCTCGCTCGGCCAGAGAGCAAATATTTAAACACCTTTGAGTTAGATCTGAAAATACGTGACTTTGCACCCTGAGAAATAGATATTTTAGAACCAAAGATATACTTGGGATGAGCCTTCAGGCCTTTGTTTTCATTGACAACCTGTCTGCTACATCAATGGGGTTGATCTTTCTTCATTATACAAGGACTCCTATATTAGGTGGCTTTGTGCTTTATTAATTGCCTTTCATCGCTTATATCATCGATTTAGGATAAGAATGTCTATCAGTGCCTTTAAACTTTTTATCTTATATCGCAGGACTTACAATTAGTAATAAAAAGTTTTTTAATATTTTATTGCAATACATTTTGGGCTATGTCTTTGGTCGTTTGTATCAATAACACATATTTGCATATTTTACTTTAGTTATTTATTTTTTAATTTGCAGACTAATTTTAAATAGGTGTAGGGCACTAATTCATTTTCTCTCTCTTTCCTCTCTACAAATGTGTACAATGATGTTTTTGATGTACATAATTTTTTCATAAAAGTTTTTATATATTTAATTGTGTTTTATAATTAATTAAGGTTTTTCACCTCAACTAAAAACCTTAATTAATTGTAATGATTTAATTGGTCAAGCGGGCCACGAAATTAGTGAATATTGTGTTTTATGTTTCATCACAATCTGTCTAAAATTTAAAAAAAAGTCCAAATTTTAGTATAGTTCTGTAGTGTCGGAGGAAAAAATTGACTTTCCAATTCTTTAGACTAAATAAAGTTAAAAAAAACCCTTACAAAAAATTTTGTTTTTATATTTTACTTTGAAGGCTGCCCACTGTGGTTGTGACTTGGCACCTTTCAAAGATTCAATATTTTTTATAATATATACATACAATTTTATACTACCCTTTGTTTATCAATTGTAGCACTATTATATTGTTTCAATTTATATACCAAATTTAACTAGGTGTACATATGTGTAAATATATACTAATATGATTAGATAAAGTAAAATTATTTGTACTGCTGCAACAATATAAATAGGACGGTATATCTTCACCTTATTAAATTCAGCCTACATATTACAAAAATAGTACAATGGAAACATTATTTAAAAATCATTATCATTATTGTTATTAAGAAAGCATGGTGAAACTTCTTGCCCTCCAGAGTGGCCAGCCGTTGCCAAACCTGTTACTGCAAATGTCTACAAAAATTTGTTTTATTTATTCATATATTGTGTTAAAGAATATATATGTTAGCTTTTTGCTTTTGTTTATTTCCATTACTACTTACCGCTCCAGCTAAAGGTTGTTTTTTTCTCAACTCTGGGTCAAGCTCTATGTACATTGTGGTGACATAAAGGGTCGAAAGGTCTCTCCCACCCCAGGCGACAGATGTGACTAGGTCGGTTGGCAATTCGACATGGGACATTAGAATTCCGGCAGAGGATATTTGTATCACCTCAATTAAAAATAAGTCAGTTTCTTTTAACAAAACATCTTTGTTGACTTACCTGGCTTCCATTCCAACATGCGACCCACAAATTTCCATCCCTGTCAATTGTCATTCCATCAGGAACACCTCTTACATTATTCTCTTCAAAGGCAAAGAATTTCCGTCTCCCACCTTAAAAGAAATTTCAATTAATTAAGGATTTTAGTTGAGATAAAAACCACAAAAATTAGTGGACTTAAAAGAAATGTTAGATCAAAGGATGGAACTAAATTGAAACACAAACTTACTGGCTGCCCCTGTTTTTATGTTGTAATCAAAAACATCAATTCTTCTTGTTGGAGAGTCGATATAGTACATGAGTTTCTCATCTAAACTCCAAGTAATTCCATTAGAAATTGAAATATCATTAAATTGTTTCGATAGTTTACAGTCAGATGAAACTCGGTAGAGAGACCCTTCTCCTGGAGCAGGTTGCTTTACAGACATTGTTCCTAGAATAATTTTATGAAATAAAAAAAAACATATTTCTTGACTACAAAATATTTACCTATCCAAAGCCTCCCTTCTGTGTCTGCTTTCCCATCATTGAATCTATTGTTGGGTTTGTCATTTTCCACAGAAAATCTTTTGACCAGAGAGTATTTTCCAGTTTTCCAGTCCCAGGTCAGAACCGAAATGTCTCTGCCATATCCCAAGGCAAATTTAGACCTTTCCCCTTTTATCGGAATGACCACATTGACTGAGTCATCTAAAAGTAAAATAAAAATTAACAATGATCACTAATTTGGATGTGCCAGAAGCCCCAATGGTTAAGTATTGACATAGTGACATCCTTGCATCCTTGGAAGGACCCCCAATTCCAAATGGGCTCTTTTTACCAGAACCCCAAGGCATGATATGATCCCAACCGTTGCCCCATAAAACAAAAACAAATCACTATGATTTTTTACTTATTTACTTAGTTGAAGAAATGTATGGGTGCTGCTTTCCGCATGGTAGCGATGTACAGCCTTTCCGGCGATGTCAACAAAATAGAGTGCCTGTTCTTCACAATCCCAGTGAGGGCCTTCGCCATGGGCATTCGGTTCCACCACCGCCTGGTATACTACCATTTTACTCGACATTTGACTTTCTCCAAATCTAAAAATTATAGAATAAATTCTCAACATCTCATGTTACAATTATAAGAAGAAAATTTCAAAATTTTTAATTAATATACATCTCACAATAAAAAATAAAACATCATGTTCTCTTTGCTACCTATAAAGATTCAAGATAATAAACTAACTCTGAAAAATTGACAAGTTTAAATTTGTTTACCAATCATAAAAAGACAGCAGATTTAAAAATAAAGTAACTAAAATAAATTTTAAAAAAAGTGTTAAAGTGAACTAAGGTAATCAATTTAGCTAGTTTAATAAATAAAAATTAAAAACAATGCAATTAATAGGACATAAGGCAAAACAAGGAATGATTTTCGTAAAAACGTCGACTGGCGCGTCAGAAGAGCTTGACAGGCGACGACTTACCCGTTCGTCGAGTAGCAGATGCACAGAAGTAGTAACGGGAAGAGCATGACGTCGAATTGCAGAAGGCGTCAGCGGTCGGGCGAGAGTCAAGACCCTGCAAAGTGCAAGGTATGTCGAAATAGTCGAGGGACGAAGTCGACCGGGCGTAACGGGGCGAATGTCGAGTGTCCCCTCCCGGAAACGGCCGAAGACGAAGGACGGCAGATTTCTTAACATTCGTTCTGTAAATTTGCCCCGGTTTTCTATTACGCATTTTAAATGACTGAATGAGAAAGCACTTCCAGACTGGAACTCTTGCGAGTTCTCTTCACATATTATTCTTCTCTAAATTTTTCCTCTCCTTTTTTGTTAAAAACAACAGTTAAACAGTTTTATCCACGCTATGAAGTAAACCGGTTAATCCCCGGAAATAATCTTTACAACATCCTACAAAGTCTCAACAGACTATAAAGGAGAGGAAGAACTCAGGAGAGCTTAAGATACAGTGATATGGTATAAAGATGGCCTCAAAACAAATGAACAGGTTCGTGTTTTTTTTCCCCCGAACGCATTAGAGAAGTACACTTCGGTCTTTCAAGCAGAAATACATGCCATAAACGCTTGTGCCCTAGAAAATCTTAAAAGAGATTACATTGGAAAAAAAATACTCGTAAAATCTGATAACCAAGCAGCATTAGCATGTAAAAAAATCACATCAAAATTAATCATTGAATGCATTCAAATCTCTAAAACCTGGGGAAACACAACCTGATGATATCTGGGAGCCAGGGAACAAAATAATTTGGGGACCATATATAGGCCCCGAACCTACAGTTGGGAATCCCTAACTATTTTACATTATTATATCATAACTTCAATTATAATTTATTAAATTTTATAAATGTACTTTTCTATTTTTCTATTCGTTGAATATTTTCTATTATATTTTTCATTTAAATTTTAGTTTACTTTTCTACACTTTGTACATTTAATAAAAGGGTGTGGCTGTGTTAAATAATTGACTAAATAACACTCTCACTAATGATTATTTTGATTATTCCTAGGACTAGACTAACGGTTACTAAACATCACACACAACTTTTTTTCTTTCCAAAAGGTAGATTGGGGATGAGGCCAGGAAAACAGAAACAACATTTATTTTCTTGTCGAGCTTTCGGCAGAATATATCGCCTTCATCAGGACTTCGAAAATAATCGTTATATTATATGAACAGGTACATGTGTGAATAACGGATAGCCGGATGATATTCTGCCGAAAGCTCGACAAGAAAATAAATGTTATTTCTGTCTTCCTGGCCTCATCACCATCTACCTTTTGGAAAGAAAAAAGTATTTTTAAACTGAGAAGGCTGATCAATCACCAAAGAAAATATTAATCACACACAACTCTCTAATTATGATATTTCATAACTTCTCCATTTTGGAATGGAATCCACAAATGGGATAAAACGGTCTTACATATTTATATTTTGTATCTTTATTATTGCTTAAAGCTAAAAAAAATTACAATTCTTTTTTTTTTCTTTAATCAAAAATGAATATTCTTTATGGACTCAACTTATTTTATGTGACTATTACCCATCTACTTAGGTTAAAATATATTTTAACGCTAGGTTTCGTGGTCCGCTTGACCAAATAAATTCTTTTCAATTAATTACGGTTTTGGTTGAGACACAAAAGTGTGTCACAAGCGGGATTCGAACCCACGACCTTCGGCTAAATACGACGCTGCTCTACCAATTGAACTATCGTTACTTCGACCAACTCGGACATGGAAAAATGGCAAAAAGAAGGGAAAATTCAAAAGGTGGGGTTGAGATGGGAAGTTAGTGTCCGAGTGGATCCAAGTCACGATAGCAGATTAGCAGTTTATTTAGCAGAGTAGCCGAATAAAAGAGCATAATGTTACTTTTTGTGCTAATGGAATTAATCAGTACAAAAATAAGCAAAGTTAGTATTTACTGTTGACTGTGACTACGCTAGCTCGTAATTACCTGTAATTAATGTAAACAAATTGTTGGGGTCATTCTGGTATTATTTAATTTTTGTCTATTTTTAAACGGTTATTTTTCATTTAACAATTTGCTAAAAACTAGAGTGGATTTATAATCTATGTATAATAATATTAAGGTAGTTTTAAGTAGTGTATAAGCAGGTGAGAAGGTGCGATCGGCCGTAGGCTTAGTTGCGTACAGAGTTTTTGATAAATCGGCGCGGAGAGTGGGGAGACAAGTGCGAATCAGTGCGACGTGTTGAAAACGAGCGTGCGGGCCTGCGGAAGCGTTCCGGTCCTTTTGCCAATTTTCGGCGTCTACTCTCCATCGCATCTTCGAGGCTGGGAGTTCTCATTGTACGTCTGTGCCAACTCACTTTACGAGTTACTTCGCGTACCCATTTATTATCTGCGGAACTGAGAGTCAAGTATCTACAAACTTCGTGGATCATCTCTTCATTCCAACATCTAGCTCCATCTTTTCCATTTCCATCCAGCCTGCAACGTCTTGGACACTAACACTCGGTCAGATCATTCCTTTTTATTGTATATCTATTAGTTATATTAATATCTTCTTTTAGTTTTACATTATTAATTCTATTACCATAATTGACCTGTGTTATTGCATGCAATTCTAATTCTTCTCATGTGAATTTATAGTATCTGTTCTTATATGTTTATATATTTTTAATTACAACTTGTATTAACATTATAACTCATTATATAAACTCAATCCTGCTCTCGTTATTAGCAAATTGTTGAATCAATATTATATTAATATTAATATAATTAGCAAATTATATTAGTACGTCTAGGAATTGGTTTGTTTGAAGACATCATACACCTACCATCAGTGTGAGGGGGTCATTCGTGGAAAACCGGTAAAAATACATTAGAGTTGGGGATATCCTAAATCTTGTGGAGCCCTGATTCAAACATTGGTCCTCCGGGCCGGATTTTCCTTGTCTGACCTCTTCTCCTGTCTTGGTTTTTTATCGTCTTTATCGTCCAACTAAATATTTTCTTTTCCTAAATTAATTTCCAGTAAATTTCTTCATCAAAATGACTGATTTAACGCTCGATCAACAATCCCGCGTGTTGCAGAACAAACTTGGAACAATTTATCGGGAGATAAAATTGATTCGAGAGAGTGCCAAACTGCCGAAACGGACATGTCCCAATTTCCCACATTTCGAGGAAGATACTGTCTTTTAGATAAATATTTTAATGACTATTCCAATGCCTGGGATCGGCTACATGAAATATATATCCTTATGGATAAGGATTTTCCTCTATCAGAAGACCTTTTAAATATTGTCACAAGTCACGTGAGCGAGTGTAACACGGTATTTCATAACGTCATGAATCCTATTCCGAATCCACCTGCTGTACCCGGAGCAAACTCTACCTTCTCAGACTCTCAGAACTTGTCTTCGGCTACAATGGCACGATGTCGATTGCCAAAAATAAACCTTCCGTTATTTCAAGGCGAAGTGTTGGAATGGCCTGCGTTTAGGGACATATTTAAATCCATTGTACATGACGAAGGCACATTGGATGAGGTGGAAAAATTCCATCATTTAGTTGGATCTTTAAGCGGAGAGCCCCTCAGAATCGTTTCAACCTTCCCAATATCAGCAAATAATTACCTGGCTGCCTGGACAGCCCTTAACAAACGATATAACAATAAACGATTTTTGGCTTCCGCCTACTTTCACAAAATTGGAAAATTCCAACCTTCACTAAATCCAGAACCTTCCAACCCTTACTACTTACGAGCCTTTTTAACAAATGTTGCTGATAGTTTCACCGCCTTTAATAATTTAAAAATAAACAATGAGGCTGACTATTTGAAACTTCAGATTGCTTTGGACTGTCTGCACCCCGAAAACAGACGGATGTTTGAAGAAACGCAACAAGGAGAGGAATTCCCAACTTACTCTTCATTAATAAATTTCATTGAACAACGGTGTCAAGCGATGGACTTATCAGAAACAGTATATCATATACCAACAGGACCTCGATCCACATCCCGCTCCTCTAAGGTTCTTGCAATTTATCCTGAAGCACATAGCAACTCAGCAACCACTGCATATTCAAAAGAGAATACCTGCCCTAAATGTAATAAGAATCACATGCTCTCTCATTGTTCATCTTTCCAAAAATTGAGTCTCCCTCAAAAATTTAATTTTATACGGTCGAAAGGAATTTGTTCCAATTGCTTGCGGCTTGGCCATTACTATTTACACTGCCGCTCATCATACAGCTGCTTCCACTGTAAAGAACGGTACACACCACTCTCTCCTTCATAACGGTATAGATAACCAATTGGACAATTCAAATCAGGAAAGTAGTTCTGATCAAAAGATTTGCTCTTCAGCCATTTCGGATCAATCACCTGTCATAAATTACACATCGACCGGAGTTGTAGGCTCCGTTCATGAAAACAAAAATGTTCTACTCGGCACGGCGGTAGTCCATATTAATGACTGGAAAAATCATCCCCAGCCAGTTAGGATAGTCATAGATTCAGGGTCTCAATTTTCAATAATAATGACTGGTTGTGTCAAAAGATTAGGTCTTACGTGGTCGCCCTTCAGGAAGACCATGAGTGGAATAGGACTAACCCGTCTACCTTCCTCTAAAGGCATTGTTAAAGTCACACTTAGCCCTACTACAAATATGCAAAAGAAGATCATTACTGAAGCGATTGTTATGCCGTCATTAATTGATAGCTTGCCCACAGCTAGCTTAAATCCATCTATATGCGAACAATTTCATTTTGTTAATTTGGCCGACGAAGAATTCTGGAAATCACGTCCCGTAGACTTTCTTCTAGGGTCGGATCTCTTGCTTCAAACAATGACTACGGATGCAATGGTAAAAATTACAGAGGATTTTGGATCCCTACCCACTATATTTGGACATGTAGTCGTGGGAGTTCCACCACAACAACTTTCGACCATACCATAAATTGCTTGTCTATATTACAATGTCCTCCTTCTGACACTATCATAAAACCTTTCTGGGAGATGGAGGAAGTAACGGTTACAACAGATTCCCATCCAGATGATATAAAATGCGAAGATTATTTTAGATCCACGGTTCAACAATTACCCTTTGGCCGGTATACGGTTGCTCTACCCTTTCGAGATCCCAGCTTGACATATCCAGACGCACGGTTATTTGCCATCACCTGCTTTCATAATTTGGAACAGAAATTTCATAACAATTCCGAGTTGCATGGCGAATATAAAGAATTTATTGCAGAATACATAAGCTTGGTCCATGCGGAACGTACAACTAATCCCTTCACATATGTCATACCTCATAACGCAGTTTTTAAAAAGGTATTTGGAACTGAAGGTCAAGGCAAAATACGTGTTCTATTCGACGCATCTATGTCTTCAAAAACTGGCTCCTTAAATAATGATTTGTTGGTGGGACCGAAACTTCAAAAATACATATCAAAAATAATCCTGAATTTTCGACGGCATAAAATAGGTTTCTTAACTGCAACAGAATTGGATTTAGCAGTTGCACATCTAATTCGACGCATGCAGTATGAATCAAATTGTGATTTCGATTTGAACACATGCATTTATTCAAGGTTCAGAAGTTTGATGGTATTTAAAGATCCATATGGTGTGCTCAGGGTGGGCGGTCGTTTATCCAAAGCAGCATTTTGTTACACGGTTAAACATCCAGCGTTACTTCACCCTGATGCTAAGCTTACATTAATGATAGTCGATAATGCCTACTTACAAAATTTCCATTTGGGTCCTAAGGCATTACAAGCTTATCTTAAGGGTATGTACCACATATTTCGAATAAAAAGGCTGGTAAAGAAAAAAGATTGGAACTGTCTTCGCCGATTCAAATTAAAGAGCAAGTCAAATAGGCCTTTTATTGGTGACCTACCTATATCACGAGTATCACAAGGAAGGGCCTTTCTCTCAGTAGGGTTGGATTTTGCGGGCCCATTTACTATTAAAANATCATATACCTACCATCAGTGTGAGGGGGTCATTCGTGGAAAACCGGTAAAAATACATTAGAGTTGGGGATATCCTAAATCTTGTGGAGCCCTGATTCAAACACAAATAATAGATTTGATTTTAAATTAAATAAATTGAGTGGTGCATTAAATTTCTCCATCGGTGAAGATCATTGTTTTTTCTTAATATATAACTAATAAATTGATTGATCATTGATAAATTACGTTGATAAATAAATATATTGTGGGTATTTAATTAATTATTGTAATATCCATTAAATGTAACTAGTACTTAATCAAACGTAGTCCAATTTGTCAGTATTGAAATTGGAACAACGATGACGTTTTGAACGACTCTTTTAGTCTTTGGTGTCCTGACGGGGAGGTTTCACACCAGGTCCGGAACAGGATTATTTCCAAAATTCCAATTCTTATTTGTCTTTTTCTTTTTTCATATTCTCGTTCTCGCCCGTTTGGGGTTCCACTTGATCCTGGCCTTTTCAACTAACGATGACTTCTGAAAAGTTGAAAGGTTGGCGCTACGCGGCTTTCGTCTCCGGGATTGTGGGCGCCATCGGCATAGCCCTCTACCCGATAGTCGTATCTCCGATGCTTTACCCGGAGGAGTACAAGCGGATTCAGTCCGTCGGCAGGAAGGATATCCGCCAGGAGGACATCCAACCTGGCAATATGAAAGTTTGGTCCGACCCGTTCGGCAGAGGATAAGTAACGCTCAGAATAAACGGCTAACAAATTACCTTAGTCATAAATATAAATCATTGTTAATAAATTTTTGCTGTACATAATACATAATAAAGATTAAAAGTACAGAATTTTGTTTCTATTTAGCCATAGTCGTAAGTGTCAGTCTGATATTTGTGATAGAATCGAGTTCAGTTAGATTTTATTCCATTATATCACACATATGTTTTGGAACATTTTTATTGTCGAAAATGTCGACTAATCTTTACTTAAAAAACACGTTTTGTCAAATTGTATAAAAATTCATTTATGTTTTAATGGTCTAATTAACTGTATTATTTATTTCAATTAAATATTCTTTTTATGTAAGGTCTTGGTTGAGACGAAAAAGCTAGTGTCGAGGGGGAGTCGATTCACTTCGATCCACTCGGACATCAACTCCCCATCTCAACATACAATCTTTCGCATTTTACTATCATTACTAATTTTTAATGGCATGATGAGGAGTTGGTGTGCGAGTGAATCGAAGCCACGATAGCTCAAGTGGTTAGAGCAGCGGCGTATTTTGCCGAAGGCCGTGAGTTCAAATCCCGCTCGTGACACTAACTTTTTCATCTCAATCAAGACCTTCATAAAAAGAATAAAATCGTTTTCGAGATACAATACCAAGATCCTCAATCCCATTTCTACAAAAAGTAGCATTATGCCCTTCCTAGCTACGCCTAAATATCGCTTTCAGTTCATCTTTTTCCTTCATTGATTCTTATTCTTAAACCTTTTTCAATGGATCCAGTCAGGCATTTGAATGAGTATGACAGTATCAGGGTCATAACATTATTAGAGACAAAATACAGCCAGCGCTAAGTCGCCAGGAGGCTGAAGATATATAACTCTACGATAAGGGTTCTTCCGCGAGAAAAAGGGCGTCATACTAAGTCGACTCTACAGGGTCGACCTAGGTTTACGAACCGATGGATCCGTCATCTGGCTTTACGAACCACAGAATTACGAGAAATGAAATAAGAAATCTGATGACAAGTCGGAAATATTTGATTTTCTCCACGACTAAGAAGGCTTAATGATAACAGAGTCAGAGCCTGGCACCCGGCTCGTGTGGACCTCTACTTACCACAGCTCAAAAAATGTCGAAGCTTCAATTTGCTCGGAAACATATGAATTGGACATAGGAAGATTGGGAACGAGTTCTCTTTACAGATGAGATGAAAGTTGGCCTCAAATCTTCAGATGGGTGTAATTACCTACGGAGACACTCAGGAGAAAGGTACCCCCATGCTGTATGGTTCCTCAGGTGGCATTACATGGTAGATCATCGATGTTGTGGGGTGACATTTCCTTGGAAGCCTGCATCTAATTGGTTTTTGTACGAGGAAGATATTAACTTCACCATCCCCAACTTCACACAGGTACTTACAAAATACAAGGCATAATCGAAGAACATGGCGTAGTTCCATTTGCCCCCACATCGGTGAGATTCTTGCTAAAGCAGGACAATGCCAGGCCCCATAGAGCACGTATTATGGATGAATACCTGATTGAGGTTGGAATTGAGTGCTTGGTGTGGCCAGCTCGATGTCCAGATTTGAACCCAATCGTCATTTAGGACCAATTTAAGCTAGGAGTGAGACGGCGAAACCGAATTCGTAACACCCTAAACTAGTTGGAAACGGCTGTTCTTGATGAACGTGAAAGAATTCATCAGGATTTTACCAGAAATATTTTCCAAGGAATGCAATGGCATTTAACGGACGTAATTCGTGCCAGAGGAGAAAAAAAGTTTTTTTTTGCATTTTGATTTGTTTTAGAATTTTCTGTTATTTTATTTATTTTATTCATTACACAATTTTTTTCTACATTTTTCTTTTAAATATATCTTATTTTTACAACCAAACTTTTTTTCTTAAGCAAAACATGAATAAACCTAAAATAAACAGCGACAACAGAACTGACAGTCGACACCTTCCAAAGTACTAACTAGTCAAAATTCTCTCTTCTGAATTTAGCAATCTCGGTATTGACTTTCTCGTAAATATCACATTTCTAGACATGACATGGGCAACACATGAAATGTCGTCAAGGCACGTTGTATTTTTGGATCTATATTTTTCACTTTAAAAAGTTGTCAGTACTCTAGATTTGGATTGGAAACCAGACCGAGGTTGAAATACTAAATAGCAATTAAGGACTTCATCTTATTCTATAGTAAGCAAAGATTTCATTTGAATTTTTATTTTTTATACTTTGAATATTTTATAAGATTTTCAGACTGATAGAATGCGGGTTTCGGACAGAAAGTGCATTTAGATATTTTGCATTTAAAAGTTTTTCTTTGATTTTCATACGGTTTATAAATCAGTTGCCTAGATCGATTCATGTTTGTAACGAATCAATGGTGTTTGGTCGTGACAATACAAAATTATTCAAGGGTTGACACCAGCTGACATTTGTATAAATATTTTGACTCGATTCTACACAGAAGAAAAAATTTCTTAAAAAAAAGGCAAAAAAATCGAAAAATCCCCTGAGTGTTTCATAAAGACGAGGGAAAGACTGTTGTTTTACGTCAGAGCATGTCCGCGAAGGCGTAATGGCAATAAATGGGACGATGGAATGTCCTCCCAGGAGTTGAAATCCCTCCATTCAACTACAGATCACCTGTGATAAATCGGAAAATGCCAACAGGGCCCAGCGTCAGAAACGGTCCGGCCCTCTTATAATTTCTTCCCCTTCTTCCTACGATGCTTCGTCTCGTCTGATATCAGCGACCGACGCCCGCCAGTAACCTCCGCCACCTGGAAATTTCGCTTGTCACGTCGAATCGCAGTCGCCCTCCTTGGCCAGGAAGATGTCCGAGACGCCGAGGGACGCCCGCTCGAGTCGGGGTGCCTCGCCCACCAGGAGCACTCGCCCCAGGAGCATTTCCAGGCCTTCTCAGGCCCAGGACGGAGCCTCTTCCAGGCACGAGTCGAGGCACGAGCCCGTCGACCAGCCACACAACAACGACGACAGGATCTTGATGCTCCCAGTCGAAGGCGAAGGACCCGCAGACCGTCTGTCCACGTGAGTATCCAATACGTCTCTCCTCACTCTGTGATCATTCATCATTTAGGGATTTTATCATCTTTCTTAGCGTTCACAATTCCTCTCAAACGACCATCAATCTGCTGTACTACAGCCGTTGAACTAATATTTTACAATTATACGACACAGTTTTATTTTCTTAGACCGGGTGATGGTGTTTTAGAAAAAAGCCCATTTGTAAGTATGTCTGGTTTGAGTACAGTGCCACTGCATTCGAACCCAGGACCTTTTTCTTATCGAGATGAGCGCTGTATCTACACCTTAATTCTTGCGGCCAACGACACCCTAAAAGGATAATTCTACTCACAGACCTGATTTTGATCATTAAATATCTAATTAAATAGTAATTAGATGCTAAAACCAGTTTATGAATGGAACTATCCTTTCCAACCAGTGCGTTGATATGTTCCTTCTACCTCGATTATTTATGTATGTTGTTTCCCTTTGATTTTTCAATAAATGGTTGAAGTAGTGTAGAGAGATCAGGGAAGATGTATTTCAGAAAAACACTTTTCTTTTTATTGCTGATGTTTCGATCTTTATTTGGGTCATATTCAAGGCATAAATTGTAATATTATTTTTGTGGTGTCATGTTTGTTTAGTGTAGCCATGGTGATGGTGATGATGAATCCAAGAAGCGTGGTTTGTGCTCCCCAGGCACTGCAGCCTCCTCGCTTACTGTACATTCCTACTTCCTAGTACCCTAGTATAGTGCAATCGACTCATTCCTTCCTGTCAGAAGTATTAGGTCATTGACTGTCGCTGTTACAATTTCATTCCCTGGATTTGTTTTGTATCCTAGGTTATATCTCCATTGAGCCGTTGCTTCACGTTCGAATATGATATGGGTGGCTGTTTCTTCCAACTCATTGCAAAATCTATAAATGGGATCATGTTCTGTCTTCTCAGATGCCAGTAACCGGTAAATAATTTTATCACTTTTCTGAGTTTAGCCCTGTTTAACTGTAGCAGAGTTTGCCAGTCTTGGCAAGGGTTGTTTCAGCATAAGTTTATGTAGTTTCTAGTGCTTCTAGATTTTTTCCACTTCTCTTTTGTTGTTTTTGGATCCATTCTGAGATGGACTATTCTGTGTTTGTTTTTGTTACCCCAAGAATAGGTTCAGGGCCCATGTACGGTTTTGCAGATCCTCCTATTGCCAGTGTATCTGCTTTTTTGTTATCCAAAATCCCTTTCTGTCCTGGCACCCACGATATCACCAGGTTTTTGTTTCCCCAATTTTTGGAGATTTTGAATGTATTCAATGTCTATTTTTGGTGTAATTTTTTTATATGCTAATGCTTTCATAGGTCCTTGGCTATCTGATCTTATGTGGATTTTTTTGCCAGTGTAACCTTCTGTAATATTTTCTATAGCACAAGCAATGACTGCATGTATTTCTGCTTGACTGAAATGTACTACCCTAATGAGTTTGATTGCCCATATTTTGTGCTTGCACAAAAAACACCTGATCCGGTTCCTTGTTTGTTTTGGAGCATCTTTATACCATATCATTGTATCTGTTGTTCTCCTCAGTTCTTCCTCTCCTTTGTAGTCTATTGAGACTTTATAGGATGTTATAAAGAATGTTTCCCGGTTCAATAGTCAGTCCCCATCGCTAAGAAAGGGTGTTTTTAATTGGTTGTCACTTAATGCAGAAATTTATGTTATAAACATTCATGAGGAATATCTGGTGCCATTTGCTCTTGTTATTGGTGATCAATTCTTGTTTATGCAAAATAATGCAAGACCAAATGGTGACATGCAGTTATCTTCGTGATGCCCATGTATGCTTTATAAAAATGGGATGAGCTTAGACATTTGGTAAAATGAAATAACCCTCCTACAACTTTAGTTGGGCTAGTTACATTAGTTGAAATTGGTTTTGAAATTCTTCAAGACGAGGTTAAAGGGTTAATTATTAGCATGATGAGAATATTAGTGTGTAATAAGATCAGCATGATTAGAATATTAATTATATATAGAATATTAATTCATAAGAGCAAGAAGATGTAACACCTTGTAAAAAACATAATTTAGTTGGTTTTATAATTTTTTATGTTTATACTCAAAAGTGATTTTATTTTTTAAATTAAATTTTTTGTTTACAGCACATGTGTGTTATATATACTTATTTGTCGCTCAGTGAGTGGGAAATTCTTTTCAACTTAACTACTAAATTGCTATCTTTACTATTCAGTTTAGTACATGTAGTACAATCGCAATTCAATATAAATGACATAGATTGAATTGTTATAATTTAAAATTCAGCATTAATTGTTTTTAAGATGCACATAATAAATAAAAATAATATGCATTTATTTTTTATATCAAAAAATGAATTAAAAAAAGTTAGACAAAAACAAAAATTGCACAAAATTTATCCCTTTAAAGTCAGTTATAGTGTCCGTTTAATTTTAATGTTTCATGTCTTTTTTTGCAATAGTGGTTTATTATACTTGAAGAATAAATTCACTGACAAAATGAAATCTGATTTGTGACTGATAAAGGGTATTGAAAACATGATGAAATATGATCACTCTATTAATAAGCCAATGTATTAATACATCTAGTTGGCTTCGTTTTAATAAACACAATGCTTGGGAGGGGGGTAATGATTCAGAAGTTTCTTTTCCATTTGTAAGTTGGAGAAAAGTCCTGTTTTTTAAGTATGGAAAAAAGATTCTTAATATTTTTTTAGTTGGATGAAAGTCGTTCTCGTTTACTTAAACTTATTACACATATGAGGCGTTGCGGATACGAAGGGCGAACTCAACAAAAGGAGGTGTTGAGAAAAACTTATTTGAAAATAATTTTTCCGTTGACATGCAAAGGGCGAACTCAACAAAAAAGATTAAATCTGTTTTCGTTGAAGGATGCCTAATTTTTTGTTTATTAATGGTTACCCCATCTAGAGATTGGTCAGGAATTTGGTTGAACTTCAATTAATCAAAAAACACACATTTTATTTATAAAGTCTGTATTCTGAAAACATACGTACATTTAAAATAATATTAAAATGACTGAAAACGAATTGTAATTTCTAATTTTTAATTTTTTCTTTCTTTTTTTTAATTTAAATTTTTAATTTTCTAATTTTTTTTGTAATTTCTAATCCTCATAATCGGGTTGGTCATCTTCCGTTTCCTCGTTGAGCATGGGCATGGAAGATTGATTATTTTCAATAATATTATTAAAGTATGTTGACCATGGTAACGGAACGTATGGAGAATCCAGTAAACGCACTATTATTGTTAACATCCATTACTGCACACAATAAGATCACGATAACAGTAACAACAAAATAAACACTGCACGAGACAAGCGTTTTATGCAAACTAAACGAAGGATTGTATCATACAGTGGAGCGCGAAGAGAAGGGCAAGGAGCGGTGTTGAGTTCGCCCTTAGTATCCGCCCGCTTATGGCAGTTTCCAACTACAATCCAACTAGCATCGTATCATTCTCTTCATATTTCAGACGGATACGAAGGGCGAACTCAACATGAAAGCTATAACTGTACATTCTCTGAAGTGGCTAGATTCGGATGGTGACCAAAAAAAAAAATTAACCTGATGTCGAGTTCGCCCTTCGTATCCGCAACGCCTCATATAATATGGCTTGAATTTTAGTATTTATTTTTATATGAACAGTATGTTCCCAATGTATTCCACGGATTGACATGCCTTGTTATAGTAGGGTTTTATAATAAAAAAAAAAAAAGACGCAGTAATTGATTAATGCTCTACTTGTGCATAAATATATGCGTATGTATTTACATAAATTAAAAATCTTAAGATAATGTTCAAACAAAGGATATTAAATTTTGACCTACTTTTATAATTAATTATCTGGCGTCATGGGTCTGGTTCATTAGATTCGGTTGAAGTATGGTGATAAAGGAGATGCTATAAATAAATTTAGGATTTTGCAGATATGCAGATTTATTTCACTCATTTTCAATTGAGTTTTGAATTTCAACGGGGATGATCTCATGTATTCATTATTAAATATAAAACAGAAAAGTTGCAGTTTATTTATAATTAATAAATATCTGTTTTCAGAGCGAGCAATTCAAAACATTGTTGGATTTGTTTTGCAACAGAAGAAGACGATCAAAATGCCATCTGGACCCAACCCTGCAACTGTAGAGGTACTACCAAATGGGTACGTTTTCTGCTTCTTTTGTTTTTGTTGCTTTTAATGTAAATTAATTAAATATATAAAACAGGTTCATCAAGCATGCCTACAACAATGGGTTGATGAAAAGCAGAAAGACAGTAGGGACAAAAAGGTCGCTTGCCCCCAGTGCAAGACAGAATACCTTATTTATTTCCCGAAAGCGAGTAAGTTTTCTCTTTCTGTTACTTTAAATCAATAACTGATTGTTAATATTTTTTGTAGACAGTTTAGTTGTCATACTTGATAGAGCAGATGCCTTGATATACAGAATGTGCCCCTTCATCGCAGCCGGCATACTTGTCGGTTCTCTCTATTGGACTGCAGTCACTTACGGAGCAGTAACAGTTATGCAGGTTTGTATTCCTATAAAACTTTCTTGAGTAAAACTAATGGGTGTAAAAAATAAAAATTTGCTTTTTCAGGTAGCCGGCCAGGCAGAAGCTACTCAGCTCATGGAAAGGATGGAACCTGCCGTCCTGCTTACAGCATTACCCACTATACCCATCAGCCTCATCGTTCTCAAAATGTTCCACTGGGAGGACTCACTTCTCCTCTTTCTCAGAAAAACATCACCGAGTCTGCCAATCTTGAACTACCTTCTTCCAGCACCCGTGTAAGTTATGATTGGTACTTTTAACTGATTCACTAATTTCGTGGTCCGCTTGACCAATTAATACTTTACAATTAATTGTAAGGTGAATTAATGAAAAAAGTTAATGGCACGAGAGGGATTTGAACCAACGACCTTCGGCTAGATACACCTCTGCTCTACCACCTGAGCTATCGTGACCTCGATCCATTTGGATATCAACCCCCCAGGGGTTGAGATGGGGAGTTGATGTCCGAGTGGATCGAGGTCATGATAGTCAAGTGGTAGAGCAGCGGCGTATCTAGCCGAAGGTCGTGGGTTCGAATCCCTCTCGTGCCATTAACTTTTTTTCATCTCAATTAAAACCTTAATTAATTGTAAACTTTTAACTGATATTGAAAAATTTCTAAAAGTAATGGCTTTTTTATTGCTAGGAGAAATGAGTCAGGTGCTATAACAGAGAATCCCGTGACTGATGGAATGAGCTGCACAAGGGTTTTTACCGGGGCGCTCTTACTCCCTACTATAGCTACAATCTGCGGAAATACTTTTTTCCAGCATATCCAATCCGGCCTGCAGCGATCCATTGTTGTGAGTTTTCTACATTTTATTAACTAATCTGTTTCAGTAAGTTGCACACTATTTTCTCTTCCAATGCTTGGAATCATTTAAAATTGCTTTATACATTTCAGTTATTTTTAATATTTTTATTCTTAAAATTGATTTAAAACATGTATTATGTATTTTTTTAAATAATTAAAATGGTATATCTAACAAATTTTAAATATTAGGATTTGAAAAAGCTTTACTCTAAAGTGTAATTTCTTTATTCAGGGTGGAATAGCGTTTATTGCAGTGAAAGGGATTATAAAAATGTACCACAAGCAGCAGGTCTACAAACGCTTGTCAAAGAGGAAGATATTGGACTACACTGAAGAGAACATCAGGAGGACACAAGGAGGACCCAATTCCGGAAGGTCGCAGCCAAGCATGGGAAATCTAGTTGCAACGTCTGCAGGCGGGGGTGTGACTTCGGGGCCGCCCCCTGGCAACCAGGCATCAGTGCCCGGCCTGGACAACACCGCTTCCCAACAGTAGTCATTCGTATGCGTCCAATAAAGCAATACAGTCTTATATTCCCATGAGTCATAAATTCTGCTCGATATTTCTTTTATTTTGTTTGCGGAGAATGTGTTTGATTTTTGTTGTAACGTAACATTCTGGATACTTCATCTAGAAATGTTGATTTTTTTTTTTTTTTTTTTTAACTTAGATTTATTTAAAAAAGAGAATATAGCTTTTGGAAAAAATAATAACTTTGAAAATATTGTAAATCTAAATAATAATATGTAATGTAAAAGTTCTTTTGTTGTTTTATTCCTTATGGTTTTGCAAGGAACACATTTATATTAGAATATTAAAACTCATGTTATTTTTGTTATACCTTATATAATTTCCTTTACAAAACCCATATATAAAATATATACATTGAATGCTAGTGTGTCTGAAGTCTCTTGAACCAGAATCTGGCTCTGAAGTCATCAGAGCAAGTGAGAAAGGCTGCTGAATGTGGGCTGTGAACTATCTGCCTTACAGGGCCGTTATGTCCTAAAAAATATAATTTCAGTAAATTGATAAATCATGCAAATTACATATGTTAAATCTACCAAGAGAGAGAAGTTGTCTTCTAGAAGCGTTCCGGGCATTCCATGCGCATAACGAGGTAGTTGCTTCATCTGGGAAGAGAACAAAGTCCTCTGTGTGGTTGAAAACTGCTTGTGTCCTGTGTTCTTGTTTTCCTGGAAAATTATAATTTATTTGGTGGTAAAATTGTTTAACATTAACAATTTCATTTTTGACAAACAAATTAATTTCTGCATTTTACACAGTATTGATAACCAGTTTATCAATTATTAATTGTTATGACAAGGATGATTACCAGTAGTCCCTGCTCCAGTGTAAGCTATTAGACATCTGCTTGTTGTCAATTCCCAAAGTTTGACTAACGAATCTTTCCCAGACGAAAGTAGGTACTAAAGAAAAACAGAAAACCAGTTTAAAATAGATTTCTTGAAAGATATTTGTACACATCTACCTTTCCATTTCTTGTAAATGCCACAGAACAGACTTCAGCCCCATCGTGAGCTTTGTAGAAAGTGTTAACACATCTATTGCTGACACCGTCCCAAATTTTTATACTTCCGTCTTTGCTAGCTGATGCATAATACTTCCCACCTTGGGTAAACCTTGTGAGAAAATATGTAGAGTAAACAGAATATACAAATACAATTTATGATAGGGGAAAAAAAACTAAATTTACTTGATAGATGTGATGGTGTCACTGTGCTGATGGCAGGGGACGCTGCAGACATAGCACTGTGCCGTGTTGAAATCGTAGAGTCTTATTACAGAATGAAGAGTTCCGACAAGTAAGAAATCACCCGTCGGATGGAATGAAATGCACTTTATACCGTGCGAGTCCTATCAGAAATTTTTTATAAGATCAAATAAGACATTGAATTGATGCCTAATGAATTTAATCAGTCTTCATGTTTTTTGATAAGACAGTAAATGCCTTAGCTTCAACTAGGCCCTCTTTACAAATAATGTAATAAAACTACTTGTGAAAGTCTGTGAATCTGGTATTAAACTTACAGTTATAGTTTTGTAAGCCTTTTTGACACTGGCCTTTGCAAAGTCAAAAACTTTGATAGTTGCATCACGACTGCCCGAAGCCAAAATGGGTTCCCTTGGATGAAAATCTAAGGCGGTTACTTCTTCCAGGTGATCATACAATGTTCTGATGACAGGGTGGCCTTGGCTGTCTGTTGTGCTTTCCATCGCATCAGAGAGTGACTTTGCTAGCATCCTGTCTACATCTAAGATCTGAAATTAAATCGATCAGCTCTACAATTGGGTGGCCTCGCATGAAACTGAACTCTTACCTTGATTGATGCGTCTGCACTGCCAGTGGCAATCAGCTGTCCATCAAGGCTGAAAGCACCTGCCCTGCACGCTCCTTTGTGCGATGTCACATATACCGTTTCATAATGCGATGGTTCTGGTGCAGTGATATCCACATCCGTTTCATATTCTAAATCTAAAGGACAAAATTGTGATCATGAGGATAAAACAAAAAGAGGATGTTTTTACCAAGGCCAGGCCCTACGAGAATTTCTTGGATCGGGTTCAACCCTGGTATCGGATCTTTTTTATGCCTCTCAGGCTCATGTTGAAGGCCGATTGTAGTCACATGTAGCAGCCTGTCTGATGGTGGGCAAGGTGGGTCGGCTTGCACCAATGAAGATAACTGGACTGCAAGCTGTTGATGCCCGTCATAAAACAATTGACTGAAATAAATTGACTTTGCAGAAAATACTCATGGATGTTTTAGAATATTACAGTTTAACTATTAGCAATCCATTATAATATAATAAAGATAAAATATTCTGAGTACAAGATGTACCTTAATTTTATTTTAAAATATAATACATAATAGATAATATAGATGACTCCACACAAAAACACAGTTTTAGTGAGTACAAATACTATGCTTAAAACTGAAAGTACTATATTGTGTACATCATTGTATAAATTGATATTAATATCTTATATGTATTTGTATAATTTAAAAAATGTTTATAAATCCCAGGCCCTGATGATTTCAATAGATCGAAACATTGGTACCATTAAGAAAATGTTTTTCTAACCTACATCACACCCGACTACAACTCATGATCTTTAATTAATCATCAATTAATGGTCACTAAATATTACACTTAAATGACAGGATAATTTTGATAAGCAATTAATCAGTTAATTAACATTGTTTAAATTAGATTTTGGAAGATAGATTTATTTTTCATATTTTTTAAAAATGTAGCAACACGCAACTTCATAAATTGGGGTCGCGTGACACCCGTCTTTGCAGGTTCACCCAACTTTTGATTTTCCTTTCCATCTCTACTCCTGTAGAGAGACTGGTATAAAATGGGTTGATGTATAAAACCAAAAGTCAATCAAGACCAAGGATTCACCTCAGAAGACTGTCCTTTGACAAGATCAAAGACTCAATCCAGGCAATGAACAGGAGTCAACCTTAAATAGAAGCAGTAACACTCTGTTTGGGTCTCAACGTGGGAACTTAGCCAGCCAGAGCCAGCGAAGACCAGCCTCTGTGACCCATCAGATCAAGTCAACGGCTGAGAAACTAGAAAGGTGATGGGGATGCTGTGGACTAATTGTGGCGAGTGTCATTTGGGGTAAGTTTCTTTGTTAATTGACTCACCCCAGATTTAGAGTTATGGCTGACGTTTAGATTGATTAAGATTTTATTGTTATTTGTGTACATTTAAAAGACGGAATTGTGTTACAATAATTTTCTGATTTTTTAAATTCTAGAACCTTATCTTCTCTTACACAAGAATAAGTATCAAAGCATTTATACCGACTAGTCTCTTATCGCTTACAGAAAAGCAAGTGAATATAGAGAGATTTTATTCGGCTGTCACTGCTTGCAATAATCTGTTGCACTATCTCGGGTTCATCATATGTTTCACAATTTCAGGAAGATCTGAATTCTATTCAGGTAAGCCCGACATATGCAATGATTAGACCTAATTCTAATAATTAATGAAAAAAACTTGCTTTCCCTCAATGTAAAAATCCAGGGAATGTGACAGGGTTTGGGAATCAAAGACTTAAAAGAACCTTACTTATCACTACTGTCCCACTTTTCCCATTCCTGAGCCATTTTTTTTAGTTAATACCTTCCTCATACCAGATTTGGGAAGTGAAAGGAATCTTAAATCAATGTATACACACCTGTAGGAGTTTAAAAGATAAAAGACAAACAATGGTGCTCTTGAATTTATAGTGACTTACTGCTATGTAAAATATCGGGTTGTCCGGAAAATAATGCAGGATTTTAAGTTTTCATTAAAAAAAATCTATATAAAATATTCTGTTTACGTTTACAGGATTACGTCAACACTTATTAATCCTCTTCCAAACGATATTGTTTGTTTACCTCTGTAGCATTCCGCTACTTGGAAATAATTCAGTCATCCTTATAATGTCAAAGCGAGAATTTCGTACGATTTTCTTTTACGAGTTTAAACTCGGCCGAAGCGGAGCCCAAACGGCTAGAAACATTAACCAAGTCTGGGGCGAGGGTTGTGTTAATGAGTGCACTGTGCAAAGGTGGTTTAAAAAATTTCGGGAGGGAGATTTCAGCCTTGAAGATGAAGAAGGTCGTGGAAGGCCTTCCTCTCTTAATGATGATGTTCTGCGATCAGTGGTGGAAGAAAACCCCAAAACAACTGTTCGAGAACTTGCAGAGCAACTCAAAGTCAGTAAAACGACCGTCGCTGACCACCTCAAGGCGATTGGAAAAGTGAAAAAACTCGAAAATTGGGTTCCACACTCATTAAACGATCGCCAAAAAAATCAGCGCTTTGATGTTTGTGCATCACTTCTTTGTCGAAACAAAAATGACCCATTTCTGGCCAGAATTGTTACATGTGACGAAAAGTGGATTCTCTACGATAACACTAGACGTTCTGGACAGTGGCTCGACAAAGGAGAAGCTCCAATACATTTTCCAAAGCCCCCAACTCATCAAAAAAAGGTAATGGTTACGGTATGGTGGGCTTCATTTGGTTTAATACACTACAGCTTCTTAAATCCTGGCGAAACCATCAATGCTGAATCATACTGTAACCAAATTAATACCATGCATCAGAAATTGGCAGTAATGAAGCCCTCTTTGGTCAATCGGAAAGGGCCCATTTTGTTGCATGACAACGCTCGACCACATGTGTCACGTGTAACGTCACAAAAATTATTGGAGCTTGGCTATGAAACTTTGCCTCACCCACCCTACTCTCCGGACCTCTCGCCTACTGACTACCATTTTTTTAGACACCTGGACCACTACTTACAACACATAATATTCAAAAATCAAACGGAACTGGAAAATGCATTTATTGACTTTATCAATTCTAAAAATTCTGAATTCTACTCAGACGGAATTAATAAGTTACCAACACGTTGGGAGAAATGTATTGAGAGTATGGGAAATTATTTTGATTAAAGAACATTGCTTTAAAGTAACTAGTTTCTTTTTTTTTGTTTAATACCAAAATCCTGCATTATTTTCCGGACAACCCAATATATACATGTATACATATAAGGAGATCCGGGGCCTGTATTATTAAGGAAAAGGCCTGAAAAATTGAATCAGAGGCAACAATAAGGGCCCATTTTTAAGTAAACTGCCAGAAGAAAACAAATCAAAGATTGATTTAAAAGAGCCAAACACTTTAAGTGGATTGAAGGACCGTCACACAACCTGAATAACTCATTCCCAATCTAAAGGTGGTTCCAGACATATGATATTTGCCGAATACCAATTGCGCAGAAAATTTCCCAAGTTTCGAGATGCTCATCTTTGCAGTCACCAAGTAGAGGGCCTATTTATACATACATGTGGCGTTTGTGTGTAAACAGCAAATACATAGTTGCCAAGTGACGTGCGAGTCCTCAACTCACTATATGATTGCATGATGGACATCAGTGAAACAGTCATTGCTGCAGCTGCAGTTACTGTTTTATGTAGTGGCTACAAACTCAGACACAGACTACTGTTGCCCCATCTTACTTTTGATCCAATTTCACACATACAAATTATTGGTTCAGTTTGGTAGAGATCGAGGAACTCCAAAACCTGTTGGACCAATCCATTCTTAACTAACAGAAACAACGCTGTTATTCTTTCATTACTACATCTAGAATAGTTAGGAATAATTTTTTATTGAAAAAGAAATAGCACTATATACTTACTGTTTATTGATGATTACAGTTGATATACATACAGTACAGTTGATTCATGAATATGTGGATGCTAGTTCGTCTACTTCTGTGCAATATCTGTGCACTCTGAAGAGGACAAGGAAACCAATGATTAGCTGAGCAAGGCAGGCAATGATTATTGTTGCTCAGTGAACAACCGAGCATCAGACCCCCTAGTTGACGATTCTAGTGAACCTCCTCTCGTCATTTGGCAAATCCTGCATGTCTGTAGAATATTGCTGCTTGCACATTAGGTATCTATTGGATTAAACCTATTCGACAAGAGGAAGTAACCGTCTCACATGTAATCGTCAAATGTGAAGAAACAACTGGTGCCTTGAGACAAAAACAAAACAACTAAGGCTAATACCCTGCTGTCTTTGTACCAATAAAGTAAGAGGACATTATGGCACAATAAGCCTAAATGGCTATGGTTTCGGATGTTTTAACTATCCTACTATCCTCGTCTTTTAAATAAATTAGCGATGCTTTTGACAATTTATATTATCAATATTATTATGGTTAAAGCAACTTCACTCTTACCATTCCTAAGCTTGTCTAAAGAGGAATAGTAAAGGAAATTTAACAGTCAGATTGAACGGCTGTTAATTAGTTATTATTTTCACCTGATGATGAGTCGATATAGCTGTTCTCTCCTCTTGACAATATTTTTTTCTTCCGAGTCTTTGTCCGTGTCTTTCATATTCTAGGAAATCCAATGAGACCCAATCCGTTCGAAAATTTAGCCGGCCACACTGTCAAAACAAACAGAAGACAAGACTTACAAGAACGATCTGGGAGTTTACACTTTACAGTTTACAGTACTGGCTACAGGCTTGGTAGTTCGTAGTTTGGCTAGCCGGGAGCGCTTGGTACTTTACTCGCCGGTATCGAATATCGATACGTCTCGAAGTTTTTTTCAACCTAAGTTCTATTCCGTACCAATTTCAGAATTTTATTTTTATAAATTATACAATTTCACTCTAATTGCATTCTATATTATATATAATACACAATATTAATATAAATTATTACATTAATACTCGTGTTACAAACTTTGCCAGTAGATTCTACATTTAAAATGGAATCTAAAAGTCTTAATTAACTATGGTCTTGCTTTTTTGATTTTTTTAAGATTTCACGACCTTGCTTCAAATAAACAAGTATAACTCAAACTAAAAGGTTTTGGACAAATCCGTTGAGACGATTGAAAAGTACGTTAAATTTCCAATAAGGTGTGATCAATATTAAACTTGTAAACGTTAGTGAAATAAGCATTTTAGTAGCCAGAACATTGAAAAATAATTCTTTTTTCAATGTTGAAAAACTTACTATGGTGTATTTAAACCACTATTTCTACACCTAGCGTCCATAGTGTATTTGCTCTCTTAATTGGAAAAAAGAAAACCGTGGTTGACGGATTGGTAAGGTGGAACGATTAATAACAATAAAAATAAAAATTTAAGAAAATGTTGAATGAATTTATTAAACTTTTTTGTTAAACTTTGATTCGAAATGCTCTACACCCTCCGCAATCCAAAACGAGCCCTTTTTCTCATATTAGCCATTGTAAAGTTTTATTTAAGTTTTACAGCAACGACAGGATCTGTTGCTTTAAAACTTACAACATAGTCAACAAGATATCGCATAGATAACTAAAAACATTTTGAATCTTAAAACTCTTTTATTCCGGGGAATAATAATACAATAATCCTTTAATCAAAGTTGCAGTCGTTGGTAAATAAGTAAACACTTGCATATTTCGGTTTCGAACACAAATTCAAAAACGTTTAATAAATTCATTCAATATTTCCTTAACTTATTTTATTATTATTAATTATTCGGAGATCGTGAGATGCGGTCTGGTGTTCCATTCAATCAAAATAGCATAAAATACGCTTTGGCATCGAATTGTGCAATAAAAATTTGGGATTCTAAATTAAAATAATAAAGTTGATGTCATTTCTCAGCTGGATGAGAAGTTACGATAAATGTGTGGTGATTAGTGACCGTTAGTCGACGATTATTCAGAAATCGTGAGATGCGGTCTGGTGTGATGTAGGTTTTAGAAAAACATTTTCTTTATCGTACCAATATTTCGATCTTTATTGAGGTCATCTTCAGGGCCTGAGATTTACAAACTTGTTTAAATTTAACAAATACATGTCGGATATGTTGAACACATGTGATAATTCAAAACAGTTTGAAGATAGGCAGATTGAGATACATATTAGTATAAGCTAATGTATACTTTGGTCATTACTGATCGTTTCTGTCTGCCTATCCTCATTGGGTAGGTCTGTCAGTCGTGTTTTGGACTTTCGCATCTCCATCCAGCCTGACTGAAGATAAGATAATACCGACCAATTACAGGTTCATCACTCTGCAGAAATAGAGAAACAAAGAAATCTCACGATTTTTAAACATTTAAATAAACTTTTTTTAACAGAAACAAAGTACAATGTACATAAATGTATCTGGTATATTTTTGCAAATTTATAAAATCATTTATTAACAATAATAATAAAAAAACAGTAATTTTAGTTTGCTTTGTTTTTTCAGTGATGTAAGCCTTCTTGAAAGTAATTTTTGTGAATTTAACTTTCACCTGCTTCTATAACGCACATAACAGCTTGGTTAAGTATGTGGTGATTAGTGATCGTTAATCGATAATTAGTCAGAGATCATGAGATGCAATGATGAAATGGTGTGATGTAGGTTTCAGAAAAACATTTTCTTTATCGTGCCAACGTTTTGATCTTTATTGAGATCATCCTCAGGGCCTGGGATTTACAAACATTGTTTACATTTAACAAATACATTTAGGATGTGAAAAAGTGAATTTATACAATGCAAAAAAAAATGTATTTTTTATAATCAAAGTATTTCTACTCGCTCAAAGAGTTTGTTTTCTGTGTAATTGTGCCATTCTTGCGTGTCGTGTTGAGAGTGCCAGTGAGCCGTGAGGTATTGCTGTTTTATGTTTATATACGTTGGATTTTGAAGGGGTGGGAAGGAAGTCGGGATAGACAGAAATTTTTATATGAGGAGTCGGCTCCTTTGAGGTGAAAGGAGCCGACAAAGGGAAAAACGTGGATAAAGGTTCGGCCTTTCAGTATTATATAGGCGGGGTTAATGAGGGAAAGGAAAGACAAATTGTTGTATATGTATGTATCTGGGTAGAAATGTTAGATGTGTGGAATGTGATGATTGTTTTATATGTTATATCATATGTTTTGTGTGATGTGATGATGATATATGTAAGTTATGGTTTTGCGTGTATTAAATTAGTTTTTAAAAAGAACACTATTTATTAAACAGCAAGGCAATACAAAACTGGAATAACCAATTCCAATTAGGGAATTTACGTTCTATACTCTATGAAAGCCAGGAAGGATTGAAATTGAATAAAAAATATTAATATTAGCAAAGGCTTGGGGATGTAACGAAGGAGGGGTTTCTTGGAAGTGAACACGTGCAGGTGTGATAAGGGAGGAATGTGAAGGGTTGCAACAGATAAGGGTCAAGCGAGTATATAACATGTATGTTATCGATATTGAATTTGATTAATGATATTGGCGAAGCTGCGACTTAGTTTACATGTATCTGTTCTGTAATTGATGCTGTGTTTATCTCTGTTGATGTAAACCATTTCTAAAAAATTACGTTGATGTTTATGTTGTTCTGTGTGTAATATTTTTGGATTGTTGAAGTCGAAATTGTGTTTGTGTTCAAAATGGTGGATAGCCAGTGCTGTAGGATGTTGCTTGGGTTTTTTGCAATCATAGATATGTTGCTTTACTCTCTTATCCAGATATTGGGATGTAAGTTGCCACTAATCACCACACATTATTATTAATCTTTCCACCTTACCAATCCTTTAACCACGGTTTTCTCATTTCCTTCGTCAATTTCATCATCTTTGAAAAATGTAATTAAAAAAGCAATTACACTACTGAAAAGGATATTAAATGGAGTACGTTTTCTGAAGTTTGCTGGACGCTAGGTTTGGAAATGGTGGTTTAGAATCACCATAGTAAGTTTTTCAACTTTGAAAAAAAAATTTTACAAAGTTTTGGCCACTAAAACGCTTATTTCACCAACATTTACAAGTTTACTATTTATAAAATCTTATTGGAAAGTTAACGTAGTTTTCAATGGTATGAACGGATTTATCCAAGACCTTCATTATTCTTTATTTTGGGAGATAACATTGTTTATTTGAAGCAAGGTAGTGAAATCTTAAAAAAATAAAAAAATGGACTTTTCCTACTGCCTCCTATTAGAGAATATCCTTATCACGTTGAATCTTCTCCTTCAACCGAACATAAAAGTTCTTTTTGTTCTTCTGCTTACTCCGATATAATAGGAAGCCGCTAAACATACAACAATGCTAAACACCAGAGAAACTCCCAAAGATGATTTGATTTCTCGTTTAAGATCATTAGTATAGATAGCATAATAATTTATAATTATTTATCATAATATAATAATATATCATAATAATAATAATAATATATCGTCCGACGCTCCGAGGGAAACAAAGCTCCTCGAAGTAAAAACCAGACGTAGAATCGACATTGTAGAATCACTCAAATCATTGTAGTATTGCCTCATTAGAGATTTTGAATGTCTCGGGAACAACCATCTGTTGACATCAATTTTCTTACTTATGTTTTCTCATGATTGTACGTGCATATTATATTATGAGTTTTCTGCCTCAACACTTGAGGATTATACTAATATACGGCGAAATAGAATCAGGATCATGGCTGTATCCCTTTTAATGTAGCTTTTAAAATCGAGACAATTTTCTTTCCAATGACAGGGAAATCGTCTATACTCTCCAAGAAATTGGAAAACCGATAAGACCGAGGTCTGACCCCGAGACTGCTAAAACACTGAAGTCGAGTTACCACAAAAGCCAAAAGTTCAACTCTTTAGTGTACATGTGCTTTTATATGCAGATTTGAGCTTATACAAATCAATCAATCGACAAATTACTGTATTTATAATCCGATAGCGGGAAAGAAGATAGAGAGAGAGAGAGAGAAAGAGAATGGGTGGATCTGGATAAACGGAAACCCTTTAATTTATGCTCCAATAATAGGTATTTAACGTAAGAAACAGGTTAACTGTTTTTTTCTTAAAAAATTTCTTTTCTTGCTAATTAGTTAAGTTATTTAAGCCAATCCAATTTCTTGCTGGCGTATACCTTTTATTAACATTTACAGCCATAATATTATGTGTTTGAGAAACTTCGATAAATAACTATATGTTACTTGTTCGCCAAGTTTTGAAATAATAGGACGGGTAGATTTAACAACAATTTTAATTTGTTATAGTTTTATTATTTATTTATTATTATAAGGTTGGAATATAATATACAATAATATAATGCAAACAGATCAAATTATGTGTCATCTTAAATCTAAGAGAAATATACAATTCATTCACGTTTATCATTATGGATATCGAAGGAACTTGGAGGCTCTATTTGGCAATTCAATTAATACGGCTCATAAAGATCAAACCAACGTTTAAACACACAAGGGGTTCAATAATTGTAAATATAAAAATAAATATTTTTCAAACAGTTTAAACGTTAAACAAACTGTTTATCCTTTCCTAAATGATTGAAACGACAATTTAAAGGTGGATGATTGTCTAAATATCAACCATAGCTAATAACACAGACACAAGCCGTATCATATGCGCAATGACTAACCTCCTTGAGCAACACACGCGGCATAAAGGAAGACAATCGCCTAGAAAGGCTTCATGGTCGGAGGCGAGGATTTTCTCCTGGATTTTTCTGACTCCGGCGTACTCAGCGGTGACCTGGAAGAGGAAAAGGATTTTCTGTCCGGCCGGAAATTGTTGAACAGTTCCACAGTTTTTGCCACGTTGGACATTGGATGCTGCTTCAACTCGAGAGGAGTCATGTAGTAGGGTGGTTTCTTTTTCTCTATCTTGGGTTCAGGGGTAGTTTCTGATCTAAGGTATTTGGGTACCGTCGGTTCGGCGCCGAGCCTTTCGCTCAACAACTCTTCAGCCTCCGGCTGAAAACAATATGAGATGCTTGACATTTTTTTTTGGGGTCATTTTATAGGGACATATTCAAGATAATTGTAATGGGGGTATGACGAGTGAATTAATTTTACTAAAACAAGTTGTAGTTCTATAAACGTGTTGTAAGTTGTTTACTGTTTGAGAATAATTACCTTTTTGTCAGATTCTAATTCCAAGTCCAAATCTTTAACGGGCTCTTGAGGGAGACCAGTTGAAACCCTAGGCATCCTCTTCTTCTTCCTTTTGGACTTTCTCAGCTGGATGTCCGGGATAAAAAGCCGTAGCGCGTTCGGCCCTGTAGGGAAGGGTTTGTTCCCGAACTTTTCCTCGATGCTACCAGACCTCATGGTTACTTCGATGGACGATTTGGTGACGATTTCTTGGTGCCTATCGTAGGCGGAGACGAGTTGGGCCACTGTAAACTTGGGCTCTTCTTCCTCCACAGTGGCCGGAGTCGGCGTGTCTTCGCAAGCTCTGGATTCTAAAGCGAAATAAATCTGTGTCATCAACTGCAGCATGTACACATTAAGATTCATGCGTAAAGATTTTATTTAGGCTGTACAAATATTCTAGGCAATGTTTTAAAGAATATTGGAGACTTTATTTGGAGATCGAGAGATGCGGTCTGGTGTTGAGCCCTGAAGATGATTTCAATAGATTATAAAACGAAACGTTGGCACGATAAAGAAAATGTTTGTCTAAAACCTACGTCACACCAGACCGCATCTCACGATCTCCGAATAATCATCGACTAGCGGTCACTAATCACCACACATTAGAGACTTTCTTTTACAAATCCCTGCAATATACACAAAATCCAACGAAATTTAGTGAGCCATTTAAGTAGTGTTCTATTGAATGGCTTAAGTATCGCTAGTTACTTAAATTCAAATAACGCTCGCGGGTAAAGGAAACTTTTGTTTGTACTATATATGTAGTTGAGTTTACTGCATTATCCCGTTAACACGCTGCACATCCTATAAAGTCTTAATAGACAACAAAGGAGAAGATGAATACAGGAGAACATGAGATACAATGACAAGGCAAGGTAAAGACGGCTCTAAAACACATGAAGGTACCTGATCTGTCATTTGTACATGTCCCAAAACATGAACAATCAAACTCATTAGAGAATTACACTTTAGTCTTTCAAGCTGAAATACATACCATCAATGCCTTAAAAAAATTTAAAAGAGGTTACACTAGCAAAAAAATGCTCATAAGGTCGAATAGCCAAGTAGCTATTAGAGTTTTACCGTGTAAAAAAATCACATCAAAACTAGTCAGTGAATGCATCCAAAATTTCCAAAACTGGGGAAACACAACAACCTGATGGTTGGTGATATCTTGGGTATCAGGATACAGAGGAATTTTGGGTACCGAAAAGGCAGACACACTGGCCAGAGGAGGTTCTACGAGACCAAATTATTCTGTACCTATTCTTGGGATAACTAAAATAAACACAGAATATTGCTTAACAGAATTAATCAAAAAATAAGTTAAAAGGAGAAGAAGATAAACGCTACAGGTGCTAGACACAGTAAGCTTATGGTAAATCAACCGACGCCAAGACTAGCAAACTTACTGCTGCAGTTAGAGAGGCAAAACTCAGAGGAGTGATAGGACTACTTACAGGTCACATATATATATATATATATATATATGAACATATTCCAAGATGTCTGTGTTTTTATATTAGTCAATGTGGAGGAAGAAACAGCCACTAATATCGTCTTCGAATGCGAAGCAATGGCTAAATGGAGACCTACCCTGAGATAAAGAAAACCCAGGAAAAGGAATTGTAGCTTAATACTTCTTAAGAGAGGAAAAAGCAATTACACTGAACTAAAAAACCAGGAATAAGCCATGCAGCACGTGGGGGAAAAATCCAACGTCCTAGTATTCATTATCGTCTTCATCATCTCAGGTCAGGATAGTCTCTCTACCCGGCAGTATATGAATAAAGAATGTGGTACTAGAAATGGTTAAAATTCACTAATTCATAAAGTCACTATAATTTAACGACTATAATATAAACTATAATTTAGCTCACAGTTCTTGTAATATCAGCGGTAGACGGGATGATGTCACTAGCTGGGCATTACTATGATCAATAAATTGTTTCAAATCGGTTCCTCGTGTACAGTGTTTTAATTAATTGTTTTAAATATCGCATCACCGTGAGACCGTTTAGAAATTTTAGTTTTAATTTTACAGAGTTGTGTCGGCTATCCAAGTCGAGGCGTGACTGTGAGAGCTTTATGCAGTAGTACCCAATAAAATGACGGCAACATATCCATAATGCTCTTGAAGACATCTTTAATGTTGTCTGATCGTGTCCCAAATTAGCTGAAATTAGGTTTTCATATTTTGATAGATTTAGTGCTTCTATTTGTGAAATTTGCTTACCATTCCTAGAAAACTAAGTATGTATGGAAACCTAATCAGTTCTGGCTGTTGTTTATATAATGTACGTGTGTGCATAAGCTTTCATTCTTTGAATTTATGACCTTTTTTATGTTTATTTGTTGTTTCATTTTGTATTTGCTTATTTTCAAAGCACTGGCATCTGAGAAGGCCGAACATGGGCATATCCAAGATGATCCCATCTGTAGATTATGCAATGAGGAGGACGAAAAAGCCACCCATTTGATCTTCGAATGTGAAGCAACTGCTCAATGGATACAAAGTAAACCCAGGAAAATACATTGTAACAACGACAGGCAATGGCGTAGTAATTCTTAGGAGAAGGATCGAATTGATTACACCGAACTATGTAACTAGGAAAGTACAATAAGACAGAAGGCTGCAATGCTGGGCACAAAAAACCCCACTTCCTAGTATCCATCATATCATTACCATCATATTATTGCTTCATGTTATGTTGAAGAAAATGTTTGGTTAATACGTTAAACATATAAAAGTCAAGGGAGTAAGTCCTTAAACAGTAAATACAGGGTTTTGCGACTGACCTACTGATGTTATTGAGTCTTCATCGGATTCCGAGGTGGTGGCCGGTTCAGTGGTGACCGGGGACATAACCCTGCCGTTACTGTTTTTCTGCTCTTCTGGTTTGTCTTCTTCTTTATCTTCATCGCAGTTGTTTTTAGTACTATTATTGTTATTGTTCTCTAGTGCCGCTACTTTTTTCTCTTCTTCCTTATTGTCGGTCTGTGTTTCCCCGTTTGCTTTCACTATCGCTTCCTCGCTGAGATTCAGCACCGATCTGTAAAGACTGAGGACTTCTTGGGACTTAGAAAGAGACTTGAGTCCGTATAGTTTTTCCCTGGACAACATTAGCGATTTGTCTCCAGCTCCAAGGGACACCTATCAGGCATAACGTAATTTAGTGGACGTTTAAAGAGGAAAAATTTTTAACACTCACTTGGCTTTCGTACATTCTCCTGGCTCTGCTATATTGTTGTACAAGTGTTCTCTTTCTTAAATCGACTCCTCTGGACATGACTTTTTCGAATAAAGCCTCCCTCGATTTTGAAAGGTAACTTCTTGTCGCCTTGCTCTCTTGGACTCCCGAAAATTGGCTAGAATGTGACGGACAGGCGGTACAGCCTCGCCTGATTTGGTTCCTGTTCGCCCTCATGCATGGCCTGCTGCATTTTCTGGCGTTCGAGAGCCACGGGTGCTTCAACGCTTCTTTGGCCGTCATCCTCTCACTGAGATTTCACATTTACATTAAAAACGACTTAGATGAACGTGTTAGAATTATTTACCTGGGCTTTCGTAAAAGAAGCCTCCTAACGAAATCTTTAGCCTCTTCAGATATATCTTCGAAAAGTTCATCCGGAAAGTCGACCTGCGCTTTCGATATGTTGAGAAAAGTTTCTTGATCAGTCTCGCCACCAAAAGGGGAGAAACCAGTCAAAAGAACATAGGTCGTCACTCCCAAAGACCTTAAAAATGTTTAATTTTCAATCAATTTTTTATAATCTGTTTTTCAGCAAGAATAAAATAAACTTACCACATATCAGCAGCTAGTGTGATAGGCTCATAATGCAGGATTTCTGGAGCTAAATGAAACAATAATTTCAATAACCAAGCTAACAAACGGAAAAAAGTATTGTACCCACCTACGTACTCAGGTGTACCGAGAATTTCGTGAACCTCCGTCCCATCGAGAATCACTCTCGATATCTCAAAATCGCAGACCTTGACTTCGCAGTCGGGAAAATCCCCCATCATCACTAGATTTTGAGGCTAGAGAGAAAAAGTGGTTGATTAGAAGAGATTTTGTAATTTAGAAATGTGAAATCACATATTACATTGTTTTATTTAATTTAATTCACAAATTTTTATAGGTACACACTACGATCAATGCCACAAATACGAATTATGACAAAAGCGTCAATATAAATCTATTGATGTGGTAAAGCTATAAAGTTGATGATCCCTTTCTATATAAATAAATGGGAATATGAGAAAATTTTGAAAAATTCAAAAAGCGATGCTCAGAGTCTATCCTATGTGGTTTCCGCTTACCAAAGTCCTACAATTTTACGTCGGAGAGCAGGAACAGTTTTGTCTATCTTACTCACTAACAGATCATTTCCAATTTGTCTGCAATCCATTTTTGGAGCTACTGATCTCACCTCAGGCACTCCTTTGCCAAATTCGTCTTTCCCTAGGGCATATAACACACGTTACCTTACTCTTAAACATTTTTTTTCGAATAGGGCTATCGAGCAGTGTTTTATGAATTGTTCCATTTTCACGAGAATCAGGGTACAAGTGGGCGAGTACCTACATTAAAAGTCTGTAATGCTTTCCAGGCCCTTTTATAGCTGAATGTTGCTTATTTAGCATTTTTGTTACTTCTTATCGAGTTTAATTTATTAAAAACATTGTTTTTCCAAAAGTTATTCAGAAATCGTGAGATGCGGTCTAGTGTGATGTAGGTTTCAGAAAAATATTTTCTTTATCGTGCCAACGTTTCGATCTGTACTGAGATCACTAATCACCACACGTTTTTCCAAAAGTTTCGATTCTCTTGGACCCACCTACAGTATGTACAAATTACAGGCGAATTTTAAAAAAATTAGCGAACTGAGAATTTTCTAGTTGAAGTATGATTGCGACAGTGAAGGCTCTTCTTTACTCCGTACGTCTCGCAATTGGGGTTGTTGTTTCCTGCCAATCTTATCAAGGTACGCAGCACAGATGCCGTTAGTTCTTGATCGATGTATGGTGGTTATCTATTTTTTTGTCATATTCCAGTTGCTAAACCACGATTTTATTTTCACGAGAGGAAAAATGGTCTTATAAGCCATTTCCTAGTCTGAAGATGTACTGTATGCCGTTCTATTTCCTATTTCGTTTCTTGCCTTTGAAAAAGGTCTGTATAGGGAATCTGTAGGTATCTGGTGTTGCAAAACTGCATATTTAGCTAGTGTGTTATTTTCTCATTATCATATAGACCCATGTGACCTTTAATCCAGACGAATGAAACCCTCTTTTTTATAATAGATAAATGTAGATAATATATAGACGAACGTTTTAATGGCGGCTACGAAATAATTTTTGATATTGATGACTTTTTTTCACCCCTAGGGTTTAGTTTTGTAATTAATGGTAGGAATGCAGAGGCACTAGTTTTGTAAGGTAGAGAGCTTATTTTTTAATGCTTTGGGTCATAATTGTTGTATTCGGAACGGTAAACTAGATGATGATTTTGTTTCATTTGTGGATTTGAGGTTGGGATAGCAGGCTGGTAGGCATTAAAGGAATGAGCGCTATCGTAAAGATATTTTTCACTGAGGATCAGAAATAAATCTTCAATGTTGCATATGCATGTTATCCGTAGCATAGCCCATCGACTCGTTCATAGAATTCTTTCTTAAAAATAAATACAAAATGTAATTATTCTTATAGGAGGTGAGTGATTGTATAATGAGGGTATTTCATAAGATTTATGATGTGGTCAACGGGAACATTTGTTGACAAAGGTAAGTAGCGACAAAGGAATCAAATACATATGCAACCTTGATTTTTGAGTAATTTTCTACATATTAAGAAACGTGTACCACACATAATGGTTGTTCTCGTATTTTCCTATATCGAAAGTTACCCAAAAATCTACTCCAGGGAAACAACCCGAAGATTAAAAAAAGTAAAGTAGTACATAATAAAATATATTAACTTGGGACTGTAACGTACATATATTTAGTTTTTAACGAAAACTAACGCATTTTTAATATTATAATTTATAATGGTTGTCGTTGCTAATTGATTTGCTTCTTTGGATTTCTTTCTTATTGACTGTTGTGTTGCATCTGAAAGACTCTATGTTTACTATATTTGTAAATACGCATGACAGGAGCTTTAGGTTGGCGAATAATAATTTTCCGCCTATTGAGAAAATTGACTTTCTTTTGGTAAATGATGGTTCTTCTCCATTATTAGAGAAAAAATCTGTGAATAGAACCATCATTTACGAAAAGTGAATCTACATACTCACCCCACCTTCATTATTTCTAAAAATTGTCTCTATCTCTCGAATCGTCCTATGCTGTAGTTGTCACCGACTCCTACTCGATCGTGTCTGGTATGGGAAACGGGCACTGGCCGGTGCACACTGTGGGCCGTGTGGCCAAAACGGGAACTGGGATGCCGATGATCGTAATTCAGAATCCCGGGTCAGAAATGAGTCTGTTTTTGTGGTGGTCCGTTGTGGATTTCATGAGCCAAGTGGGATGTCGACGTCCCACACCCTCTGAGTCACACCTCGTCTGCGTCTAGCCGATGCTACTCTACCACCATCGGTTTATCAGTGGTAAAACAAGATCTACATTTCAACTGTGTGTACTTCAAATTGTAGCAAAATCGATAAAATAGCTATTATTTGACCTAAAACGAATCCGATAAATCCTCCTCTTGTCCAAAATATAAAAAAATGGAAGATATGAATATTTCATATGTTAATTTCGTTAGTTGCACTATAGATGTTAAAACGCAGAGGCAAACTGCAAATTAAATAATTAAATTAATGTAATTACTGTCACACAGGAGGGCTTCCAACTTCATTTGCTATCACGGGCACCACTTCACGATACTTCTTAAATACTATTTTCATTTACATTTCCATGGGCCAGAACCGATATCGTTGTAAACCACTCTGCCACTGCGTCTTCGAAAATATAATAATGCAAATAATATCAACAAAAATAATGTTTAGTTTGAATGCGTGCATTTATTAGTGTGAGTGGCGAGGGGTGATGGTGAAATATAGTGTTACCCTTTAAAAGAAAAGACATATACATACATCGAATAAAGCAGGTTAATGGCTACAAGATATTTCCCACGAAACAGCTAACGTAATTTCTGGCTTTCCACCCATCCTCTTAAAAATTGAAGAAATTGTTGATGTATATTCAGCAATTAAAAATTAACCCTGCATGGCAGGACCTAGATATGATATTGACAGACCTTTACCCTTTCATAAAACCTGTCACCCGGCAAAATTAATAAAAAATTCCGAGATACCACTTGAAGAAGATACAGTATACTCCATATACTCAGATGGAAGTAAACTAAAAGGTATGTTTGGATGCAGTTGTGTTATATTTAAGGGAAATAAGATTACACCATATTTATGCCTTCAATTTAAATTAGCGGATTGGTGCCCCAACTACGAAGGGGAGATGTTGGCAGTTAAAGAACCAAAAAGTCTAAAGAAGCTTTTTTGTCCAACCCTTTTCAGAAATGAAATAGTACTGACAATTTAACATCACTTAAAATCTAAAACATAATAGAAACTCAAATGAAATGACCCATGAAATAAGACAATATACAAGTATGCTAAATGAGAGGTGGATAAGAGCGCACGCTGGCCATTATGGATGAGGAAACAAATAAAGGTGCTAAGGAAGCTGCCGAAGACCAGGAATTAGAAGGTAGCTCTGCAAAAATTCTCATCTGTTACATTAAAAAGAAAAGTGCCGAAAAATCATTTGAAAATTGGGAAAATATATGGAAAGGTTCAGAGAAGTGGCATCGAATAAAAGAATATTTTCAAACAATAAAAGAAAGACTGTCTACTCCAATACGGTTGAACCATGCAGGCGATGATGCTAAGCAGCCAAGAAAGACACTTCTATCGGTTTAACGCAACAGAACAACCTAATTGTCCTTGCGGTGCAGATTCAGAACTGGACTGAATTTTTTGATTCGATTCTAGAGGTCATTTTATGATAGTTGCACTGAAAGGAAAATTTTGGAAAATTTATAAAACGCCTGCATTTTAAAACTAAAGCGAGGAGGTCCATCTTGTTACAAAAGGCATACCCCCCACGTTTCTTCCGTCGGGCATAACTTAGAAATTGTCAATCCTATCAAAATTTTCCATTCAATCAAAAGTAGCATAAAATACGCTTTGGAATCGAATTGTACAATAAAAATTTGGGATTCTAAATTAAAATAATAAAGTTGATGTCATTTCTCAGCTGGATGAGAAGTTACGATAAATGTGTGGTGATTAGTGACCGTTAGTCGACGATTATTCAGAAATCGTGAAATGCGGTCTGGTGTGATGTTTTCTGTGTAATTGTGCCATTCTTGCGTGTCGTGCCAGTGAGATATTGCACTCTCAACACGCCATGCAAGAATGGCACAATTACACAGAAAACAAACATTTTGAGTGACTTTTAATTGAATATAAAAAAAGATATATTTTGCATTGTATAAATTCACTTTTTTCCACGTCCTACATATATTTGTTAAATTTAAACAATGTTTGTAAATCTCAGGCCCTGAAGATGATCTTTATAAAGATCGAAACCTTGGCACGATAAAGAAAATGTTTTTCTGAAACCTACATCACACCAGACGGCATCTCACGATTTCTGAATAAGTTACGATAAATCAGTTACCAAGGTTTCGGTTTTTGGTTAAATAAAAGGAGCTGATAATCGGGAAACGGCACATTGTTCGGTGGAATGTTTATCAATCACCTTGTGAGGGAAAAGTTAAGGGCAAAAGTTCGAGGAAACCCTGCGGCCGTGCTATTACCTATTTGTATAAATTGCCTTCGGGCTCCCCGGAATCCTCTTGGTCATGTCATTCCTTTATTGCAGTAAGGAACTCTTGCGATCTCGCGATACGATTTACATTCCGGATAAATTATTACATAGTTCAGAATGTACTAATAAGCGATTTTGTCGTCCTTGCCTTTTGAAGAATTGGATGGTACGATGTCCTTTCGATGGTAGGGTAGGTTAATTGGTTTCGAAAGCGCCCGAAACCGGTCCCATCAGTGGCTTTTTAATTTTTTGCTATTTATTATTGAATAGGAGTGAAACATCAGTCACCCACGAATGATGGATTTTATATATAATAAGGCTTATTGGCTTCATTTATTAAGGTAAATATTCAAATAATTTACACATTAAATTACCTATCCATCATTTTGACGCATGGCGTGTCATTCTATACAAAATAACAAGGGGACGACGAGGACGTTGGTGGGTCACGGAGTTGGACCAATCTTTTTTGGTGATTCTATTCCAAAATATCGGACACGTATCCTACACATCTTGTGAATAGCCCCTTGTTTCGCCATTTTTTTTTTTTTGGAAAGTTGAAATTTTCTATTTTTTGAATATTTTTATGTCGCCGTTCCATTGACCAAATTATCTATACGGATGTATCATTTTACAGTATTTTTATATAAATTGGAATAAAAATATATCTAATAAAAGAATCATTTTTCTTAAAAACCTTGTAGACCGATTTTCAATATTGATAATCCGTTTAAAAAAAAATTTATAATAGTATCAAACATTAAAATCGTACTACTATTTCCATTAAAATAAAATAAAAACCAAGGTTAATTTTTGACAAATAATTTTGTTATTTTGTGTATTTTCTAACAGATATGTTATATATTTTGTATAATTTAATGGTACACGTCGTTAAAAAGTTACACTTCTTTTCTTTCAAATGGTCTGCTTCACGTTAAAATCCTTTTAGCCATCTTTGAATTAGAGCCGTTTCAATCAGATTTTCCGATAACCCCTTTGCCAAAATCGGAAAAATTTTAGGGACCGAAAATTGATAAATTTAAATTCAAACAAAAAATTATATTTAAGAGTGTTTTTCTAAAACGAAATTTCATATTAGGTTCACGAAAAAAGGTTTTTATGACCCAGTTTTCTCGAAAAATATTTGGTTTTTCGAAACGTTTTGGTTATTGATAAACGTCGTTAGCTTTTACTATATTTTTATTGCAATATTCATAGAAAATACTGTAAAATGATATGGATTCAAATAGTTGATCTGAGCAACAGAAATGTTCAACTTTTTTTTTGCGAAATCAGGGCCTATTCAGAGGAAGTGGCGGATATGTGTCCGATTTTTTTGAGTGAGAATCAACAAAAAAAGTTTATTCCAAAAAAAAAAACGTAAATTGCTCTTCTTCTTACTCTTAAATAAAGAGACGAAAATTCGTTAATGCCGTCTGAAAAAAGGTTATAACAAATTAAATCTCCGTACAACCGTAGCTGAAGACTGTTCACCTCAAAAAATTGGATTTTACGAATAGTTTAGTTATAGGGCGATAACTTTTTCCTCCATTAAGGGTGGGCTATTGAAGTGGGATCGCCGATTTTAATTTAAAGTTTTTTGGTATACTAGGTCGACAAATATTAGACACGTGTCCGAGAGTTCTTGCAAATACGTCCTCGGATCCGTGAAGACAAGTAGTTTAAATAATTTACATTAATTTACATATTTGTTTTCTGCCTTGGTTCTGCATGTGCGTATTTACAAAAATTATAATGGATAATAATTATCAGCATATGATCTATTCTGGACAGCACCATCGTAGTGCCACAAACGCAGACGTCAAAATGACCGTTTACTTCAGATAATTACTAATCGTATTTGTACGTTTAAGTAGATCATAATCCATCGAATTGACAAGTCAATCACGCGATAAATTTAAGCCCGGACAATCCAGTATTGTACGTTAGTATTTAGTGTTGACAGCTAACTAGAATACTAATACAGTTTAGTCGTTTCGACATTTTCAGTTCTAGGTCAGCCAGATCAAAAGCGAGGATAAGCCAGGGTGGTTCTAAAAGATGAAACTTCAAAGAACATATTTCTGCCCGATTTTCGCACTGAAGGTGTCGGATCAAATCGAATATGGCAGAAGAAATAAATCGCTTGAAAGCTGGGAGTGCGTGTTTACAGAGTCGCCGACCTTTGTAGTCAGAACAGAACAAAATTTTTAGCTGACACTTTTATAAAACCCCTACTCGCTTTTCAATACGATTTAAAAGTTTGACTTTTTGTTTACAAGCCCTGATAAATTGTGCATCCAAAAGCGTCCATTTTCACTATGAAACAATCAGAAAATTGGAGTGACAAGAATCAATATTGGAAAAATCATTTAATTGGTTAAATTTTGTGACGGGCTTTCGACTTTCTCGTGGGGTTTGACACGTTGGGATGGTCGAACCTAGGAAAATGCCACTGACAGAGAAATACGTTTTGAGAGAGAAGGGCAGACGGGATAGATTGTCTAACATCACCATGGCAATAAATAGGGTAATGTAAACGTTCACTCCGGGTGCTTCAGAAATTCAGGCTTCCGCTTCTGAGTTGTGACCGAAAAGGTTAAAACGCCATGAAACGATAAAACACTTCCAGAAAACAGAAGTTAGCATAAATCCGTTCATTCAATGCCAATAGGATATAGGCTTCGATCCTCGACCAATAAGGAAGGCTAAATGTCAAATCGACTCAAATTGTCCGATTCGAAAGGAAAAATCCAGCATAAGGCTCTAGAAAGGTCGCCGATAAACGCCACCCGACCCGGAAGGTCGCCACTTCGAATCCAATTCCTCTTGGTTCTATTAATTAGATACTTGAGCAAATTTGGTATATCCTATTCAGACGAGTGCGTGATGTAGTAGATTTACATTCTATTTTGAGCGGAAACTGGATCGCATTCCAGGGTTTCAGGGTCTTCAATCTCAGTAAGCAAACATGTTATGAAAATAATTTCTGCTTCTGGTAAAATCAGTTTTGAGAAGAGAAGAGGTGTACGCGTATTTATTACCTTTATATCGAGGTGGGCGATTTTTCTGTGGTGAAGATAGGCCAGACCTTCGACGACGTCTTGTACATATTTAACGACGTCTCGTTCATAAGGCACAAGGTTGTCATCAATAAGGGTCTGCATGTCTCCGCCAGGGGCACTGAAAAATGAACGACGTGTTTCGATTTACGGATTCTTTTACGGCTCCCGAGGTTTGAAACTTACAATTCCATTACTATTATGAATTCGTTGGGTGTCTGGAAAACGTCGTGCAGCTTGACGATCCTGGGCGAGGGGGAGCAAAGCGACAAGAGGGCGATCTCGTGGTGTATCTCTCTGGTGCAATCTTCACCGTACCGCTTTCTGCTTGAGAACTTGGCAGCATAAACCTCTCCGTTGGCCAGGCTCCTACACCGCCAGACTGAGGCGAACATGCCACTTTAAAAAAAATAAAAAATAAAATAAATAAATAAAATAAATCAACATTATTAAAAAGAGCCTTAATTCGTAAACGAATATTTATATATACATATCTCATTCGAAGTCAGTATTATTCCTGAGATATGAAAGAATAATAAACACAAATTCAGCCGTTCTCAAACCAATCAACGTACATGTCATTTAACGCCCTGAATGGTCTCACCCTGTCATCTACTTAGTATGACTACGGTCAACTTAAATTGTGTGATTTCCTCTTATGCTCTGCGGGGTGATAAACCTAAGTTTGATAATATCAGCGAGGATAGGCAGACCAAGATAATAGCTAACTAACAACGGACAACTTAGCTGAATCGACTTGAGCTCTCACATGGGTACATACTTGTCTGAGCCTTTACTAATATAAACTTTACACATTAGAATGTTAAACAATTAAAAAAAAACTAAAATATTATAATAAAGATGTACATTAATTTCTCCTTTGTAGCATATGTTGAGCACAAATGTATTTATTAGTGTAAATGTGTACTTTGAGAGAGTAGGTTGCGGAATATTGAACACCCTATCGAGACTCATTAAGGTTAATTATACAATAGGTGTAAAGGGTGATGGAGAAATATTGATGATTAGTCCACCACAAATAGATTGTAGTCATGTAAATGAGAGACTGATTACGATGGTGGCTATTGGACAGATAAGACCGTGGTCTGATACCGGGGTGGATGATTCTCGAGGCCTGCTGTCAATTGACTGTAAATTGCAAAAGCTGGAATTTCTTGTAGACTGCGAGATATGATAGACTTAACAATGTGCTACCCGTGTTCACCCAATGCTATGTAAACCTTTCTCAGACAAATTGACAGACAGTTCCTCACTGAAGATGGAGCAATGCCAAAACGCGTTTGACTAATTCAAAAAACACGCGAGTGGAGACAGACCCAGTAAGTAACCCTGTGCCTGTTCAATATGAATTCACCGACTCGCAAACCAATACCCATCAACACTGTACATGTATGTGCACATGTACACGCAAGTGCAGATTTGAGTTTATATAAATTTAAAAAAAAATCTTGGTCTGTAATTTAAAATCGCCTATTTAAGTAACTTATTTTTAAATAAGCAATTAACAACTTATTGAAATTGCTTAATTACAAATTGTTGAAGTTCCTGTTGTTAAGCCTATACCTAAAGGCAATTTTTAAACCAATTGTGTGAGGAAGATTTGTATATACGGTAGTTTTGAGTAACCTCATGTAAATGAAAAATGTAAAATGAAACCACCATGAACCTCATGTTTTATGTTATTGTCGTTTTACTTAAAAAAAAGGTTTTTCATAAAAATTGCTTGCTCATTATTAGTTTTTAACGCTTGTCGTGTGCTTTTCTCTTTGTACTGCCCGAAGTAATAATGTATGCATCAAACTTAAACAAGTGTTACTTTTCCCTTAATAGAATAATTCATTTATACATTTAAATTGACGTTTTAAATATGTGCGCTGAAACAAGGTGATCAAACCTTTCAAAACATTAGTTCTTAATACAAGAGACTTTCTGCAGCGAAATATCCTTGGTCGAAACGCGGTCATCAATCAAGAAGAACAGCAGATCGATTGCTGTTCCCCGGCCGGGGCTATTTATCAGGACTCAGGGTGGCGAGAACAACGCCTCTGGTCAGGAAAAGTTTCCTTTGATGCATTGTCTTTGTCAAACCGTTTCTGCTTCGGCTTTTAATCATATCAACACTTGCGATCCGTCAAATAAATTTCTGAAACGAAAGTTCGTCGTTTGGTGCAAATGATTCAAGGGGAAAATGGTCTGAAAATATACATTTCAAAATTGGTCCTTTGCACTCTTACCCGCAAAAGAAAAATCTGTTTTCCCACTAGGCTAAAAACAGGAAAATATAAAATTCCAGTGAATTCGAAAGTTTAATTTTTAGCTCTTACAATTGATCGCAAATTATTATGGGCTTTGCATAACAAATTTACTCTTGCCAAATGTGAGAAGCTATACAACTATACTACGCAGTGGAGATTCAGTAATAAATGAAATTCTATTGACATGCTATATGAAAACTGTTTCTTCAGTTTCAAGGAGGTTGTGAAATGGAGATTGATCCTTCTATAGAATTCACGTTCTATAAATCTACTGTAGGATCTGTAGTACCATCGGATTATTATTGTATGTTTAAGCCTCCAACACGGAATTTAAAAAAACAAGTTCCTTTTGCAACTAATGTTCCGGCGGATTCTCAATGTGCTGTCTATTAAACAACTTTCCACTTAAATTTCTGAATGTCCTCCCGACATTATATTATCAAAACTAGCAGTGAACAAAGTAATAAACTGATATCAGTCAGATAGCTATCTGTTCACAAGTACTATGACGTTGACAGAAGCAGACCTAACCTAAAAGTACGGGGCGAAGGCCTTTCCAGGCTATTATTCCGGGTTTAGTCTCGGTCTACAAAAACAAACTATTCTCTACTTTGCAACTACAACCTCAAAAATGTATTTAATACTTTACTCCGGCTATCCTCTTCAAATCGTGAATAAATGTTTCTACGGCAGGATTAAACGAGGCGTTACCCAACTTTGTACTATCTAATATTCTCTGGCGGATTTGCCATATGAGGACTGTAGACTGTGCCTACTACGACCCTTCGTAGAAAAAAAAAGTTCATTAACAGTCACCTTTGTATTTCAAGTGCGGAAAGGACTTGCCACTGCCCTGGGCCACGTTGGAGGGAACATGCTTCTGTAATGAATCGGACAGAATGAGTCCATCGATTAGATAGAGCGGTTCCACCCAAACGCAACTAATTATTAACACAACTAGTAAATATGGCGTATAATCTAGACTTTTCACAAGAAAGCGGTTTTTTAGTGGGGTCGGGGCGTAACAATAACGTAGTCGACCTGCTGAATAGCGTATCTGATATAATAGTAGTACGACGAGGAGTCGGTCTATAAATCGTTTTTCACCGACTTAAACGACTACATCAATGAAACATACTTGCACAAAATTAAGCGTAGAGCGTCGTCATCAAACTGTGAGACATGTTATGACCCGGAGAACATTAAACACTTAATATTTCATTGTGCAGAGTACGAGGAAAATAGAAGTCTTTTTTTGATGGGTGTACCAGCAGGAGGTCAGCAAGCCACTTAGCTGGGGGAGTCTGCTTGCGTTTGGGCGGGAGGTAATATATGAATTGATTTATGCCTTCCTGCAATAATGTGACATTAGCGTTTAATCTGAAGAGCTGTATCTTTTAGGGAGACTCCCTGGAGTGGACGCCACTAGACCCTAGGATGTCAACTGTTTTATAGATATATTTCGCTTTGTAAATGGTTTTTCTTTACACCCCCCTTGAAACACCTGTAATAAAGGGAGTGGAAACCTCAAAGTAAATGCCATAAAAAAAGCGCCCCCCCCCAGGGGGTTCACGTCTGGCAGGTGGGCCCTCTACATACTCGCGGGTCAACAGCAAATTTCTTCATTTCTTACTTTTTTTATTATTATTTGACAGCATTATTTATTTAACGTTTTAAATTAAAAAAACAAAACCAAACAATGTAAACATTTCTAAATTTACAAACAGCTATAACAGGATTGCCAGTTTTCGGCTGATATTCTCTAAAATGGTAAGATCTTACGATGTATTGACATATTTATATTTTGTTTTATTATTTAATTTACGTGTTTATTTTTAGTTTGGACCGTTCAATTCTCTATGCTAAGTCCTTACATGGAGTTATGTGGCCCATATGTACATATATTTTTATTAATTATTCTTATATTGTTTATTCTGAACTATCTATATATTTAAATGTTTGATCTAATACAGAATTTTGAATTTGTTATTTTACTGAATACTTTAATTTTACTATTATAGGTGTGTGTATAAGTAGTTAAGAAGTTAAATGAATTAAACCATATTGAAATAGTTTATAATTGATTTCTCTTATAATTTTGGTAATTCTTTTTCTAAGTGTATTTAAATTTTGCATAGTATATAAATTTTTCTGTACCGAGCTACTTGACCAGGCATAATAGAGCCTTTCATATTTCCTACCATTCGACTAACTATAGTTCTCCTATTGACAGAATGATGCGTTCAGTCAATAACTTTCCAAATCTTACAATTTTTAACAATTCTTTTTCTTCATTCTACAGTCAAATGCGCAGACATGTGAAATCTTGAATTATAATGTATATTTTAAGTTAAATTATCTTTCAATATTTTTATAACAATAAAATATTTTTCATATAAATTACTTAACTTGCTCTTCTGTACGTGTATATAGGTATTAGTATATATTTCCATATTTAACTGATATTATTTCTAATTAAAATATTTACTGAATGTAATTCATCTATACTATTATTTTTACTTCCTTAATCAACATATTTTTATGCAATTGTTTTCTAATATTATTTATGTAATATTTGAAAATACGTTATATTATTTTACAATCTCAATTTAAAAATTTAATGACTGCCACTCTCAACACGACACACAAGAATGATACATCTACACAGAATACAAACACTTTGAGCCCTGAAGATGATCTCAATAGAGATTGAAACGTGGCACGATAAAGAAAATGTTTTTTCTGAACCTACGTCTCACTAGACCGCATCTCACGATCTCCAAATAATAATTAAAAATTTAAAATAACAATGATAAACGATCTGCTTTAGGTATATTTATATGAAACATTCTTTTAAGCAATTTTCTTACTTTACAAATTGTTTAATACTTAAATAATTTTTTCCTTTGTTTTCTTATTTTTGCTTTTGTTATATTTTTATATTGTTTTTTATATTTTGTCAAGCATTGATATATTTTTATATTGTTTTTTATATATTTTTTTATTTATTTTTTACGAGGGTTCGCAACAGCAGAGGCCATATAAACCCTCAGGGTGCCGATGTTTTTGAAAAAAAAAGCCCATTTGTAGGTATGTCAGGTTCGAATATAGGGCCGCTGGATT